ATCCTATCTTAGTGACAGACAAGTATGTAGTCAATGATACCTTTTCCACTTCCCCCAATTCAGCTTCAGATAGACAATGTTAACATTAGTAATAAGAAGGATGGAAAGTTCCTTGGCCTATACATAGACAAGAGACTTAAGTTCAGCACCCACATACAACACATTACCAAAAAAGTCTCAAAAACGGTTGGTATTCTTTCTAAAATCGGATATTACGGTCAATACTCTGCTCTCCTCTCATTCTAAGCGCTCATCTATCCCCGTCTTACATACGGTATCTGTGCATGCGGTTTATCCACTGCAAACCTACCTCAAGCTCATCATCACCCAGCAAAAATCTGCTATCAGTACAATAACAAACTCTGCTTTCAGTCAACACACAGCCCCCCCTAGTTTAAATCCCTTAACATGCCAAACATACACTCACTCCACACTCTCATGAACTATCTACAGGTACAGAACCTTGTTCCTAAATGCTTATCTTTATCTGAAACTTTTCCTCGATAGGTGTAATAGAATTCATGAGCACTACACCAAAATAAATTCTTTGATATCCCCAGAGTTAGGCTAAATCTGTGAAAACACTCCATGCAAATAAAAGGGCCCAGTCTTTGGAATTCACTCCATGGTGAATTAAAAATGTTCCAACCTATATCTCATTGAATAGTAAAACCAAAAAGTACCCAATTACGTCCTCATAGTTTCCTACCCTATACTTCAAACTCTCTATCTTTTACTACCCACTTCCCCAATATTAGTACTCAAGACTAATTAAGTACTTTATTTCTACCCGTGTAATCACCTCTCAATTAATATTGTCGATATAAAACCTTTCTACATTGTATCTTCATCTTTCCTGATACGTTAGATTAAGGACCTGCCTGAAATGCTGCGTACTCACCTAGTTGTGCTTGCGGGGGGTGAGCTTTAGCTCTTTGGTCCCGCCTCTCAACCGTCAATCAACAGGTATACAGGTTCCCGAGCCTATTGGGCTTTATCATATCTACACTTGAAACTGTATGGAGTCAGCCTCCACCACATCACTCCCTAATGCATTCCATTTGTCAACCACTCGGACACTAAAAAAAAAGTTTCCTAATCTCTGTGGCTCATTTGGGCACTTTGTTTCCACCTGTGTCCCCTATTGCGTGTGCCCATTGTGTTAAATACCGTTTATCTACCCTATCAATTCTCCCGAGAACCTTGAATGTGGTGATCATGTCCCCCCCTAACTTCTGTCTTCTAGCGAAAGTGAGGTTTAATTCCCGTTAGTCAGTCTCTCCGTAGCTCATACCTCTCAGCTCGGGTACTAGCTGGTGGCAAACCTTTGAACCTTTCCAGTTAGTCTATCTTTACTAGATATGGACTATGCTGGGGCTGCATACTCCAGGATTGGCCTAACATATGTGGTATACAAAGTTCTGAATGATTCCTCATACAAGTTTCTTAATGCCGTTCTTATGTTGGCCAGCCTGGCATATGCCGCTGATGTTATCCTCTTGATATGGGCTGCAGGAGATAGGTCTCTGGCGTGATATCAACTCAAGTCTTTCCGTCTCTTAAGTATTTTATCTCCCAGATGGTACCTTGTATCTGGGAGTGACAGTGGCTTTGGAAGAATGTAAAAATATCACGCTAATGTAATCTTACCAACCCATTGTACCTTTTTGTAAATAAAATATTATATGGTAATGACCAGGGTACCAGGAAAGACTACACTGTGCATACTAGAGGAAGCTGAAGATGTACGAGGCATCACGTTTCATTACCACAAAACTGGAAGGCAGTATAGTTTTAATATACGGAAAGTTTTTTTTTATTTATTATTATCTACCACAAACGTGGCCACACATTTACAATGCTAACAGCATATATACATTTTCTTCTGTCCTCCATGGACAGGGTTAGAGATGTGTTAAACATATAGTTTAAGGGTTTATTGAGCAATCAACCACAGAGGGGATTCGGTACTTTTAAAATGCTAAGCTAACCTAACCTACATACGTAGATACACAGATTTACGTATGCCCTACATAAAGTGTTCGATGTGTCTTACACGTGTCATTAATGTGCATTTACAAATGTTAAATGCAATTCTGATCAGCTTCCATATGTACATTATATACATTATATTGTTGTGATCTAACTGTCTAGAACCCAATATTTAAATTGGTTGTTCTGCAAGTGCTTTTCTTAGCTTTGTAATCCAACTGGCTACTTTGATTTTTCAGTCGTCAGTCTCAGCACGACCTATTGTCAGGTGCGACACTATTCTCCGAGATCTAACCGAGGACAAGAAATAAATTTAGAGACGACTAATGGATATATTCAGCTATATCACTAAAACACGGGGTACATTATATGTACAGTTAAAAGAGATAAGAGACTATTATGTACAGTAATATATATACTAAAACCTTATGTATATGCCAATGAGATGGCCGCCACTCTTCAGTCGATTCAACTCTAAAGACATCTACTTTGCGGAGTGGGTCGAATAATCCAGAACAGCGGTAGATATCGAAAACATCATACGGAGTCGACCATGCCACTACGTCCTAAGGTCATATGAACTTCACAGTAAAACTGGGAATCTGAATTCAATAATACACAGGATATAAATTCATTAGCTAACTTCTTCCTTTCCAAAGCTCTAAGCCTCTACAACACATTATCCTCTCCTCACCATGCAAGTAACTGGCAAAAGATTGAACACTCCCTGGCTCACAAGTACCATACTCAAAGTAATCAACAAGAAACATGAACATGGAAAACAAAATTAGGATTTGCCTAGTTACAAAGAAGTAGGGAAGAAATACTCGTCAATGCTTACCAGTATTATAAAACAAGCGAAACTTTCCTATTATTAGAGCAGATTCAAAGAAGCCAAAGGAAACATGAAAAACACATGGGAAAGCCATCTCTAACATCCTAGGATCTAAACAGCAATCACATATCGAGCAAATAAAACTCTCCAAGGATGGTTATATATCTTCAACAGATTTAGAGAAACGGCAAAAGAATTTAATAGTTTCTTTTCTTCAGTTGGTGCCAACCTTGCCAGAAAAATCCCAGACTTAGACACATGTCACTACATATCTCTCGGGCAGCTATCCAAACTCTTCTCCTTTCACCAGTCAGCCCGACAAATGTTATGTTTATTATTCACTCACTAAAGACCAAAGTTGGGAACATTAGTGAAATACCATCCATGGTAAACAAGAGTGCCTCCCATGCCCTTGCGCCACCTATAGCTCTGCTGTTCAATAAATTTCTATAGTGTCATACATTCCCTGGTATCCTTAATAAACACGAGTAACGCCAGTTCATAAAGGAGGCAATCCGGCAGACAAACAATTACAGACCAATATCAAATCTACTTATATTACCATAAATGTTTGAAAAAATCATTTATAAACAGCTCTACTCCTATCTCTTAAAATTCAACATATTAAGTCCGTCAGTTTGGCTTCTGCTCCCAAAAGAGTAATAATGCAATTATTAGCCTGCTCGATATTATTTACACAGCCCTTGACAAAATTAGTTCCCAATTGGACTTTTCATTGACCTGAGAAAGGCATTTGATACCGTTAACGCGTACTCACCTAGTTGTGCTTGCGGGGGTTGAGCTTTAGCTCTTTGGTCCCGCCTCTCAACAGGTATACAGGTTCCCGAGCCTATTGGGCTTTATCATATCTACACTTGAAACTGTATGGAGTCAGCCTCCACCACATCACTCCCTAATGCATTCCATTTGTCAACCACTCTGACACTAAAAAAGTTTCCTAATAACTCTGTGGCTCATTTGGGCACTCTGTTTCCACCTGTGTCCCCTATTGCGTGTGCCCATTGTGCTAAATACCGTTTATCTACCCTATCAATTCTCCCGAGAACCTTTAATGTGGTGATCATGTCCCCCCTAACTTCTGTCTTCTAGCGAAGTGAGGTTTAATTCCCGTAGTCTCTCCTCGTAGCTCATACCTCTCAGCTCGGGTACTAGCCTGGTGGCAAACCTTTGAACCTTTTCCAGTTTAGTCTTATCCTTGACTAGATATGGACTATGCTGGGGCTGCATACTCCAGGATTGGCCTAACATATGTGGTATACAAAGTTCTGAATGATTCCTCATACAAGTTTCTTAATGCCGTTCTTATGTTTGCCAGCCTGGCATATGCCGCTGATGTTATCCTCTTGATATGGGCTGCAGGAGATAGACTTGAGTTGATATCACGCCAGACCTTTCTGTCTCTTTAAGTATTTTATCTCCCGGATGGTACCTTGTATCTGGGAGTGACAGTGGCTTTGGAAGAATGTAAAAATATCACGCTAATGTAATCTTACCAACCCATTGTACCTTTTTGTAAATAAAATATTATATGGTAATGACCAGGGTACCAGGAAAGACTACACTGTGCATACTAGAGGAAGCTGAAGATGTACGAGGCATCAGGTTTCATTACCACAAAACTGGAAGGCAGTATAGTTTTAATATACGGAAAGTTTTTTTATATTTATTATCTACCACAAACGTGGCCACACATTTACAATGCTAACCAGCATATATACATTTTCTTCTGTCCTCCATGGACAGGGTTAGAGATGTGTTAAACATATAGTTTAAGGGTTTATTGAGCAAATCAACCACAGAAGGGGATTCGGTACTTTTAAAATGCTAAGCTAACCTACATACGTAGATACACAGATTTACGTATGCCCTACATAAAGTGTTCGATGTGTCTTACATCGTGTCATTAATGTGCATTTACAAATGTTAAATGCAATTCTGATCAGCTTCCATATGTACATTATACACATACATTGTTGTGATCTAACTGTCTAGAACCCAATATTTAAAATTGGTTTGTTCTGCAAGTGCTTTTCTTATGCTTTGTAATCCAACTGGCTACTTTGATTTTTTCAGTCGTCAGTCTCAGCACGACCTATTGTCAGGTGCGACACTATCCTCCGAGATCTAACCGAGGACAAGAAATAAATTTAGAGACGACTAATGGATATATTCAGCTATATCACTGAAACACGGGGTACATTATACGTACAGTTAAAGAGATGATACTATTATGTACAGTAATATATATACTAAAACCTTATGTATATGCCAATGAGATGGCCGCCACTCTTCAGTCGATTCAACTCTAAAGACCATCTACTTTGCGGAGTGGGTCGAATAATCCAGAACAGCGGTAGATTTCGAAAACATCATACGGAGTCGACCATGCCACTACGTCCTAAGGTCCGTGTCGCTGGAGATGTGGAACACGCTGTCACAGCTGGGGCCAACTGGTCACATACACACACGACGACGGCATGTCGACCGAATGGGAGTGAGTAGAGTACTGTTCAGTTCATGCTCCGACCAGTACTCATTGCCTCGCCCGGTGATTCTGATTGGCTAACAGAATTCCCGCCACCAGACGAGCCACACTGTGCTGACCGTTAATGACCTCCACGGTCGTTAACCTTGTTCTCCCTGTAATATTGAAAGTATTACTATTAAATAACAGTGCCATTTTTTATGCAGCGCAATAACACGATAAGGCATTCCGTAACAACATATACATACACACACACACATATATATGTACACATACATATATACATACATGCATACATACATATATACACACACACATGCATTCACATACATTTGTCTCTTTTACTCTGACAGAGTAAGATAGCTGATAAACTTACGGAAAGAGTGACAGGAGAGGCTAAGCCATAGGCCGGTGTCCTTTACCTGTATCCATACAATGTCATCAAATAAATTATCACTTGAAAGAAATCAGTAGATCATTAGGAGAGAAGAACTTTTATAATGAAACACATGCAAAACATGTTTCACAAACATCATAAAATTATGAGAGGACGGCAGAAATCCTATTGTACAGAGATATATAAGCTGTTTGCAAATTTCTCGAAAGTCTTTTATACAGTGCTCAACATAAAACTGCTGCACAAATTGGAGAAACTGTCGGAAGTGAAAGCACTACAATTAACAAAAATGGCATTTGAAATACAACACAAATGTGTAGATTAGGGGAGAATCATGAGGAGACCTGAAGAGAGAATACACTGAAGGAAAACTGCACAGGACGTTCCTGACAAAGTGAAACAAATAATCTAACAAATGGCTCCTTGAACAGGTAAGTGTAATGAACATGGGTGTTGAGCGTTAGAGGAAATGACCCAAGATGCAGACGAGGAGTCACAATAACGTGGCTGAAATATGTTGACCAAACCACACACTAGAAAGTGAAGGGACGACGACGTTTCGGTCCATCCTGGACCATTCTCAAGTCGATTGTGATGAGGTAAATTGTTGTTGTGTTGTTTTAGATTTAACTACTCAGAACGGAATGTCTATGTAGCACGGGCTATGGTGAGCCCGCAATTGAGCTCGGTTATTCGCGATAACCTTGTTACTCTAATATTTTGGTTAAAGTTTTAAATGGAGGTGGGGTTTCCTCCTTTTTCCCTGTTTCTTTTTCGCTTCTGTTTTAGTCGTGTTTTAGAAACATTATCTTGGTGGCGGATGTAGGTGTAGAATGTTCACTAGTGAGTCCAATTCTTTAACGGCTTTTCTAATCATTGTAGTGGCTGTGGAATGTGCATCTAATGCAGCTGCTGTCGTTGGATTAATGTTGAGTTTGATGCGCAGGGCTTCAGTAGCTTCACATTCCAGTAAGTAGTGCAATAGTGGCGCCTCTGCTTCTGTTCCACAGATATGACACACTTTAACTATTGGGTTCATTACCTCCCAGCAGCACTTGTAACCAAGTCTGAGTCTGTGTATGGCTACTGCAATGTCTCTGGATATTTTTTTGTCAGGCTTGAAAGAGTAGTACCCAGTGGCTTGTTCGTACCATATCGCAGTGGATCTTCCTTCCGCTACTTTGGCTCTGTGGCGACTTTTGGCGACTTTTGTAAACTACACGACTAGAGGAAGTCGTGTAGTTTACACTTGATAATGCTGCAGGACTGATAATGCTGCGAATTACACTTGATAATGCTGCGAATTTTTTGTATTATTTTTTCTACCACAGACGTGGCCGCAACAAAGGTACAAAAGGGCGTGGAGGAACTTCCGAAATAACAGAACAGCAGAAAGCAGAGAGAGATACCAGAGAGCCAGGAATGAGTATGTCAGTGTGAGAAGAGAAGCAGATCGAGAGACTATGAAAATTATATAGCAAATAAAGCCAAGACCGAACCAAAACTACTCCACAGTCACATCAGGCGGAAAACAACAGTGAATGAACAGGTGATGACACTCTAAACGGGTGAAGACAGCAACACAGAGAATGACAAAGAGGTGTGTCAGGAACTCAACAAGAGATTCCAGGTCTTCACAATAGAACGAGGTGAAGTCCTTGAGCTAGGAGAGGTGGCAGTAAACCAGGAAAGATTCCTTGAAAGGATTCGAAATTACCAGAGATGAGGTTAAGAGGCATCTGTTGAACCTGGACGTGAGAAAGTCTGTTGGTCCAGATGGAGTCTCACCATGGGTACTGAATGTGTAATGTGTGTTGCAGAAGTACTTTGCTTGCCACTCTCCATGGTGTACAGTAGGTCACTGGGGACGGGAGAATTACCAGAAATATGGAAGACGGCTAATGTAGTCCCAATATCCAAAAAAAAATGGTGACTTGGAAGAGTCACTGAACTACAGGTCAGTGTCCTTAACTTGTATACCATACAAGGTAATGAAGAAGATCGTGAGAAAAAGCCTAGTAGCACATCTGGAGAGAAGGGACTTCGTGACAACCCATCAACATGGGTTCAGGGATGGTAAATCTTGTCTCATAGGTTTAATAGAATTATGCAATCAGGTGATAAAGATTAAGCAAGAAAGAGAAGATTGGGCAGACTGCATTTTCTTGGACTGTCGGAATGTCTATGACACAGTACCCCATAAGAGACTGGTGCATAAGTTGGAGAAACAGGCAAGAGAAACTGTAGGGTGCTCCAATGGATAAGGGAGTACCTAAGCGATAAGAAGCAGAGTTACAATGAGGGGTGAGACCTCAGATTGGCGTGAAATCATAAGCGGAGTTCCACAGGGCTATGTACTCGGACCTATCCTGTTTCTGATATACTGTACGTAAATGATCTCCCAGAGGGTATAGACCCATTCCTCTCAATGATTGCTGATCATGCCAAAATTATGAGAAGGATTAAGACAGAAGAGGACAGCTTGAGGCTTTAAGAAGACCTGGACAAACTGAAGGAATGGTCCAACAAATGATTGTTAGAGTTTAACCCAAACAAATGTAACATAATGAAGATAGGTGTGGGGAGCAGGAGGTATCAACAAGGTATCATAATGTCATATCATAATGTCGTATATCATCATAATGATACAAGGTATCATTTGGGAGATGAAATTCTTCTAGAATCAGAGAGAGAGAAAGACCTGGGGGTTGATATCACGCCAGACCTGTCCCCTGAAACCCATATCAAGAGGATAACATCAGCGGCATATAAAAGGTTGGTCAACATAAGAACGGCCTTTAGAAACTTGCGTAAAGAATCATTCAGAGCTTTGTATACCACGTATACACTGTCGTATACGTGGCGTGAAGTCAGAAGCGGAGTCCCACAGGGTTCCGTACTCGGACCTATCCTGTTTTTAATATACGTAAATGATCTTACGTAAATATTCCAGGACCAATCTTGGAATAAGCAGCTCCAGCATGGAGTCCATATCTTGTCAAGCATAAAGCTAAATTGGAGAAGGTCGAGAGGTTTGCCAGTATTCATATAGTATTTACAGAATTCAGCATACCTCAGCCCAGGAGGGCGAAAGTCAGTCAATATGGGTCATTCTACAATAGAATGTTCAAGTGAGTGCATGATTTCTGTTTCACAAAGTTGACACATTGTGTACTCGACATTTGGGTTTTGAGAAAGCTGCCAGATACGTCAATATCCCAGGCGTATTCTGGGATACGTCTGGGATATAACATTACACTATAACATTACATTTCAGAGTTCTTTCTCTATTAGTTCCATATATGAATGTCTCCTAAGCGAATTATCTGTTTCTGTAGTCTTTTGTACTATCGCTCACACGATACGTATGGGGTACAGTAAATGAACTAAACTAAATAAACTGAGAGGCGAGACTAGGATAAGCTATTTGATATGGGTTAAGCACATCATGCGTACTCAGATGTAAACAAAGACTCGCGCCCCACTGTAATTTTTTTGCGTCCTATTACTTATTATCCTCTGTAGTACCTTGACCGTACCTCGTGTGGGGACTGGGTCCGTTCACCCATCTCTATCTTGAGTTACTCACGACGCCCATATCATACCTTTGTAACAGGTCGTGAGGCAGGTTCTCCGCCTGGTGGTCCCAGCGTGCTTGGCGTGCTTGTCTAGAACAGCTTGTCCGTAAGGAGAAATGGTTCTTGGATACACCTCTTTTCGTCTTGAAGGTATTTTGTATAGATAAATATGCAGCTTCCTGTGATTTCGTCATATCTACTTTTGCAGCATGGATGCATTTTTGCTCCAACCCCTTTGGGTGGTGTCGCCCGGTGTTCACTACGGGTACACTGAAGGAATACCCCCCCCCCCTGCGTCATCTGTGGCTCGTGTGTGTGAGGCAAGAGCCCCGTCTGTCCTTCGTGTGCTTCAGCAGCCTTGGTGTGTTGACAGTCTCGCTTCACTGGTATCCCTAGTAATTCATCCAGACTGAATCTGCCTTATCTCTTCCCACATTTGTTATTCCTTCTTTATATATCGCAATAAATTTTTATCTACTATCTTTAGATCCCGCCTTTCTAGCCGCCGGTTGTTTAAAGCAAGGACTCCTGCACCCAGCCACTTGGGCTGGACGGTAGAGCGACGGTATCGCTTCATGCAGGTCGGCGTTCAATCCCCGACCGTCCAAGTGATTGGGCACCATTCCTTCCCCCCTTCCCATCCCAAATCCTTATCCTGACCCCTTCCAAGTGCTATATAGTCGTAATGACTTGGCACTTTCCCCCTGATAGTTCCCTTCCCTTCCTGTCCTACTTCCGTATCATATCTAGTTTTAAAGCTATGAATAAATAGTGTTTGCTTCCACAACGTGGTCCTTTAGTTCATTTAAATTTCCCACTACTCTCACACTAAAGGAAAACTTCCTAACATCTCTGTGAATCATCTGAGTTTCCAGTTTCACCCACGTCCCCTTATTGTGAACTTACCTAGTTGTGCTTGCGGGGTTTGAGCTTTGGCTCTTTGATCCCGCCTCTTAACTGTCAATCAACTGGTGTACAGATTCCTGAGCCTACTGGGCTCTATCAAATCTACATTTCAAACTGTATGGAGTCTGCCTCCACCACATCACTGCTTAATGAATTTCATTTGTTAACTACTGATACTGACAACAAAATTTATAATGTCTCGGTGGCTAATTTGGATACTAAGTTTCCACCTGTGTCCCCTTGTTCGTGTTCCACCCGTAATAAAGAGTCTGTCTATGTCCGCCATATCTATTCCCCCTGAGAATTTTGTAGCTGATTATCATGTCTCCCCTTACTCCTCTGTTTTCCAGGGACGTGAGGTTTAGATCCCTTAGCCTTTCCTCGTAACTCATACCTCTCATTTCTGTGACTAGTATAGTGGCATACCTCTGAATCTTCTCTAACTTTTGTGTTTAACTGGGTATGGACTCCAGGCTGCATATGCATATTCCAGGATTGGTCTGACATAAGTGGAATACAAGGTCCTGAACGATTCCTTACACAGGTTTCTAAAGGCAGTTCTTATGTCGGATAATCTAGCATATGCCGCTGATGAATTTTGATGTGGGCTTCTGGGGACAGGCTCGGTGTGATATCAACCCCCAGATCTTTCTCCCTGTCTTTGGCATCACACTTACTTCATTTCATCCAGGCTCCATACAAGCTGAACTGCCAGAGATACTTATAGCTAAGTCGTATTCGAGCTGTGACAACGTCTCAACTACTCAACATCGTCACTCTACTGACTTTGTTACTTGCATCATCCACATGTTTGCTTTGGCACATTTTATTGTGATCAACAATGGATCTGCTGGTTCCTGTTTGCACTCCTCTACTTTCTTCTAATTTACCTTAAGAGTTATAGAGACACTTTTTTTTAATTCAATTTGATGGCCAAAGATAATGTTCAACATTGCCTTTATTTAGTGTATACTTGGTAAGGGCGTCGACTTTACCATGTTCATACAGACCAATGTGTGTGAGGTTATCTACAACAGTTAGTTCAGACTGACTGTGACCTCCTTATTAAGTGTGCATATATATCTACGTCTGTGTCTTCATTAATTCTGAGCGCTACAAGAAGAGCGAACAGTTCATTCAGTGTAAAATAGATGCCCTATTATTAACGCTTCCATTCCTCGCCACAGTGTTATCTTTCTGCTGACGAAAAATGAGAGCACTTCCCCACCTTCCAGCAGCTGATTACTGAGAACCGTCAGTGTACATGGTGTGATGTTGCCTGCAGAATGTACATTGTGTTCAAGGACGCCTAATTTAGCAGCAAGCTGAGTATGAGGGTTTAGTATGTGATGGGCACGTAGACGCCATGCTGTCATATAATGCATTATGTCTGCCAGGGCGGTGGGAAGTGTGTATATGTTCTAACAGTACGATTAATACAATCTTTTATTCGTTACTGAAGAAGAGCTTTAATCCTATTATAAGAGTGATCACCAATACTATATCTTGAATGCTAGATATACTTAGTCCTTTTTTCTGCGAGATGGGCATATTAGATGTACTTATAACGCCCTGGTAACGCTCAGTTACTCTCTCATCCATCTTTATCTCAATTATGGTATTTGTGCTTGGGTGGTTCTACTACCCAAAATCATCAACGTACTCTACTTACTCAGCACACAGCTGTTATTAGAACAATAACAAACTCTGGCCCCAGACAGCACTCGGTACCCTTACTTAAATCTTTGAATATGTTAGATATTAAGTCACTGCACATCCTCTCATGTGTACTCTATATATTGAAAACTCTGAACTGTAATGAAAATCCTGACCTTAAACGTTTCCTAGAAGATTGTAACAGAACCCATGGGCACCACAAATACCTATTTGATATTCCAAGAGTGCGACTTAACCAAACTAGAAATGCACTGCAAATCAAGGGGACCCAGAATGTAGAATGACCTTCCCAATCACGTCAAAGGCTGTACCACTCTCAACCAGTTTAAGAGGAAAACTAAGTACTACCTAATAAACTCCATGTAACCTACGTTACCCCCTAAATCTCAACCCATGTCTTGTTATTTTCAAACAATACTGTTTGTTGACCAACTTGTATAATTACTGATTTCCGCCAAGTTTTTTTTTTCCTTTTTCCCTTTTTCAACTTAATTTATGCTTTGGTCTCATTTAGCATTATGTTTCAAAGTGTTTTTTCCCACACCTTGGCCGAAACGCTGTGCGTATTAGTGGCTTTAGGCATTGTATGCACTAGCTCTATCTAGAAATCCAACATTATGTTTGTAACTCGTCTTCTATGTATGTACTTTTACCTGAATAATTTTTTTTTTTTTTTTGAGATATATACAAGAGTTGTTATATTCTTGTACAGCCACTAGTACGCGTAGCGTTTCGGGCAGGTCCCTGGAATACGATCCCCTGCCGCGAAGAATCGTTTTTTCATCCAAGTACACATTTTACTGTTGCGTTAAACAGAGGCTACAGTTAAGGAATTGCGCCCAGTAAATCCTCCCCGTCCAGGATACGAACCCATGACATAGCGCTCGCGGAACGCCAGGCGAGTGTCTTACCACTACACCACGGAGATTTGAATTCGAATTATAGCTAGTTTTTATTGACACCGTACAATCTTTCATATAAAATAGGGTAGCAGCACATTGCTGTGTATACCTAAGCTTGTTAATACAAAAAATCCTTTTCGCAAATAAAGAACTTTGAAAATTATTAGAAAGCCAAGAATAATTCTCCAGGTATTATTTTTAATTTTTATCAGTCCGTGCTGAGGTAATTCGTAAGAGGATGGACTGCTGTATCCTCCACTACCACTTGCATAACGGGTATGGGATGCATAATAAATGAACCAAACTAAATGATAATATGGAGGGTGAGGTGGGTGGGGGGGGTTGTCCTGGCGTATATAAGGCTGTGCTTGTAGCCTCGTGTCAGTCGACTCGTGCAAGGCTTTCCACACACTCATCATGAAGGTTCTGGTAAGCTGCCTCCCGCCGCTCAACAACTAACACTTGAGTATAGGGATGCCATAAACAATATGTAGTTTTTGATAAGGAACGACGCACACCTGGTGCGGAAGATTTTTTTTATATTGCTCTAGAATAAAAAACTTATGAAGTGTGAATTTTAATGTTTACGGAACTGAAATATAATGCTTGTGAATCGACCACATTTTCTTGATTTATATAAGAATATCTTAAGGGAGTAGAGTTCTTTACTTAACAACCCATGCAGAGGAATATCTATAGTGAATAAGTTTCTTATCTTAACCCATGTAGAGAAATATCTATAGGGAGTAACTTCCTGGGTTGGAGAGGAAAATGAATACGATCTATAATAATGATAGTGTTTCACGTGGAATATATGGCGGGAATGAACTGCAGTAAACATCAGAACTAGAGAGTTGTTATTGTTGTTGTTGGGTGTCTTGCTTGTTATCATGTGTATTACTGGTGTGTTATGGTTGGCAGCTGATGTTGGTGTTGGTGGGGGCTGCCATCGCCCTGCCCTCCCCGCAGCCTGGACCTCAACCAGACCCACAGCTACTCTACTACCCGTTCACATACCCCTACAGCACCTACACGCTCAAGTCTGCCACTCCCGCTGCCACCGTCCCGCTGACCTACTCCTACCCTGGTAAGTCTGCCACTCCCGCCGACACCTTCCCGCTGACCTACTCCTACCCTGGTAAGTCTGCCACTCCCGTCGACACCTTCCCGCTGACCTACTCCTACCCTGGTAAGTCTGCCACTCTCCCGCTGACCTACTCCTACCCCGGTAAGTCTGCCACTCTCCCGCTGACCTACTCCTACCCCGGTAAGTCTGCCACTCCCGCTGACCTACTCCTACCCTGGTAAGTCTGCCACTTCCGTCGACACCTTCCCGCTGACCTACTCCTACCCTGGTAAGTCTGCCACTCTCCCGCTGACCTACTCATACCCTGGTAAGTCTGCCACTCCCGCCGACACTCTCCCGCTGACCTACTCCTACCCTGGTAAGTCTGCCACTCCCGCTGACCTACTCCTACCCTGGTAAGTCTGCCACTCCCATTCGACACCTTCCCGCTGACCTACTCCTACCCTGGTAAGTCTGCCACTCTCCCGCTGACCTACTCATACCCTGGTAAGTCTGCCACCAGCTTACTCCTCTTATATCTCAAGGTCTATTATTGTTCCATTACTCTGTAACATTGGTAGTGACAATAGTATTTTGTTTAATTCATATTACTGCAACGGAAAACATTTCCTTACCAACAACTGAAAACAATATTGGTGTGGGATGATTGATTGACTTCGTTCATTTATTATGCACCCTATACCCAACCTGTGGGCATTAGTGGACCTCATACCCATTCAGTTGGCTGTAGTGGACCCCATATCCATCCTGTGGGAGGAAATGGACCTCCATTACAGAACTGGAGACCTTGGTCGAGAACCGGGTCGCGGGGACGCTAAGCCCATCTCAAGGTAATTTCAAGGTAGGTACTCCATACCCATCCCGTGGGCGGTAGTGGACACCATACCTATCCCATGAGCGGTAGTGGACACCATACCTATCCCGTGAGCGGTAGTGGACACCATACCTATCCCGTGAGCGGTAGTGGACACCATACCTATCCCGTGAGTGGTAGTTGACACCATACCTATCCCGTGTGCGGTAGTGGACACTATACCTATCCCGTGTGCATACCACTCTGTTGTGGTAGACGCACAACACACTCTGTGTGTGTGTGTGTGTGTGTGTTTTACTGTCTTCTCTGCCTCGATACTGCTCTTTCTCTATCTCCCTGTGTCCATCCCTCTATCTCACTCTTTGCCTGTTTATCTTCCTCTGTGTATCTGCCTCTCTCTCTTTCTTTCTGTTTCTGTTTCTTTCTCTGTCTGTATCACCTCTGTGTCACTCCTTCTTTATCTGTTTCGGACTTTTTCCTTCTCTGTCTGTCTGTCATTCTCCTTCTCTCTGTCTGTCTGTCATTCTCCCTCTCCCCCTCTCTTTCTCTCTCTTTCTCTCTCTCTTCTAAATACATTAAAGATAATTGTCAAATAATTCCAATAATTAAATAATTAGCATTAACATTTTAAAACCTTTTCTCTAATATGTAATATCATAACATTAAAAAAAGTTATATTATAATTTTGTGGGCCCACATTTTATATTCTTTTTACAAATTCTAAAAAAAAAGAGTAGATAAAACGTAATTTAAAACGTTAATACAACGATAGAATGTAGTTTTGAAAAGTTGCAAAAACGAGAAAATGTTTGCTGACCATCCTCACTGGGCTGACTATACACGTCTTTAATATTTCATAATAGTTTCTTGCTGTCAGTTTAATTATCACTACAATGATAAACTAACGATTATTACACTTACTGTCTTTAAAAAACACTAATAGGACTGCCACTAAGTATCGCTTCTCCTAGGATTCGGATATGGCTTCCCATTCAACTATCCCTTCGGGTATAGCCTGGTGGCACCTGCTGTAGAACCTGCTGCACCAGCTGCTCTTACAAAGTCAGCACCTGCCGCACCAGCTGCTGCTGCACCTGCAAAACCAGCTGCTGCTGCACCTGCCACACCAGCTGCTGCTGCACCAGCTGCACCTGCCGCACCAGCTGCACCTGCCGCACCAGCTGCTGCTGCACCTGCCGCCCCAGCTGCTGCTGCACCTGCCGCCCCAGCTGCTGCTGCACCCGCCGCACCAGCTGCTCCTCCGGCGAAGTCACCACCTGCTGCACCCGCGGCCTAATGGACATCAGTAGCAGTTAAAGGCGTCGCCAGCTCACCGGCAGTGTCCCTCTGTCTGCACCGAGACCACCGCCACATCACAGGACTCGTCATGACTGATTTTTATAAACACAATGGGACGGTGCAGTCGTGGTGCTGGGGCGAGGTGGGACCCCTTACTTCAGCCATGGTGCTGGGGCAAGGTGGGACCCCTTACTTCAGCCATGGTGCTGGGGCGAGATGGGACCCCCTTACTTCAGCCATGGTGCTGGGGCAAGGTGGGACCTCTTCCTTCAGCCATGGTACTGGGGCGAGATGGGACCCCCTTACTTCAGCCATGGTGCTGGGGCAAGGTGGGACCCCTTACTTCAGCCATGGTGCTGGGGCGAGATGGGACCCCCTTACTTCAGCCATGGTGCTGGGGCGAGTTGGGACCTCTTCCTTCAGCCATGGTGCTGGGGCGAGGGGGGGTACCCGGCCATCACCCTCCACCCACCAGGGCTGCCACCACAATCATTAACAGTACTACTAATATTCAGTGTTTCTGTACAGTAATATTACAATTACATTCTCATGATACATATCTGGGCAGGAAAAAGTACAGTATATGATAATATTTTCATCCCGTATTGTGCAGTGTCGTGGGTAATGCTAATAATTTTAAAATTATAATTGCAAATCATTTAATAATAATGAGAATATCAAATTAAATTAATAAAATAAATCATATAATTAATTCTAGTTTTAATATTGTGATCAGATTTTATGAGGAGAGTGCATCATTTATGAGCGTGTGAAGGATATGTGAGACCTCGCTGGGTTACAGTCGGATACAGAGCCCGGTCAACACATATGATGGTGAAACTGAAGATGCTTCAGTCTGTAATAGACAATTATGAAGTCGAAACTGAGGAAAACTGGAACCAACGATCATAGGGCATGAGAGGAGTGTGAGTAAGAGGAGGTACCGTGGCCAACAGTGGCCCTTGCCCGGGCCAGATTTATAAGTGGCCAACTGCCCCAGGCCTCTCGACTTCCTTTATATAAAAAATGTAATCATTGTGATTGTTTTAAACTTTCGTTGCTGAACGTGAATAGTTAAAACTAATTTTCTTTATTATTCTTTTGTTCGGCTGTTAGTGTGAATACAAAAATTAATACCTAATACGGTAGTATAAAAAGAAAAACAGCAGGGATGTGCATAACTTAAAGAAATAAAGACATCGCAACAATTTATACTTTTCCTGATCACTAGTCATTTGCATCACTTCAGTCTATATTACAAACTGAAAAATGTAGTCAAAGTTATTCTTAGTCAATAAAATTGAGAAAAATTAAATCAGACAAGTTTCTTCTTCAGAACCTAACATATTTTTTGAATATATGATGCAGTTTATCATCAATGCAGTTCATTTTTTTTTTTTTGTCATTGAATTTAATTTTTATGTTAAGTGCCCCCTGAATTTAAACTGTTGGCATTCTTTCTAAGATCAGATATTATGTACCTCGCCCTGCCCTGGTGACACTATTACTCTCTCGTCTATCCTTATCTCAACTATGGTATTTGTGCTTGGGGTTCTATTACCCAAAATCATTTACGTCCTCTAATTACTCAACACAAAGCTGCTATTAGGACAATATCTAACTCTGGCCTCAGACATCACTCGGTACCTTTACTCAAATCTCTGAATATGTTAGATATTAAGTCACTGCACATCCTCTCACGTGTATTTTATATATATAAAACGCTGAACTGTAATGTCAATCCGGACCTTAAAAGCTTCCTAGAAGGTTGTAACAGATCCCATGAGCACCACACCAGAAACAAATACCTATTTGATATTCCAAGAGTACGACTTAGTCAAACTAGAAATGCTTTACAAATCAAGGGACCTCGACTGAGGAATAACCTTCCCAATTATGTTAAAGACTGTACCTCTCCCAACCAGTTTAAGATAAAAACTAAGTGCTACCTAATTAACTCAATGTAACCTACATCACCCCTAAATGTCAACCCATGTCTACGATTTTAAACAATGCTATTTGTTGACCAAATTGTATTCTTGCTTTTTTTCTGCCATGTTTCCTCCCTCCCCCCCTTTTAAGGGGAATAAGGGCACATAGCAACCTTTAAACCCTCACAAGGCAGGCTGGAACCCAGAAAACGCATCCATCGGTCCACCAAGCCCCAACGGGGTTTTCCAGGGCCTGTAGGGTGTCGACTACAGGAAGCCTGGGCATGGTGTTGCTGACCGGTTAAAAACCCAAAGCTAACAAGGGAAGGAGTACAACATTGAAACCCCTGCGACATGTACAATCACGGGGGCCTAGTAGAGGGCCAACAAAATATTATCAGTGGAACTATACCCACACTAGGCAGACCCCCACCAGACTATTGAAAAAAAAAGAATAACTTCGCAAAAGTACAACGTCCCCAAAGGCAACAGGAGCCAGCCTGCCACCCGCGTAGGTGGCAGGCTGCGTAACACCTTGACGCCCCATCCAGCATGATACCACTTCCTACCCAAGGCCAAAGAAGGGCCCCCCAAATCCTAGCTGGCCCCAAGGGCAAGGTAAATGCCGAGCAGCAAGAACCTCCACGGAAATGGTTCCCGAACGTCCCAGGGAAGAGAATCCTAACACACAAGGGCAGTACTCACATGGCGCTTAGGAAAAGAAGCCCTTAAGCACATGCAGCCCCAGTACTGATCAGTAACTCCTGGCCACCACACATAACAATAATACAGTAAAGCGCGTCACGAAGGCAAACACCGCCAAGGAATTTGAGGCCAGAGATGCGTCTGTCCCAGTTGATACTAGCTTGCAAACTGAAGGCCTGAGCCATACTGGCATGGGAGGGGAGGGCTGCCCAGACGAGCGGAGCAGCAGTAAAGTGTGAAATTTGCTTGTTTGCTTATTTCATTGGGATTGGAGGGAGTTCTACATCTCTTTTCAGTTTTTGTTGTTAGTTTCTTACCATGTGGGGTTTGTTTTGTTATACCTACCTTTCTGGGTGCCTAACCCTGGTCGATGGCAGATAAGGAAAACCCCCGACCCCGGGGAGGATGTTCCCAGGGCCATTGCTCGCTGAAACCTCTCTGAAGGGGCCAGGTTCTGGCTCGTGGTCCCTCGTAGGTGGAACTCCATAGCTAATGTCCCGGTCTAATATAAAACACATTAGCCCGATAGCTCCAGGGAGCCGTAGGGACTTCCCACAGAAAAGGCATTCGTAAAGCACGTGGCTGACTATGTTTACTTAACTACTGTACAGTACTATCCATTTTTGGAGAATAGGTTTCCTAATTTATGTATTTTGTACTTACAATTTCTTTGTACTCTACCTGTATTTTGTTTACATCACCTATAGTATTATATATCAGTATCCAGTATATATCTTTGTCAAAATTAAAATTACAACGTAATTTTTGGGTGAAAACTTCTATGCTAGAGAAAGATGCGTCACACATGTCCGTCCATGTGTTCTGGGTAATAATAAACAATTGTGGGAAATTTTACCCACTTTATCAATAATATTATCTAAGAAATGTATTAATTCTATATCATATCAAAATCATATCAGAATCACTTTGGATTCATTAAAATCCTACATCTGGATTCTACATAACAATGCCACCATGATCATGTACACCAAAAGGCCCATGGTGCCTATGTGACTTTGTGCATGATTTCTCAAGGATCTAGATGCTTCAAGAATATCTTAATTAATATACTTTCGCACTTTATGCGAGCAAGAGCCAGACCACCCCCAAGGTGGGTCGGGCATTCCACGTGAGTGCACGGTAATACTGAAAAGTGTAAACCCTTTTCAATTTTTCACCTCAATTCTCGTCCTAGCTTTTTTCATTTTGGTTTCAATGTGTTCGCAATAGAATTCCCTACAGGAATATATGTATATAAAGTCCAAAAGACAGGCATAACACCCACACCAAGCCAAGAAATTGGTCGCACGTTATTACTCGTGAGCGCGCAAGAGCATTAAAATGTGTATACTCTTTTCACTTTGGTCACCTAAATTTTCGTCCTAGGTCTTTCATTTTGATATCAATGTGTTCACAAAAGAATTCTCTACAGGAGTTTATGCATATAATGTCCAAAAGCTAGGCGTAACACCCACACCAAGACAAGAAATTGGCCGCGCGTTATTACTCATGAGTGCGCAAGAGCATTGAAATGTGTATACTCTTTTCACTTTGGTCACCTCAGTTCTCGTCTTAAATCTTTCATTTTGGTATTAAAGTGTTCACAATAGAATTCCATATAAGAGTATATGCATATAATGTCCAAAACCACGGTGAGCCCCACCCGCAGCCAACCCGAAAGCAAAGAAATTTTTTTCATTTTTGATGCACCGATGCATCATTCCCCCACATTCGTCTAATAAATTTTTGATGCCATACTGCATCGTCACCAAGTGAAAGTGTTATTAAAAACTATTGGAACATAAATCGATTTCAGGTGAGGATTAAATCAAATCCTTAATAAGAATCAATGGTACTATTAAATACTACCAATAATCTATATCTAATTATATTATCATCACATTTTATCTCAATTATATGTCTAGACAGTAAAAAAATCAATAAATATTCATTGAAGGTTACCTCACTCTGAGAGCATGGTGAACGATGGCTGGGAGAGAAGCGCCCACCACCGTCTGAGAGGAGAACATTTCTTTACATAAAGAGTGCAAACACAGGACGGTGCCTTGCAAACATTTTCAGTAAAGGACACCACATTAACTTATCATTATCACCACAAATTACTCTCTAGAAACTGAGGAAGTACCTGAACTATTTATATAGGGAAAATTCTTAGCAAGTACTTTTATCTAAATACGAGTCAAGAGAGTGGCTCACAACAGACGCCACCTCCACCACACGTAATCTTATCCTGCTGCAAATGCAACTAAGCACATAATCAACTAGCAAAGTTACCAGAATATTAAACAGCAAAGCTGTGACATAAAATATAGCGCCTAAGCTCTACAAGAGAGGTTATCCAGTCTGGCAACTTGTCAGATGGCACTGGCACTCAAATTGGATAAAACCTAAGTATATTGATTGTTTTTGTAGTGCGTTGATTGGCCAATTGCATGCCTGTATAACCTTAATCTATCCAATAAGTCTGTCGTTACATCTTGAGGTTATCTTGAGACGATTTCGGGGCTTTTTTAGTGTCCCCGCGGCCCGGTCCTTGACTAGGCCTCCACCCCCAGGAAGCAGCCCGTGACAGCTGACTAACACCCAGGTACCTATTTTACTGCTAGGTAACAGGGGCATAGGGTGAAAAACTCTCCCCATCGTTTCTCGCCGGCGCCCTGGATCGACCCCGGGACCACAGGATCACAAGTCCAGCGTGCTGTCCGCTCGGCCGACCGGCTCCCATCATGTCCCAAATCTTGGGGCAATGTCCCAGATTTCAGTGAGTTTTGATTAATCTTTCAGTAACTGAATCTTTTCAATGCTATGTGGACACTCAGTTATTGAAAGTCAGCCAATGTTTGCCTGAATTGATTCACATAAATTGTAATATACCTGTATACTGTATATAACTGACCATAAACATTAAGTTAACCATAGCTTACTTAGTTATCTTTATCATAATGAATATAATCTCTTGTACCTCGGTAACAGTACTTGAACCAAATTTAAGGTCCTTTTGATTTCATGTTTACATATATCATACCTCTATAATACAAATTGTTGTGCTTATTAGTATGTGAATATTGGTTGTTGTAATAATAGAGCTAGGCTGGATTATGTACATGTTTAGATCCTTGATTTAAACAGAAGCAGTGTTCAGTTATAGAACCAAGTTATTTAATCTTATCCTTGTATAAACAATACAAGCTAATGTGTTGAATTGTTTGCAGGTGGATTGTACATCTCCAATGAACATCTCCATTCACCCTTAAGGACCCACCTGCCCCTTACAGCCCACAGTCTGTCATTAGGACAAGAGGAGCTAGGACTTACGACCCTAGCTAGAGACTTTAGTTGTATTAATTTTGCATACAGTAATTTTTTTAATTTAGTACAGTACAAGTCCTAAGTAGTAATTCTCATTAATCAATCCCAGCAATTTTTTCACACCAGTAATGCCATGTGTGTGTGTAGCCCAGTGTCATTATACCAGGTATGCTCACTGCATCACGACACTGTACACACTTGTGTGTGAAACTTTTCTCCCAATGAAATATGATTGGCCTATGTGAAAGATAAAATTAATACAACTAGAATATATAAAAATATTTATTCCATTAACAATATAACAAAATTCATATAAAATATATTAAATTACAGTATTACTGGTTTATTACATTTTCTATTCCTTAAAATTTAAGATTAACTGGTGACTACCAAGGTAAAAACCATTGAAAAAAACATCTTTTGTACATCAACAGTTGAAATGAAATGCTTAGATATTAAAACATTTTAGAATGAGAGATCATGTGTTTAAGCTGCTTTTCTAAGCTGTAATAAGTAAGACACTCAAAATATACAGTAAAGTCAAAAACAATTATGATCCTGTATCAAATGTGAGATATTCCTATACCTGACTAACATTGTATTTACCTCAATCATGATTTAACAAGTCATAGTATTTTGGTACATACATTACTAAATAGTTACCTTGTTTGAAATATAAATCGTGCCTACCATTTCTCACCTTAAAGGGGTGAGAATTCATCAGCCTACAGAACATAAGTGAGGGTGAAAACATTAGAAAAGAAAGCTAAATACACATTTTCAAACATGATACCCATCCATTAACCATATTGTATGACTACATTACATCTCAGAGAACCAGCCACTACACACCTGCTAGTTATTACGACTAGCATTTGATCTTATTATGTTAGGTATATTGTACTTCTCTTGAGCTTTGTTCTAATCATGCCCAACATTTACTTCTTTATAAACTGCAACCACCTACCCATACTTTCTATCACATCTGCTGTCTGCCACCTACTCCTGCTTCCTATCAGATCTGCTGTCTACCACCTACCCATGCTTCCAATCACATCTGCTGTATCCCACCTACCCATACTTCCTATCACATCTGCTGCTGTCTGCTACCTACCCTTACTTCCTTCCACATCTGCTGTCATCTCATTTGATTCCATTCCTGGCTTCCTACCCTCCAATTCTCTTGGAAACTCTCTTTAACCACTTTCAACCATTTATTGTGACTAAACACGCTTGAATTCTCCTCAATCTTACATTTTACTGATTTAAGCACTGATCATTCTCAGACATTTTTATTCATTACTCTATTCTCATAACATTGTAACATGCTTCTCAGGTTCCACATTTCTACTGCACTATTGCTTGATATTTAAAGCTCATGCTGCACTAGTGTTAAACAGCCATGGAGAATGGTCAGGGAACTACCATGTCTTAATGCACCACTCTGGCTGTATTTCTAATTACCTTGCTCCCATAAATTCCTTTCCAGTTTATCACATCCCAAATACTGATACTGTACTTAAAATAATAAAACTATTTTTCCATTCAAACTAATTTTATACTCTCTCTCTCTCTACATGAAATTGTCAACACTTACAAATGTTTGCAAAGAAAGTTTTGAAGACGAAAAATATTCTAAATAACTTGATCCTTTCTACAAAATAGATAATTATTAATAAAAGCTGATTTTTTTTAAGATTTAAATTAATTAATTAGAAATTATGAAAAGAAATTGTTTGAAAATGAAGTAAATACAGGAAAATTATTCAAGAGCAAAAACCCATAAGAGAAACAAAAATTAAAAGTCCAGTCAGTTCAAGTCAATACCAACACCAATTACCGGCAAGTCCCTAACTCTAAACACACAACTTTCATGGCATTTTTAACAATGGTAACTGTGACTAAGAAACAAATGCACCAACCAGATTTATCAAGGACTAAATCTTGCAAATAATAATTGTCATGTTGTCATTTTATACTGAATTGTTATCATACTGTATTAACTTATTAACAACAGGTACAAATAATTCACACTAATTTTCGGATTACGGGCTATTCATGCACATGCCACCTCTTAGTTGGCTTAATCTTCATCAATCAAAAAATGTTCACAAAATTAATTTTAGTATTTCCATTCCTACAAATTATCTACATCTCTGATACCATTATCCCCTCTGGCAATTCCATGCCACTGAGTGGTTGAACACATGCTGAAGCTACCTTCAACATTTATCATGCCTCACCAATAAGCTTTACTCATCAATGGGCTTTCAAAATACTTGTCAAGGCACACTATAAGCAGTCACCACTGGCTTGCACTGGGAAACCAAATGTCAGAATGGGAATGCCCCCAATTAGCATATACTGTAATAGAAAGAGAATAGGAACAACAAAACAAAAACATTAACATAAATAAGGAAAAATAAATAGAAAGCCATTTTTGTTAAAAAGAGCCAGGTGAAGAAAGTGGAGCAGATGACCAAGTGATATTGCAGCGTAAATGTATCCAGATAGAGAACCACTGTGGAAAGGATTACCTTTTTCTTCACAAATACGTAGGTGCTTTAAAGAGAAGCCAAGGCAGATTTCTCTACACTCACTTTTTTTTTTACAATATCATGGACAAAATATAAATTTAAAATAAAAAATACTTCTTTGCCACACCTGATGCTTGACTAGGTTTTGCCCATGTTCAGTCTATTGAAGTGACACTTAAATCTTATGCTTCATATAATGTCAAGGATATCTCTTGATATCATGAGCAATGTTCTATCATCTTGTACAATAAGTACAAATTAGTTCTGCTTGCTTTATGTTCTACTGGCATTAGAACTTTTTCTGAAGATCTCGAATCTTATTCAGTCTTCCCTTTTATTGCCACAGTAGTCATATGTGCAAAGTTCTTGTGTCTTTCTAATTTTTTTTTCACTAGAGAGGTGAGTTGCAAAAACGTGGGTGATGATATGATAACCAAACCATGCATCAAAAAATGGAGAAACGATGACGTTTTGGCTTGTCCTGGACCATTATCAAGTCGATAATGGTCCAGAACAGAGCGATACACCATTGTTTCTTTATTTTCTGATGTGTGGTTTGGTCATCAATTTTCATTAGGGTTCTTGCACCCACTACTGACCTTCACTCATTGGGTTCATAGGTTTCTGTTGACTACAGTAGATTTTGTCAAGGAACTTGTTTATGTTAATTTTTTTGGCTAATTTCTGTGCTTGTCTCCTCTTCAGCTGAAATAACAAACAAAAGTTTTATAAGAACTTTTATTTATACAGTATTATGGTAAAGTTGCTAGTTCTTTAGCTATGATGAATAAATACAAATTTAAAGATCTTGGGAAAACCCTATGGTATATATATTGAAAGCTAAGAAGTGCATCTATACAATCTATATTGTATTATATATGTATAAAGACACTGCTCTGTAATGAATAATTTATTAGGATATTAACCAATTATATCAGAGGCTGAAGTTTCAATAAAAATAAGAGATCAACTGGCAGCAAGCCAGTTATAAGTATATTATATCTTTCTGGAGGGAGCTCCTTTGGCTCCCTGGAGCTATCCAGGCTGATACGTACATTATTAGACTTTAGCATCAGTGTGAATGGAGTTCTAGGCCTACCGGGGACCATGAGCCAGAACCTGCCCCCCCCCCCACCCCCTCAGAAAGGCACGAGGAGCAATGGCCATGGTTTTACACACAATACACATGTGTAATTTCCGAAGTGTAGGTACAGGATGAGAGCTACGCTTGTAGTGTCCCGTCTCCCCAGCACTCTGTCATATAACGCTTTGAAATTACTGATGGTTTTGGCCTCCACCATCCTCTCACATAACTTGTTCCAACCATCTACCACTCTATTCACAAAAGTTAATTTTCTTATAATTCTTCGGCTTTGTTTCATTAGTTTAAATCTATGACTTCTTGTTCTTTAAGTTCCAGGTTCTTGAAGTTCCTAAGCCGAAACAATCTGGCAATTACAGACCCATTTCATTAACATCATGCATTAGTAAAACTGCAGAACGGATGGTCTTAAATAGGCTACTGTGGAAGACTGGAGACCTGCATAAACACATATTTGGCTTCACTAAAGGAGTAGGTACTGCCAACTGCATAGGAACATTACTAGGAATAGTTAACTCAGGTCCAGCTATAGTGATCTTCCTTGATCTAGAAAAAATATTTGAACTTGCAAGCCCGCAAGCAATTTTACACACCTTAGTTAAAAAAGGTGTAAAGAGAAATATACTAGCATGGATTCAAGATTACCTAAGTCACAGGTATGCCAGAGTAAAGTTGCAAGGACATGTGTCGGACTACCACAAATGTTCTGAGAGTGGCTCACTCGTTTCTCGAAATGCTCGTAGATAGAGCCGTTCGTTAATCAAGGTGCCACTGTATTTAAAAGCAATTCGGAAGTTAGAAAGTGTAGCACAGGCCCCTTGCACAATGTTCTTAATGTGGTCCTCAGGTGACAGGTTTTTAATTTAGAACCACCCCTAGATCTCTTTTTTATCAGAATTCTTTAAAGATTTATAACATAATTTATAGGTTGTATGGGGTCTATGTTCCCCTATTCCACATTCCATAACATGGCATTTATTCACATTAAATTCCATTTGCCAAGTGGTGCTCCATATACTTATTTTGTCCAGGTCTTCTTGAAGGGCATGACAATCATCTAAGTTTCTTATCTTCCCTATTATCTTAGCATCATCAGCAAACATGTTCATATAATTCTCTATTCCATCTAGTAGATTGTTTATGTTGACAATGAACATTACCAGGCTGCATGACAGAGGAAAAAACTATGAGCATTGCCCTGAGACACGGGGAGAGAGCAACCCTCAAACTCACACAAGGAGAGAGGGGACCCAGGGGTCGCATCCATCGGACCCCATGTGCTCCTACAGGGTTTCCCAGGGCCCCTAGACTGGTATCGCTAAGGGCAACCCCAGGCAGGAGTACTGCTAACCGGTGCCCAATGCTACCAAACAAACTGCTAATGCTGAACCCCCAGAACGTGTCCACTCATGAAGGCGAAGCAGGGGGTACCACCAAAAACAGAAGGTCAAACCCTAATATAAATGGGGGAAGAGACACCAAAGCAGACCCCCCCCCATGCAAAAAGAAAAACAAAAAGAAAAACCTGGTAAGAGGACAGCATACCCAGAAGGAACAGAGCTGGCTGCTGTTATAGGCGAAAACTAGCTGCGCAGTACCCCATGCCCCTACCAGTGCAAAACTACCACTTACCCCAAGGTAAACAAGGGCAGAAACACCCCCCAAAACACTTGGTGCAGTCAGTCGCCAAGCAGCAAAAGACAAACAGAGGTAGACCCAAGGTGACTTATGGAAGATGAACCCAAGCCCCATGTCTGTACTTACAGGGCACTCAAGGAAGGTAACCCTAAGCACATGCAGCCTGGGTACCTGTGAAAATTACTCCCAGCTCACATGCCACCGTAAGAGCAGTACTGGACACAAGGCACAGCACAACGGAGAAACTGGAGCTGAAGTCACACGACAGAGTCGGATCACATCAGCCGAGAACTGACAGGTGGATAGCCCGTGCAATGGGTCTGGGGCTTCCCCTTCTCACTTCCAGGGAGAGGAGAGCTGTGCAGACAAGCGGCGCGGCAAGTGTGATGTCATGCTCGTTTTTCAATTGGGCAGTTCTGTTTACTTGTTAGTCTTCAGTAGCAGTTTTAACCAGATTAGGGGTTTGTTTCGGGGCACCTACCTTTCTGGGTGCCCGGCCCAGTCCATGACAGACACAGAATGCTCCACAAACATGTGCATTTCTATAGACCACTGCTCCTCGTGCCTCTCTGAGGGGGGAGGGGGGAGGGGGGGTGCAGGTTCTGGTCCGTGGTCCCCGGTAGGCCTAGAACGCCATTCACACTGACCGATGCCAAAGTCTATTAATTAATATACATATCAGCCTGGATAGCTCCTGGGAGCCGAAGGGGCTACCCCCAGAAAATTAATTAAGATTGTGCGTCTTATACGCCAGTAAATGCGGAAGGTAGGGCTTCCCCACAAGAAGGTAGGGTTCGTTTCTGGGTGCTGAGGAATTCTTCTTTTCGGAGGTTTCTTCCTTTTGGCTCTCCCCTGTGGTGGTTCGGGAGCGTACCTCCTGCAAGACCCAGTTTATGCCTCTGTGTTGGATCTGGCTTTGTTTACATTCAGTTCCTCCTAAAGTGATTGGGTACCTTTTCGAAGTTCCGGTGTGTTCCTGGCTAGCAGCCTGCCTCGTCTACTGGTTGGTGTGGGATTCCTACCGGTCTGCTTGTCTGCTAGCCAGGGTTCTGGATCTTTCCCAGCTTGCCACATTCGGGTTCCTGGTACTTGGCGGAAGTCAAGTTCCTGGTACTTGGCGGAGGTAGCTCTGGGGAGTCGACAGAGCTCTCCCCAGAAAACCAACGTTGAATGTAATGAAACACTATTTTCTGAATGAGTCCCGGAGGCTCCCCGGCATCCCTCCCTCCCTCCGTTCGGCGGCATTTTTCGCGTATTTTGACATCCAGCCTAAGAACTGCCAGTTGGATCGCCAGTGTGGAGGGTCTGGGGCTCCCCTTCCCCCTCCTGGGGAGGGGGAGGGTTGTGCAGACAGTGGCACGGCGACGTGATGACGTCATGCTAGTTAGATAATTTTGTTTGGGGAGTTCTGTCCACTCGTTCGGCTTTCAGTAGCAATATTTTTACAAGAATAGGGGGTTTGTTTTGGGGCGCCTACCTTTCTGGGTGCCTATCCCGGTCGATGGCAGACATAGAATGCTCCCAACCACAAGGGAGTTTCTATAGGCCATTGCTCCTCGTGCCTCTCTGAGGGGGCCAGGTTCTGGCTCGTGGTCCCCGGTAGGCAAGAACTCCTAGCACTTTGACTGAAGCCAGAAAGTTATACATATCCATTCAGCCTGGATAGCTCCGGGGAGCCGACGGGGATCCTCCCCAGAAAAGTAGTCAAAGACTAGTGTATTACGACAGTAACAATCCTTCAGAGGATGTTGTTGCAAGAAAGAAGGAACTGGCAATTGTGATATCAAGATGGCATAGACAGTTAGTTAACTAAATTTCTAAAAAATGCATAATGCCACCATAATGGCATTATGGTGGTGGTGGCGGCAAAACTTCTTTTCATTTAACTAAAATATGGTAATGTTTTAGAATAACACTGTTTAAAATAACTTAACAGCCACTAGTATAATTACACAGATTATACTAGTATTAGATAAGTACAGTACTTATGCTATTACTTATACTAGCCTACATCCCATACACCTTAATGTATGATGAGTACAGACTGGATTCATCTTACTTGTTCTGGGAAATACTCTATCTTCTTGCGTTTCTTGAGAGGAAGTGCCGCTGATTGTTGCATGACATGAGAGTCAGAGCTGCAGCTGCTGTTTAATGCTATTGCTGAGACAGGGACTGGAGGCATACACATGTGTTTTCCAGGGGTGGGAGGCATAGAACATAAGCTGTTTACACTCTCTTCACTCAAATGAAAGCTGTTTGCCTGTTTAAAAAGAAAATTTAGTACATACATTTAGAAACAACAATATTCATGCACAAATTACAGTTACATATCTTTTCCCATTACAAGGAAATATTAATGTACATTTCAAATAGATTAGGAAGTAGATCAGTAACATCAAGATGCCAAGTAACATATATATGATGGACTGGAAGTGAAGTGCAGGTGAGCATGGTACAAGGGGAAACTGTGACAATGACTAGCATCCTGATTGGGGAAGTATGGCGAGTGTTTCATGTATGGACACTCACCATCAAATTTAATACAAATTTATTCCCTCAAAAAGCCAGCGTTGAATGTAATGAAACGCCATTTTCTGGGTGGGACCCGGAGGCCCCCCCTGGGAGCTATCCAGGCTGATATGGATATTATTAGATTTTGGCATCAGTCAGTGTGAACAAAGTTCATAGGCGTACCAGGGACCACAAGCCAGAACCTGGCCCCCTCAGAGAGGGGACAAGGAGCAATGGCCTATAGAATTGCACATGTGATTTGGAGCATTCTGTGTCTGCCATCAACCAGGTCAGGCACCCAGAAAGGTAAGTATCCCAAAACAAACCCCTATTCTGGTTGAAACTACCTACTACTGAAAGTCAAACGAGTGGGCAGAACTATCCCAAAGAAAAACGTGCAAACGAACATGATGTCACCACTTGCTGTGTCGCTGTCTGCACAGCTCCTCCAAGAGGGGAAAAGGGGAAGCCCCAGACCCCCAACGTTGGCTACCCACACCAGTTCCGAGGCTGGATGTCAAAGCACGCAAAAAAAACACTGACCAGAGGGAGGGAGGGAGGGATGCCAGGGAGCCTCTGGGTTTCACCCAGAAAATAGCGTTTCATTACATTCAACGCTGGTTTTCTGGGGTGAAGCCCCTTTGGCTCCCTGGAGCTAAGTACCCAAAGACAAGGACAAAAGAGGAATAATCCTGGGAGGCAGAAACCACGTGCCCTAAATCCAAAAGCAAGACAACTGGCAATACCAAATGACCCTGCGGACGACCCGGGAAACCCAAACCCTGTAACAGGGATGAAGGGAACCCGGGTCAACCTAAAGCACATCCACAGCCATAGAGGCCACGGCACGCAGGCAATGGGGGAGAGTCACAACTGGACACAAGAAGATGCACCCCCGGCCAAACCAGCCAAGCATCAACAACTCCAGGGACCCCTCCGGAAAACAGCTGTCCCAACCTCACCAGAAAAGAAAGAGACAGTTGCAAACGAACAAACTAACATCAGAACCCAATGGAGCAGAAGCCTTTGAGAAACAATCCTGAACCGAAAGGGCCACTACAAATTGAGGGAGAAAGAGATAAGAGAGCAAGGCGCGAAGCGAAAAACACCTGCACGATACGGTGTAACACCGTATCCTGCAGGATCAGCGCAAACAGCTACAACAGTGGAGACAATGCACACAGCGCCGAGACCAAGGCACCAGACCCAAGAACGGCCCCAAGAGCCTCCACATCCTCCTGAAGCCAATCCAAAGACATCTCCAGGAGGGAAAAGAACCGCAAGACTGAAGCCAGCAGGCCACAAGCACGCAAGGCCTCAGCTACCAGTTCAGCCGACAGGGACGGGACCTACACGAGAAGCTGAACCATGCCAACATCCCGCTGAAGGACAGGGGCGAACAAACATGCATTGAGATGCTCGAATTCGCCCCCTCAGGTAAACCAGGACTACTGTCAATGCCTCATGCCACTCAAGTGTGTGGGAATGACAGAAAGTACTCCAAGCATCCATTGAAAACACAGAGCAGTCCACTAGCTAGGACGACTTCGGAACCTCATAACAAACCCAATATGGAAACGAAGACCCAAACCTGAAAGAAGACAGATCCATTAGAGGCATAATCCGGGTCGCGCAGGAGGTAAGCCGCAATTGCCACCCGCACCTCAGCAGGCAAGAGGTGGGAAGCCGAAAACCTCTGGAAGGACGGAACCGACGGACCCAAAGGGACACAAAACAGAACCCGGAAAGAGCCGATACCTATCCAACTCGTGCACAGAAGAGGAAAATAAAATCCCACTACTTGTAACAGCAAGTCCCGCTCAGAGGGTAGGAATACCCAGGCAGGGTCCAAAGGGACCCAAGGCCCCCCAAGTCAGCCCCTCCCCAACCCCAGGAACCTCCAAACCAAGACCCAGGGTCGACACGTCCACCAAAGCCCCAGCCTCAAAAGAAAAAACCGGGGCAGCTGAAAATGCAGGAAGGAAGGAAGAGGGCCCACTGGTCAGACGACCCCGTTGCCACGGTTGGAGGAACCAACTCAAATGCCTCCATTGCCCCCCCCCCCCCCAAGTGATGGTCTGTCTTCATGCAGGTGGGCGTTCAATCCCCGACCATCCACAAGTGGTTGGGACACCATTCCTTCCCACCGTCCTATCCCAAATCCTTATATAGTCATAATGGCTTTGTGCTTTCCCCTGATAATTACCCCCCCCCTGGAAGTGGCAACCCCCAAAACTGCCTGTCTCAGAACCTTCTAAATCTTGCCCCGACCCCAAAGCCCTTAGACTCTTCATAGCCAGAAGTGGGGTGGGGGGAAGACGGGACCCAAAAAGAACCCCACCGGGGGGGAAGAACGAGGGGGTGCAGACTGAACCAAGGCTGAAGCGACCAACTTCCCCAAACTTCCCCAAGTCCGAGTCCCTATAAGCAAAGTGGGGCAGCCGTGGGGTTGCCTCAGGGCATCCGGGGAAGCAACCAATCTAGCACATTGCAGTAACCTATACCTCGCATGCAATGCCCGAGCCGCCTACACATGAATAATGTCATCAAATGATTGGGTAAATTGAGTCACAAACAAGCAACAATGCTCGCAGGACTCCGCATCGAAGGTATCGCCGACCGAACAGGCAGCATGAAGGAGGCAAAAACAATGAGCGTCTCCCTGAGACAAGGGGATAGAGCAACCCTCAAACTCGCACAAGGCGAGAGGCCGAGACCCGGGGCAGAGTCCTCATCCACACACACACACCACCCAGGAAGCAAAGGCAGAGTCCAAGGTCCAGAGGTCTCCAAAGATTGAGTTGGCTGGGAAGACTCGGAAGCCTTGGAGGGAGGGAGGGAGAGGCTCAACTGCCTCCGAGCCCTCACTGGAAGGGGCAACTTCCGGAGCTGCCTAAGCCTCATCCCAAGCTAAACCCTGCCCCAGGTCTGAAACCTTTAGACACTTTGGAGTTGAAAGCAGCGGGAAGAGGAGAAGAGCAAACCATGACCACCTGGGAAGGAAATTGGGTGCAGACGGAACCATGGTCGAGGTGACCAACACCCTAAAATCCGAGTCCCTGATAACCAAGTGGGGCAGTCCGGAGCTTCTGACTGGGCAACCTGGTACGTTGGAACACGGAAAAACGCCTAAGTTATGTGACTGCTGCCTGATACGTCAGAATTTTCAGCAAGGAATGGGTGATTTGGAGCATATGAGAAGAGCAAGTCCCACATGACTCAACATGCAGCATGGCAGAGGCAGAATGGATGATCATCACGCTGAGGCAAAGGTGATGAATAATCTTCAAATTCACACAAGGCAAGAGTGGACTTCGAAAAGGTATCGATTATACAACTAAGCCCAACATATTTACAAATAATCCAACATTCCAAAATCTTCAAATATTTTTGTGAACATCGTTCAGGTTCATTACTCATCAAAACTCTCGGGCAAAACCATAAGGAGCAGTAATATGCAAAATTGACACTAGCTATTGAAAAAAACAGTCCAAAGCCATTGAAATGTCAAATGTAAACAAGGTTGATCCATGTCAATAATACTGACTGCAACTCTTCCTCTATAGAACAGAAATTTTCCTCGGGGAAAGTCCTCCAACTCACTCCAGAATGGAAAAGGGGCACACCTAATGCAAAAGGTGATAAAGCTAACGGCTCGAGAAGAGATTCTGGAACAACAAAAACTTCTTACCAGGAGAATGCAGAATACAGTATTCCAACTTTCAATGTAACCTTCCCCCTGACATCTGTGAAGCTAATATGCATAGACAGAGAGCTGCAGCTAAAGAGGAAGGCTGAGAAGACAAGTGAACCCAAGCTACTTGAGGGAAAAGCTGACACACCCAGAATAAGGAAATAAGAAGTACCCTTTTGTACATGAATGTCAGATACACATGTTAAGAACTAAAGTTCCTCTTCAAAAATACAGTATTGAGTTTAATGAAATACTTCTTTCTAGTGAGTTCCCTCTTTATCTCCACGAGTTACTCACCTGGAGTCCTCCAAACTTAGGTACCATGCTAAGTTCTAATGATTCAAAACCACCCAGACCCAAGAATCCCATAAAGTATACAATACTGCAAGCAGCAGAAGGAACGAGGCTGCAAAGAGCAGGAAGAGCAAAAATAACCAGCTAACCATCAAGGAAACCAGGGACAAAGGCCCAACCATCAAAGAGTCCACACAAACATCTCAAGTGAAATGCAAGGGATGGAGCATAGTCCCAATGAGTAGAGTGGTGGAGTAACCCTCAGTCACCATGACCAAGTTCCAAAAGCAAGAGCCCATAAGACACCCAAAATTACTAAGTCAATACAAACCTTGCCATTGCAAAATAAATCATGGATATTATGTATAACTGGCTGAGCCTACAAGCATTTGTTTTAGAGCATATTACAAAATTTGAAGAGTGAACCCAGGTAATTAATGATGACGAGTGCAAACCATGTGAAATAAAGAAATGGTTGGAGAAATAATGGCAGAAATTATGTTTTGGTGGCATCAGCCAGTGGAAAACATGAGTGAAAAGAAAATACAAAGATCCAATAATTCATGAGAGGATAGGATGAAAAAATATGAAGAATAGGGGAAGAAAGATCATACACTGTACAGGTATATGAAGACAGCAGAGTATATGGAGCTGAACAAGGATAAGAAAGCTTGGAAAATAAGTCACCTGATGCCGTTTTTTTTGTGTACGCATACTTACATAAACTAGCACATAAAAGTAATATTAATTATCTTTAGATAGATTTTGATATAAAAAGAAAGCATGAATATATGTGTAATGAGACATACATCTGAAGGAAATACATCAATACCTAATAATGTAATTACCTCATGGTCATGATTAGTCATTATTGCCAACTGCTTCTCTGGAACATGGGCAATTTCTAGGCTTCCACCACTGAACAGTTCACGTGTCATATGCCGTGCTCTTCTTTGTCTATAAAATAAAATTTACGAATTACAGTCCAAGAAGCAACGCTTACAATAAAGGTTATAACTTACTTTACTGGTTACCAAGCTCACTCTGCTATTACGTACCATGATACACTGCCTCAATTATTTCTTTCTTTCAAAACGAATATCATTTAGGTTCCTTAATTTATATTATACAATACAGCACCGATGCTGTCTACAGACTGAAGTAATGATTCAGCTAATCAAGCGAGAGTTAGAAATGTGAAAATGTTTATAAATAAATAAAAAAATCATGAAAAAATCTGAAGGAAGAAAAAACCAGCATTGAATGTTTTTGAAACGTCATTTTCATTTTCATAGGTACCCTGGAGCTATTGGACTGATGTACACTATACTTGTAATTAGTCTGGGGTTTCAGTCAATGGAGTTTTGCCTACTGGGGACCACTAGCCAGAACATGGCCCACTCAGAGAGACGCAGGGAGCAATGGCATAAGGAAACCCCCCTTGTATTTGGCAGTATTCCATATGCCATCGACTGGTGTTAGGCACCCAGAAAGGTAACCACTTCAAAACAAACCCCACATTGTGGAAAATTTAAAAACCCAAGACCAAACAGAACTCCCCAACAGAAAACAAAGGAAGCAAGCAAACATCATTCACTGCTGCCGCTTGTCCGCGCAGCCCTCCCCTCCACGGGAGGGGGAGTGGGGACCTCCAGACCCTCGTGCTGGCTACTCACACCTAAGTTCGGAGAAGCATCAAAAACGAAACCGCCGACCAGAGGGAGGGAGGGTTGCCAAGGAACATCCGGGCTCACCCAAAAACTGTCGTTTCATTACATTCAACACTAGTTTTCTGTGGGAAACTCCTTCCGCTCCCGGTTACATACTCAAAGATAAGTTAAAGAGAGCCTTACCTGGGAGGTAGCCGCACCGTGTGCCTCAACTCAAAGACAAGACAACTGGCAGCAACCTGCGACCCAAGGCAACACATGAATGACTGGGACCAAGAACATTCACCAAATAACGGGTGGCCAGGACCCTGTTCGACCTCCAAAACCCCCCATGCCTGAATATCAGCCCAAGACATGTTTCCAAACACAGTGGCCAAAGCAGCATACTTACGTACATCATGGGCACGAGGGTAGACCGCAGGCTGGCAAGACTTAATAACCCAGTGGATGACCTGAGAGACCCGAGCCCTGGAACAAGGAATGAGGGAAATCGAATCACCCCTCAGTGCGTGTCCACAGCCACAGAAGCCAAGGCGCACAGATAATAATGCAGAGCCTCTACCAGACACAACACATGATGTACCTCAGGCCTGACCAGCCAAGCATCAATAAACCAAGGGTCCCTCCAGAAGCCTGCCGTATCATTCTTCGCCAGAAAAGAAGGAGACGGCTGCAACTGAACGGAACATCCACCAGGAACTAAAGATCAGAGACCTCCGCTCCGGAAAAGACCATAAATCTCACCAATCCGACCCCCAGAGGCCCATGCCAACAGAAACAACGCCTTCCGAAAGCAATCGTGAACCAAAGGGGCCACAACAAACTGAGGAGAAGAAAAGTGAGCACCTGGTCAAAGGACCAGGGTGGCTCAGGAGGCGCACGAGCAGGCCAGAGATGTAACAAAGCACGAGAAAGCTTACGGAACGGGGCGGTAGTGACATCCACCCTGAACGCAAGCAGAAGTGGATTTGCCAGCGCCACACAATAAGAGGTGACAGTATTAGACATAAGACGACAGTCCTGAAAGAGCCAAGAAAGAAAAGACAAGACAACCTGAACGGAAATAGAAGACAATCTACAAAAAGAGAGGAATGACGAAAGGAACGCGAAGAGACTTTATACTGTCGCCGAGACGAGGACCACAGGTGGGTCATCATCAATAAAACCACCTGATCACCATACAAGTGGTGATACTCCCGTGTCAAAAAGGGAGGGGTATTTTCGTCCTACTTATTAGTAGGTTGCTGTATTTGGAAGGCGAGCAGCACAGTGGTTAAAAAGATATTCGCCATGACCACCCTGCAAGACGCTGGCCTCACCCTCATGGCAGATAGAACAGTGTTTACCAGGAATATTAGCACATGGATCACTGATCACAACGACAACGACATCCTCACCAATATCAACACCCAGAACCTGATGTTGACAGCTGTAGCATTGGCCATCACAAACACCAACCTCAGCCACAGACCAACACTGAAGGTGACCTTCAGCACAGCCATCCCGGAGACCAATGCCACAGACTACAGATTCAAATAATATGGAATCACCTTACCACCCACCCAAGTGACCAAGGAACACTTCACAAAGCTCCGACAGTGCTTCAAGTACTACCAATACTTCCACCACACCAGAAAGTCCACCAAGCAAGTGCAGAGATGAAGTCTCTGCACCCAGGAGCACCACTACATGGACTGCACGTCCTCCCACCGACGCTGACTGCTCTGTAATGGCCCACACTCTGCGATCTCGCCTGACTGTCTCCTCCAGTAGGAGGAAATCAAGAAGATGACGTCCACCACCTCATCTCGACCAGCAAACCCACTCCCGTCAGAATTCCTGGTCTTACCTGGGAACACTGCTGCAACTACCTCACCATTGCCCGGTCCCTGGGGATGCCACACCTAGCCGACTGCACCACCTCTGACCACACCATCACCTGGACAGCCTTCAGCCTCCACCAAGACCACCCTGCTACTCGTCCTCCTCCACCTCTCCAACAAAATGGTGGGTAACGACATTACTTACTACATACATGTCATCAACAGGCTTTTTCATCGCAAATGGCTTTCTGACTGCTGCTGTACCCAAAGACCCTCTTCCCAAAATACTATGCATGTTAGTGGCTTTGCATGAATGTAAAATTACCAGTCTTATGTAATTTCACCAACCCATTGTACCTTATTGCAAATAAAAATTATTATATTATTATTATTATTATTATTATTATTATTACTGTATTGTTATTATTATACCAGCTGTGACTGCCGTACCCATCCTAGCCACTTACCTATCAACAGGTACGCTCCCATCCTCATCCTCCGACTCAACATCCAACAACAAGGACCATCCAACCACAGTTTCCCCAACCAAGATACCAGAGGAGCCCCAGCTGCCAGGGCACAACGCCTCCATCATCCCTGAGTTGGTCCCTATGACCACGACAACAGAGCAGCCCTTGAAACCAGCACATGATGACTCAACAGACTCACCTCACCACTGAAGCCAACCACTTCAGCTTTGCTGCTGCCGCCCCTACCACAACCCCTGGGGGTCTCCTACTCGCCTCCTTACCAGCGTTAAACTCCAAAGAGCGGACAAAATCCAAAACTTCCAAAGCTTAATTAAGCAATTCAAGAGAGTGGCATGCCAATGACAGATTCATTGACATGTATGCCCCACCCTTACTGGTACAGTGCTTCTGCTCCATCCAATAATTGTACCCAAAGATTGCACCAGACTACGATATCACAACACGCACAAGAAGAGGACCATCAGACAGGCCCGATGAAAGAATGCTCATGGGTCCACCTCTACCTGCTTGATGGGGTTCTGGGAGTTCTTTTACTCCCCAAGCCCGGCCCGAGGCCAGGCTTGACTTGTGAAAGTTTGGTCCACCAGGCTGTTGCTTGGAGCGGTCTGAAGGGCCACATATCCACCACAGCCCGGCTGGTCCAGCACTTCTTAAAGAAAACTATATAGTTTTCTCTTGAAGATGTCAATGGTTGTTCCGGCAATATTTCTTATACTCGCTGGGAGGATGTTGAACAACTGTGGACCTCTGATGTTTATACAGTGTTCTCCGATTGTGCTTATGCCCCCCCCCCCACTACTCTTCACTGGTTCTATTCTGCATTTTCTTCCATATCGTTCACTCCAGTATATTGTTATTTTACTGTGTAGATTTGAGACCTGGCCCTCCAGTATTTTCCACGTGTATATTATTTTATATCTTGTTTCCTTTCTAGTGAGTAAGGGAGCAGAAGGGAGCCAGTCGGCCGAGCGGACAGCACGCTGGACACGTGATCCTGTGGTCTCGGGTTCGATCCCGGGCGTCGGCGAGAAACGATGGGCAGAGTTTCTTTCACCCTATGCCCCTGTTAACTAGCAGTAAATAGGTACCTGGGAGTTAATCAGCTGCCACGGGCTGCTTCCTGGGGGTGGAGGCCTGGTCAAGGACCGGGCCGCGAGGACACTAAAGCCCCGAAATCAACTCAAGATAAACTCAAGATAACTCAAGATACATTTGGAGAGCTTTAGAACGATCCCAATAATTTAGGTGCTTTATCACGTCCATGTATGTCGTATATGTTCTCTGTATTCCCTCTATTTCAGCAATCTCTCCTGCTCTGAAGGGGGGAAGTGAGTACTGAGCAGTACTACAACTCCAGTTCGACAGCAACCAATGCCCCGATTGCTCTGGAAATTAGCTGGTTCTCTGCATAACCACTGAAAAGGGCAAAGCACCTCCTCCTGAGGCATGCTGCAAGTGAGCCCAGCTGGTCCTCCTGCGAGACATCAACTGCGAGCACCCAAGGACACCCCTTCCACCCACCAGACATCGGCATCTGCTGCAAGTTTTACCCACAGTAGTTGGGCCACTGAGCTGTATCTCCCTCCTCCAACTTGCATTCTGTTCCCTTCTCAAGTTTTCTGCATCCACATCCCAGCCTTCCATCCCCTGCTTACCTGCCCTAGGGTCTTTGATTTGTGATGGGGCCTAGGAAGCATCGACCTTGAACACAAGCAGGAATGACTCCACCAGCACCGCACAATATGAGGCAACAGCTTTCTGTAAAAGAAGCCAAACCAGAAAACCCAAGAAAGAAGACATGACAACCAAAACCAACACCGAGGAGCAACATTGAAGGGAAAGGAAAAGGAGGAAAGCATGCCATGAGACTTCATAGTTGACCAGACCACACACTAGAAGGTGAAGGGACGACGACGTTTCGGTCCGTCCTGGACCATTCTCAAGTCGATTGTGTATATGTTCACCTTCTAGTGTGTGGTCTGGTCAACTTACTTTAGCCACGTTATTGTGACTCATCGCCTGCACATGAGACTTCATACTTTTGCCAAGAGGAGGACCACAGGTCACCAACAAACAACTCACCTGATTACCAGAGAGATGGTGATAAATCGTGTCAGAAACTTCAGACATGTAGATCAGAGAAGGCAGAACCAGCAAGGTGAGTCACCAGACCGATAATCAGAAAGAGGCGGATCTACGGAAATCTACAGGAATCTACAGGAAATCACCCAGGTTCGAACACCAGACAAGTAGTGTCTGAAACCAAGGCTGAGCCGACCACCAAGGAGTCAGAAGGGAACCCCTCCCTTCCCCCTGCCCTAGGGCTCCAAATTCGCCAGGATTTGGTGCTCGATTTTGCTAATGCTTCCAGTGTTATCCTCAGTTATTTCATTGATTATTTATCACTTGTTTCTCTTTATTTACAAGATTATGTGTGTAGAATAACTTGATAAATCCCATAATTCACATATGATAATATTTCAACTGATGACTGGTTTACCTGGTATACTCCATTACAACCCGTATATAGTGGTTAAAAGACTATGAACATAGTATTTAATAGTGTTGGCCTTTGAGTGATGACATATGGCCTAGTTGGCACTATATGGGTGGCAGTATAGATTATAACAAAAGATGTAAGCCACTAATGTGGCATGCACAGATAGCGGCAGACTCCTAGTACATGTAACCAAGAAATGGTAGCAGTATTTTTTGGATGTGTCAAGGTAAACTCTATTACATCCAAAGAGAGAGCTATTATATCCTTATTTGCATACATGTAAAAACCCAGACAATAATTGTTTAAATTGCCATATAACGATAACTGCTGAATAATAATACTTTTGAGATCCCTTACTAAGCCAAATTAAGAAAATTAATAGTTACCAGTATCACCATGAAAACTCGCAGATATGAGCACTGACTACACGTGCAGGCGATGAGTCACAGCAATGTGGTTGAATAAATGATGACCAAACCACAACTCACGAAGATGGAGAAGCGACAACATTTCACGATGGAGAAGTCGATCACACGACTAGATAATGGTCCAGGAAGGACCGAAATGTCCTTTCTTTTGGAGAAATGTTTCACTTCTTCATCTTCTGAGTTGTGGCTTGGTCATCACTGATTACACATGTTATTTGAAATTACTGGATCTGAATACAATATACTTATCACAAATTTATACCACAAAAATTGTGACTGAAAAATTCAGTTGTCACCTATATTCATGGTGAAGGTTTGCATATGAATAATTACCTAAACAAAATCTTTTCCCAAGTTATGTGGAATGGCCAAATATTTTTAATGCAAAATTTGCAAGCCTCAAAACTGGTAAATAACAAACCTGCCACAGCCAAAGTCTTCTTCAAGTTCTCTTGAAGTCTCAGATTCTATGAGATAACTATTTGATATTCTACTCAATTGTTCACCATCATTAGCTTCCTGTATCCTTTCTAGTCTGTCTACTTTTTGCCTGTGATGACCGACAGTCAATGGAGTGATCTTGCATATTGTTAGACAATCAGGGTCATTAGCCTTGGCAGACTGACATTTATTGACTGGTGATGCAGACGCATGGGACAGAGATAAGGAGACTGTGCTTGGCTCAGTGTGTTGAGCTGGAGAAGTCTCAATGTCCCTGGGAGACTCAGAGATCAAAAGACGTCCAGGACTCGCACTTGACAATGAACTGGCACTGCGTTCACTTGCACTGCCACCTGCTGAAAATTGTAACCTGTATGAAATTTCATCAAAAAGTCAAAACTTATGTATCTTATCATAATCATTAGACCATGTATTCAGCTCTTCAGGCCATAGACTATATCACCAAATCAAATCACTTACTCCATACAAACTGCTGCCACCCAGCCTTGTCTCTCTCCACTTTCCATGCAATATTCACACTCGGTCCTCATGTCCTCACACTCGGTCCTCATGTCCTCACACTCGGTCCTCATTTCCTCACACTCAACATATATGCCCAGCTTCTTCCTGGCTTTTTTCTCTAGCAACCCTCAAATTCACTTTATTACAATCATTTTTAAAAAGTATTTCATCTCCCATTTGTTCAACATTCTCAAACCATCGGACAACATTTGCCTCAATATTGCAAGTAATCCACTTTTGCACCTCACATCTTCCCGTGACAGTTATTCCTTACTCTAACTAAAATTCTTGTAACACACACACACACATGCTGCTTATACATTTTTTCTATAAAACTATACAGTCCTAGTAAAAATAAACATATATTAGTAAATACTGTAATAAGGAATTAAAATGAAATCTTCATATGTAAACAATATTCAATGATTATATGGATGTTTACATGTACTGTATACAGAATTACATGTTTTTTTTTTACAAATCCACCAGCAATGTACAGCATATATGAAAAAACCAGCATTGAATGTAATGAAACGCCATTTTCTGGGTGAGCCCTGGAGGCTCCCTGGAGCTTATTGAGCTAATGTATGTTATATTAGGCTGGGACATTAGCTATGGAGTTCAGACCTACCAGGGACCATGAGCAAGCACCTGGCCCCTTCAGAGAGGTTTCAGGGAGCAATGGACCTGGAAAACTCCCCTGTGAATGGGGTTTTTCCTTATCTGCCATCGACTGGGGTTAGGCACCCAGAAAGGTAGGCATAACAAAACAAACCCAACATGGTAAGAAACTAACAACAAAAACCAAACAGAGAGATAGAACTCCCTACAATCCCAAGGAAACAAGCAAACAAGCAAGCATAACACACTACTGCTGCGCTACTTGTGTGCGCAGCCCTCCCCTCCCCGAGAGGGGGAGCGGGGGCCCCGAACCTCACCGCACCTGCGACAAAGCACTCCAGTTCTGAAGCCAAGCTTCAACGCAAAAAAAACACCGACCGGTGGGAGGGAGGGTTGCCAGGGAGCCTCTGGGACTCACCCAGAAAATCAGAAAATGGCAGTTTCATTACATTCAACGCAGGTTTTCTGAGGGGAGCCGTAGGGGCTCCCCTCAGAAAAACCTGCGACGACAACTGGCCCACACCAGCCAGTCGTCGAGGTAGGCCAGAAAACCGAATCCCGAGCAGATGCAGACAGGTCACCAAGATCTGGTAAAGATGCGTAAATACACTAAGTGCCAATTACAAACTGGGGAAGGCAAAAAAAGCAACAAGCCTGAAGCCCCACCACTAACTGTGCTAGTCCCGGAACCCTGGAGAGGAGCATGCCAAGAAGTGACCTGGAGGTCCAGGGACACCATCCAGGCACCCGGCCCCAACAGAAGCCGGACCGGAGACAACAGTCTTCCGAAGAGGGCAAAGAATCCAGGGCGCAGACTGAACAGGTCCAGAAGAACCGCAGATCTGCAAAGTCACGTGTTTGCACGAGAACAAGCAGGAACCCTGGAAGCATGGGGCGGATCGACCACGTCCATATGCACCCACCCCAAGATGACATGACGAAGCGCAGGGGAAGAAGTCTGCCCCACCAGCCCTGAACCCCCCAAAGGGGGAGAAGCTGCCCGACACCACCAGAGGCCAGAAGACAACCAAAAAACGCGAGAGCACGAGCACGGCAATGGCAAAACAAGCACTTAGGGAAGGGTAGCCCTGAATACATGCAGCTTGAGGTGAAGACTACACCAAGTCAACACAAGTGTTGACTGTGTGGTGTGACCAAGTGTGTGGTTTGAAAAATAAGCTCGTCAAGCAAATATCGAAGACAGGAATGACACAGTAGTAAATGGCCCCCACAGGACAATGTCCATAGGATGGCCTCCACTTATTTTATTCTTAAGGGAAGTGGGATTCACTAAAGCTGATCAGGAGGAGATCAGCTTTCAAGGACATTATTTATATGACTGAGGCTCTGAAGTCGAAGCTGAGAGTTCTCGGTGGTGCTGCCACCCATTGATGGCCAGCCAAAACTAGATTAGACCTAGTTTCTGAGTGAATTAATTGTAGAGTTGTTTGTTTGTTTCAGTGCTTTGCTTTCTTTGAAGTTGCAGTTATCTGCATTGCTTTACTTACTTTCAGGATGATTTCTCAGCGAGTGTAATTGTAACAATTACTTGCTCCCTGTGCCTCTGAAAGTCTCAGGTTCTGGCTCTAGTCTCCAGTAGACCATATTGGACTCAAAAGACTGCTGTCACACAATACGAGGAAACTATCTCAGCAAGCTAGCTACAAAGAGCCTCAAGAAGAAACTATTATAAATCATATAAAAGTGTAAGTATTTTAGATTTCAAATTACATCAAATCATGTTTTCTCAAGGTACAGTATAGTATGGAAATATAAGTTATAAGGGATTATACTGATAAATATTAATAGCATTTAATACATTTTTTGGATCAATGATAAGTATTTTAAGCTTCAAGGCCATATTAAGCAGTATTCTTGGAATATTGAACAGAAAGCTAATGGAAGCAAAATAAAACACAGCCTAATATATCAAGCAAAAAAAACACTGTTGAATGTAATGAAACGCCATTTTCTGGGTAAGTCCCAGAGGCTCCCCAGAGCTTACCGGGCTGATGTCCATGTATTAGACCGTGGCAACAGTCCGAGTGGAGTTCTAATGCCTACCGAGGACCACGAGCCAGAACCTGGCCCCCCTCAGAGAGGCACGAGGAGCAATGGCTTATAGAAACCCCCTTGTGAGCGTTGGTTGGAAGCATATTATGTCTGCCATCGACAGGGTTATTCATCCAGAAAGGTAGACATCCCAAAACAGACTACAACTGGTGAAAGATTGCTACCGAAAGCCGAACTGCTAAGCGGACAATGTCCCCACGAGGAACAGAACCAGCCGCTGTGTATCAATGTCAGACAAGCTGCAGAGTACCTTTGTGCCCCTACCAGCGATGTTACTACCTCCTACCCCGAGGTCAAACAGCGACTATGAAAACCCCCAGCTGACCCCAAGGGTGGGCAATCACCGAGCAGCAATAGATCCCTACGGAGGTAGTTCCCGAATGGCTTATGGAAAGAATCCTAAACTGCAAGGACAGTACTTACTGCATACACCTAGGGAAGGGAGTCCTAGGTGCATGCAGCCCCAGTACACTGTGAATTACTCTTGGCTCACTCACCACAACATAGCAGAACAACACTGCAAGGGCACAGCACTGCACCAAGTCTGGAGCCAAAGTCGAACCAAGCACAACAGCCTCAGAACTGAAGTTGGATAGCTGGTGCGGAGGGTCTGGAGACCCTTCTTCCCCCTCATGGGAAAGGGGGTAGCTACACAGACAAGTGGCGCGCTGGCGGGTGCGACGTCATGCTTGTTTTAAGATTGGGGAGTTCTGCTTAGCAGTTCGGTTTTCAGTAGCAATGTTTCACCAGTTGGAATCGGTTTTGGAACACCTACCTTTCTGGGTGCCTAACCCGGTCAATGGCAGACACAGAATACTTCCAACCACATGTGATTTTCTATAAGCCAATGTTCCTAGTGCCTCTCTGAGGGGAGGGGGGGGGCAGAGAGGCTCGTGGTCCCCAGTAGGCATTAGAGCTCCATTCGAAGAACTGTTGCCATGGTCTATTACATGCATATCAGCCCGGTAAGCTCCGGGGAGCCAGAGGAGCTCTCCACAGAAATATCATGAAACATGACTGGAAAATGGATAGCCTAGAATACTCAAATTCAAAAAGGCAGTTGCTCACCTGAGCACAAAAGCACCTCACGCCTCAGAGAATCTGACTCGTATCCAAAAGCCCTTTCATGCATGTTCATATTGCCATCATCGTGTTCACCCACTCTATTAAAGAAAAAAAGTTAAGCATTTAAACAAACATATTAAAAGTGAGATGATGTACCTCTATGTGGGTATATATTTTAGTTACACAAATGATACTTGATAATTAAATTAACTGATCTTCCCTGACTGGTTTCAGAAGCATCAGAGGGTAATGAAACAATGTGCGTCAGAACGTGGCCTTCTGTTTTAAGTTTGTTTACCAAGTTTCACTTCAAATACATGAAATGACTGATAAATAGCAAGAAGCAACCTTTGAGCCAAAATATATACTGCATATAAAGAAATGGTGCAACATCACTTCAGCTACTCTTTTGTTACATCGTACACATTGACAAAAATATATACATCAATTTCCCTGAGGAATGCATGGAATTGTGAAGGATAACACGAGCCACAGTCAACCAACCTATTATCTTGCAAGTTTTAAATTAAGAAAACATCCATAAAACAAGTGACTGTATTATAAATTACTGAAATTACTGTATTATCCTATTGTCAGACAAAATCTATGATCAAAATATTTATTATGATGTACAGTATTGTACAGGTGAACCTTGCTTAACCTTTGAACGCTGCTAACTGTACATGTACCATTTTGGTCTAATTACCTGCATGCGCACATTGTATATACAGTACTGTATCAATTTTAAAGTACTGCATAGGATTTAAAAGTTCCACGGCTACACAGGGTTTACATCAGCTTCCTCAGGCCTCCAGTAAACATACACTATTAAAAAAAACCAGTGTTGAATGTAATGAAATACCATTTTCTGGTTGAGTCCCGGAGGCTCCCCGGATCTATCCAGGCTGATATGCTAATGTCAGACTTTGGCATCAGTCATGTGTATGGAGTTCTGTGGGCCAGCCCAGGGACCACGAGCCAGAACCTGGCCCCTTCACAGAGGCACGACGAGCGATGGCCTATAGAAACCCCCGTGTGGTTGGAAGCATTCTATATCTGCCATCGACCGGGTTAGGCACCCAGAAAGGTAGGCATCCCAAAACAAACCCCCTATTCTGGTGAAAATTGCTACAAAAAGTCGAACAAGTGGATAGAACTCCCCAAACAGAAACGAGCAAACGAGTATGATGTCACACGTCGCCGCGCCGCCTTCAGCGCAGCTACCCCCCTAACTGGGAGAGGGAAGGGGGAGCCCAAGACCCCCGCGCCGGCCATCCACCTCTCAGTTCTGAGGCTGGACATCAAAAAACGTGAGAAAACTGCCGACCGGGGGAAGGGAGGTTGCCGGGGAGCCTCTGGGACTCAACCAGAAAATGGCGTTTCATTACATTCAATGCTGGTTTTCTAGGGGAAGCCCCATCGACTTCCTGGAGCTTCCTACCCACAGATAAAAAGCATAGGGACTTACCTGGGAGGCGGTCGCTGCTTACTCCTCAATGCAAGGTCAACGACACAACTGGCTGCAACTGCCGACCCAAAGTGACACAGGGCCGACTAGGCCCAGGAACATTTACCAAGTAACTCGCAGCCAAAACCCTATTTGACCTCCAAAAACTGCACCTGAATGTCAACCCAGGACATATTATCAACAGAGAATCGAACCCAGAACCTCAGGACTACTGATCCGAAGTGCTGTCCACTCAGTTGTCAGGCAACCAGCAACCTCGCATGAAGCAGGAGAGGGACTCGGGTCACATCCGTCAGACTACGTAGCCCCCCCACTGGCTTTCCCAGGGTTCTTAGCCTTGGTAACACGCTAAGGGAAGCCCAGGCAGGGTATTTGCGAACCGGCGCCCAAAACTACCAAGCAAACTTCTAAAGCTGAACCCCTGGAACGTGTCTACTCTTGGGAGCCAAGCAGCGCGCACCACCAAAAACCAAATATAGAAAAGAGGGGACCCAAAGGAACAGGGGGCAACCAAAAGCAGATCCCCCTCCTGATAGGAAAACATAAACAAAAGAAAACCCCACAAGATGTGTGTAGTTCCTCTCTGTGGAGGAATTTTGGCAGTAAGGTAGCATCGCCAGCTGACTAGTGGTAACCGGTAGTGTGGCAGCAGCTATATTTTCTGGACTTACCATACCAACTTAATGGTTCGTTATGGTGAACACAAATGTAGATACTTATATATAACTAGTGTATAGTGAAATAACAGCAAAAACTGTATGTTAATAGGGGGAATCTTGGTGAGGGAAGTGGCTTCGTCTACTGGCTGGTGTGTGACTTGTGTCATACTGTGTATGGAGGCTGCTATGCTGTTTGGGCACCATACCAGCTAAGTTGTATAGTTATGGTGAAGAAAACATGCAGATACTTATATATAACATGAGTATATGGTGTAATAACAGAAAAACAGTATGCTGTGAGGAGGAATCTTGGCACTGAGGTAGTGTCATCTGTGTGTGTGTGGCAGCTGCCATAATTGTCTGGACTCACCATACCAGCTAGTGGTTCGGTATAATGAATAAAAATGTAGATACTTATATATAACGTGTGTAGATAGTGTAATAACAGCAAAAATATTTGTTATTGTTTTATGAACATAATAATTGAATTACAAATATACACATAATACTTTTGAGTTTAGTGATGGTTCACACATTTTATTACAGTATATTGCTACACTCTTCCCCTGCATAGCAGTGATTATGCCTCTACCTCCTGCCTTCAACACCATTGTGATACATATAGTCACTCCAACCTCCAGCCTAAACATCTGGAGTGCTCCACCCCTGACTCCCCCCCTCCTGCCTCGAGAGCTCCATTCCCCAGGTGTTTGCCGGCTACTTGTTCTGCCCCTGCAAATGACCCCTTACTCTGCTGGCAGACCATTCAACTCCTGCTACACGCCAGCATGACATCCCCAGCCGGCGTATATATAGCGACAGCCGGCCATCCAGCACTCGGACGACTTCTGGTGCTCTCTTGGTACATACGTCTTCCCTCACTCGATGTGGTCTCGTCTACGACGTGTGACGGAGGAAGGACAGCACAATGTAAATAATGTATAGTCACTCTTAGTGTAATTATTATATTCATTTTACCATTATTAGTGTTAAGCCAAGTTTTCAGGTTTTATTATTATTATTTATGTTTATTTTTATTAGGTAAAGTGTTTAATTGTTAATGTGTCTTGTTTTCTATACAAATGTTCACAACGCAAAGGATGTGAGCAGTTTTATTTTAATTTGTTTTACCTTTTTTTTTGGAAGTTATTCACACAACACCTGCCGGGGTAGTTGCTGCGCTATTTCCAACACGTCACAATACTATATATCACACTACACACTATTGAAAAATATTACTGCAAAAAACCAGCGTTGACTGTAATGAAACGCCATTTTCTGGGTGAAACCCGGAGGCTCACCAGAGCTATCCAGGCTGATATGTATATCATTACACTTTGGCATCAGTCAGTGTGAATGGAGTTCTAGGCCTACTAGGGACCAGAGCCAGAACCTGGCCCCCCTCAGGGTGGCACGAGGAGCAATGGTCTATAGAAATGCACATGGGATTTGGAGCATTCTATGTCTGCCATCAACCGGGACAGGCACCCAGAAAGATAAGCGCCTCAAAACAAATCCCTATTCTGGTTAAAATTACTAAAATAGACAAACGAGTGGACAGAACTCCCAAATAAAAATGAGCAAACGAGCATGACGTCACAAGAGCTGCGCTGCATGTATGCACAGCTCCCCCTTCCCGCAGGGAAAAGGGGAAGCCCCAGACTCACCCTGCAGTTCTGAGGCTGGATGTCAAAAACACGTGAAAAACCTCCGACTGGAGGTAGGGAGAGTTGCCAGGGAGCCTCCGGGGTCTCAACCAGAAAACGGCGTTTCATTATATTCAATGGTGGTTTTCTGGAGCTACATCACCAAAGACAAAATTTGACTCCTCCCCCCCCACAAAAAAAAAAGAGCAAGAGAACAAAATACCCCAAGGAACACAGCCTGCTGCTGTGAGTGGTGAAAACAAGCTGCGCAGCACCCTGCGCCCCACCAGTGCAAACTGCCTCTTACCCTAAGGAAGATGGAAGAACATGGAAGACAAAACCTCCAAGCACCCAAAGGGCAGCCGAAAACTGAGCAGTAATACGGCCTAGCAGAGGCAGACCCTGAGGAACTTGTGGAAGGTAACCTCAAGCTCCAAGGGCAGTACTTACAGGGCACCTAGAAACGAGAACCCTAGGCGCATGCAGCCCGAGTACCGTAGAATAACTCCTGGCTCTCGCACCCCCGGAAGACAGCCACCACACTTAAAGCACAGTGCTGGAAATGCTGGAGCCAAGCACACGACCTCAGCCTCTAGCATCAGCCTGAGAACTGATGGTGGATAGCCGTCGCGAGGGGTCTGAGGCTTCCCCTTCCCCCTCACGGGGAGGGGGAAGATGCGCAGACAGCAGCGTGGCGACGTGTGACGTTATGCTCGTTTGCTCGTTGCTTTTAGGGGAGTTCTATCCAGTTGTTCGGCATTTGGTAGCAATATTTTCACCAGAATTGGGGTTTGTTTTGGGATGCTTACCTTTCTGAGTGCCCGACCCGGTCAATGGCAGACATAGAATGCTTCCAACCACACAGGGGGTTTCTATAGGCTCCCCTTGCCTCTTCTAAGGGGGGCCCAGGTTCTGGCTCGTGGTCCCCGGTAGGCCCATTGAAATCCATACACATGACTGATGACAAAGTCTGACATTAGCATATCAGACCCGAGGAGCCGAAGGGCTTCCCCTAGAAAACCAGTGATAAATGTAATGAAACGCCATTTTCTGGATGAGACCTAGAGACTCCCCGGATCTATACCAGGCTGATGTGCATATATTAGGTCATGGCAACAGTCAATCAATGGAGTTTAGGCCTACCAGCGCTGGAACCTGGCCCCTTCACAGAGGCACGAGGAGCAATGGCCTACAGACACCCCAGTGTAATTGGAAGCAGTCTATGTATGCCATCTACCAGGTCAGGTACCCAGAAATGTAGGAATCTCAAACAAACTACAGCTGGTTAAAAATTGCAAAACCGAAAGCCGAACTAGCAAGCAGAACTCCCTAATTGAAAACAAGAAAAACAAGCATGACATCACCACAGTCGCCGTGCCGCTGTCTGCGCAACTTCCCCCTCCCTGGGAGGGTGGAAGGAATCCCATCATGCTTGTTTGCTTGTTTTCTAATTGGGGAGTTCTGTTTGCTCGTTCAGCTTTTGGTTTGCAATTTTTAACCAGCTGTAGTTTGTTTTGGGATTCCTACCTTTCTGAGTGCCTGACCTGGTAGATGGCAGACATAGACTGCTTCCAACTACATGGAGGGTGTTAATAAGCCATTGCTCCTTGTGCCTCATCTGAGGGCGGCCAGGTTCTGGCACTGGGCCCCGGTAGGTATAGAACTCCATCAACTGACTGTTGTTACAGTCTAATATATACACATCAGCTTGTAATAGCTTCGGGGAGACAAAGGGGTTCTCCACAGAAAATGATATATGAAACTAATAAATCTGAAAGGGATCGTGAACAATAAGAGTGTATGTGTATATTATCTCTGCAATTACTAGTGCAAAAGAATATTCACAAAATATATTTTTATAGAAGATACACATTGAGGCTCTTCTACATCATATATTTTATGTACGTAATAATAAATCATAAATAAGAGCACTACTTACTGAAAGCATTCTTTTCTTCTACCACCAGCTCTGGCCTCTTCTGATTCAGAAAATGGTCCTCTGTTGTCTTTCCTCTCAGTCCGTAACTTTCTAGCTTGCTTGGAATATTTCTCTACCTCTCCTATCTTGATTGGCTGAATCCTACGCCTCTTCTTCTGAGACCTTTGATTAGATTCCGTTCTTTCCATTAATGTATTCTTCTCTTCATAAGAATCTTCTCTTGATCTTTTTTTATTTGAAAGGCTATTTACAACATCACTTGATTTATCAATAGAAGCTTCATGAAGATTTGCATTGGCTAAGTTCACACCTAAATGTAATTTTTTTTCAATTAAATTTGTCTTTCCATCACCTGGTGACTGAACTGAGCTCTCAGCTCGTGTTACAATGTTTTCTGCTACATCTGATGTTTTCTTTTTCCTACCTTCACTTTTATTTACATTATTCACTTCACACACTTGTCCAGATATTAATGTTTGTTTCGCTTTGCTCCGCTTTTTACCTATTCCCACCTTATTTTTTGCTGCACAATTGTTCAAGAGCCTACTTCCTTTCTTGGGGTGAGTACTTGTTATTCTTTTAGTTCTTTTTTTCTTATTTTCTAGATTTAAACTGAACAAATCTATGAAACTTGAATCTTTTAAGGTTACTAAATCAGCCCAATCATCACTATCACTTACATTCTCAGATGCCACTTGCATTCTCAACACATCACTATCTTCATCTATCACTTGGTATTCTACACCATCTTCATCACAGTTGGTCAAAGGTTCTTTAACAGTGTTTTGTTTAAGATAAAGATTTGTTTCTTTAATGTTTAGCTTTCGATCTTCACTACTATCTTTTTCTACATTTGTTTCAATATTTTCTTTCAAAATCTTTGAAACTAAGTAGCCTGGTTGGCTAAGACTTTCAGAAGGGTCATCCTGAAAAGAGTCTAAGACTGTAATATTTGCATCTCCAGTCTTTGAGTCTTTCTGTGGGGTCAGTTTCAACTTTACATAATCAGGAGTTTTATCCTGCTGAAGCTCATGCAGAATTTCTGAATGCTCTTGACCTCTATGTTCCTTACCGGTGAGAGAGAGAGAGACTTTTGACTGACTGTTGCCATTCTCTACAACAGTGGGTGATTTGTTATTTAGTGATATTCTTTTACCAACAGTGGGACAATCTTTCTCCAGTGATGTTACATTTCCAACAGCAGTGGGTGACGGGCTCGCTTTTGATGCCCCTTCATCAACAATAACAGGTGACGCACTCTCTTGTAATGTTCCGCTACAAACAGAGGGTGCAACACTTTCAAGTGACATTTTGTTGCAAACAAAGGGTGTAACACTCTCTCGTGATGTTTTGTTCCCACCAACAGTTGGTGATGCACTCTCTTGTGGTGTTTTGTTCCTATCAACAGTAGGTGATGCACTCTCTTGTGGTGTTTTGTTCCTATCAACAGTAGGTGATGCACTTTCTTGTGGTGTTTTGTTCCTATCAACAGTAGGTGATGCACTTTCTTGTGGTGTTTTGTTCCTATCGACAGTTGGTGATGCACTCTCTTGTGATGTTTTGTTTCTATCAACAGTAGGTGATGCACTCTCTTGTGATGTTTTGTTTCTATCGACAGTTGGTGATGCACTCTCTTGTGATGTCTTGTTTCTATCAACAGTAGGTGATGCACTCTGTGATGTTTTGTTTCTATCAACAGTAGGTGATGCCCCCTCTTGTGATGTTTTGTTACCACAAACAGTAGGTGATGCCCCCTCTTGTGATGTTTTGTTATCACAAACAGTAGGTGATGCCCCCTCTTGTGATGTTTTGTTACCACAAACAGTAGGTGATGCACTCTCTTGTGATGTTTTGTTTCCATCAACAGTAGGTGATGCACTCTCTTGTGATGTTTTGTTTCTATCAACGGTAGGTGATGCACTCTCTTGTGATGTTTTCTCATCAACAGTAGGTGATGCACTCTCTTGTGATGTTTTGTTCCCACCAGCAGTAGGTGATGCACTCTCTTGTGATGTTTTTTCGTCAACAGTAGGTGATGCACTCTCTTGTGATGTTTTGTTTCTATCAACATTAGGTGATGCACTCTCTTGTGATGTTTTCTCATCAACAGTAGGTGATGCACTCTCTTGTGATGTTTTGTTCCTACCAATAGTAGGTGACTCACTCGGTTGAGATTCATCACACGCCTGTGGTCTATTTATAACAAAAATGCTTTCTTGTTCTTCTCTCCTATTTTGATTGCTGGAATCTATATTCAATTCCTGGCTGCCTTCTCTTACTTCTTTACCAGGGCTTTTATCTACAACTGTACGTAATGGATATGAATTTAAAGAACAATGGTTATTCTCTCGTTTTTTCAGAGGTGAAGCTTCTCTAGGCCTTTGAGAAATACAAGTTTTATTAAAGTCTGTAGCTAAGTTCCTCATTCTCCTACCATCCCGTGAAGATGGTTTTATGCAGTTTTCATTTTCTGTGTCAGTTGTTAATAAATCACTATCACTCATAGGCTGAGGACTAGTCTCGCCTTTTTCAGGTAATGAAGTGCAGTATTTTTTCACTGATGGCAGATCAAGGTGAGATGGAAAAGCAACCAAGGCTTTCCTTTTCTTGACAATTGAATGGCAAATTTGGCCCATTTCCTTTTCTGGAGTTGAAGGAAGTGACTTATAGGTCATTAAACAGTTCTGCTCAGAAGATTCCCATAAATCACCTGTGCTCTCAACTGACCTAGGTGATTCATTATCATTACCTTCTTCACACACATTTCTTAGTGATAAATCCCTTCTTATGTTGTTATTTTCAACTGGTGACTTTCGTGGCACATCAGATAATAACTCACAAGTACTGATACTTCTGCAATTTTGATCAGCAAGGATAATCTGTTTTTCTAATTCTAATATATTTTTATCATTTAATAATGATGCTATGGAGGCTGCAGAGATTTGAGCTACACCCTCACTGTCCTGTGCACAAAGTGTTATTGTTTCATTCTGAGAACTGCTAGCTTTATCCCAAGCATGACCACTGCTTGATCCATCTATATCCATTTTATTTAATAATGATATCTGCTTACTATCCTCTCCGTCATTATCAGAAATAAGAGGGGCATTTGTGGATGTAATAATTCTTCTAGTTGTATCTCTTTGCTGGTTGATTTGATCTGAAATCAATGGATCAATGCTCCTTTGAGATCTGTATTCAACCATGTCAGTTGAATGACTATCAGTGGCTGTTGTGCATGTTAGGTCAGGAAGAGATTCTGAAAATCCAATAAAAAGAGTATCAAACAAAATTCTTGTTAATATAAAATTCTAAATATAATTAGCCTATTTTATAGCACTTAAAAAATAATAATATTCTATAATCAATATAAGAAGAGACCAGGCACAAACTAAAGACAATCTTACCTCCAGAACAAGATCCACTACTGACAATCCTTTGACGTTTTGAGAGCTTTGGCGTGACATTTCGAATCTCGCCTAGTTCTTCACTCAAATGATGATGAGGTGTATCTTTCAAGATACTCTTTTGATATATAATAGTGCGAGCACATCCAGAAGACCAATAACCACATGTACTACTTTCCGTGTGAGTCTTGGTGTGGGGGTGGAACTGTTGAGGTGCAGTCTGAAGCAGTGCGTGATGGGGACTTTCATCCTCAGTATCAGTAATATTAATGTCTGAGGTAGACGAATAATATGCAATGCTAGATGACCACCGGGATTTAAGATCTTCAGATGACTTTGGATTCTCTGGTTTGGACTTCTTCCTTTTCAATCCAGAGCCCCAAGAAGAAAAAGGAGTTGTATAATGTTTTGCTTGGTGACTTGCTTCAGAAATTATATTTTCTTGGGGACTGTTTTCAGAGTTTGTACTATATATCTCTTTTCCCTCAAGCATGTAATCATGAATTTCAGGAAATGCATGTAATTCAGCAACACCTAATAATTTCAGTTCATTCCCAGGTAATTGCATTCCTAGGTCTGCAGAGCATTCAGCATTTCCCAAACTGCTCTCCATATCTGTTATGTTCATAATTTTAGAGTTTCTTCCCCTTCCTCTGCCTCTTCCCCTGCCCCTGCCCCTGCCCCTACCTCTGCCCCTACCTCTGCCCCTGCCTCTTCTGCTAGCCACATCTACCTCTCCTTTTGCTTCACTCACCATTGTATCAAATGCCGCTACTTCAGGGGGAGTATTTCTAGAAGTATTTATGCCAGTAACTATAGCCTCTATTGATACTTCTCTGACATCTATATTGAGAATTTTCCCCCTTCCTCTGGGTGTTCTTTTTCCTGCATTAGGAGCTCTAGCATTTTTTTTAACCTTGCTTGCCTTCACAGTAGGGGACTTTTCCTTTGACAAAGTCTTAGGTATTCTGGATGTCCGACGTTGACCTTTTAACGGACTTTGTTCACCTATGCATGATTTCTTTCTTTTATTGCCACCATCTTTTCTGGGTTCCTTCTTAATCTTCAGATGCATTTTACGGCTTGTCTTTGTGAATTTGGTTTCGCTTTCTTTCATCTCAGATTCAGATTCATCAGTAAAGCTGATATCGGAACCAAAAATATAATTTACTTGTTTTGTCTTAGTGTTAACCGGAGAAATTTTTGTTGTCTTATTTTCTGAAGAGCTAATATTTAAACTTTGGCAAATTGGATTTTGTATTCTTTCATTTGAAAAAGAATGATCATCCTGTATTTGGTTTACTGACTTGCTTGGCAACACTAAATCATTTTCTTGGTACAAGCTGGTTACTGAGGATATGGTGTCTGAACTATTAGACAATGTTGCATTAATGTCTTCAATAATTTTCTTTGGAGAACATACCTTTACGTTTTGAGTTTTTGCAGCATTCTTAGGCAATTTATTTGTAATGCCAAGTACTGATGTGTTTCTTATAGCAATAAGTGGACTAACATCAATACTGCTTGCCTGCTCCATCAATGCCTCATTACTTTCACCCATGACATTCTTCATAGGTTTTTTAGTCTTTACACACTTTGCTTTACCTTTTTTCTTACTTTGTCTTCTGGTCTCTGCTGTAAAAATAGCAGAGCTTTCTGTATCATGCTCTGCAAGAGTGCGCTCATTATTTTCTCTAATTACCGCTTTCTGTCTTTTTAGTGCCCTTTTCTCAGATGACCTTTTCATAACCAAGGTTGAACAATTATTCTGCACAATGTCAACTATCCCTTTGCCCTTCTTACCTTTGGCTCTTGGCCCAGAGATAGCTCCAATAGGTTTAAGTTTTCTATTCACAATAGACTTTACAGACTTGTCTTCTTGGATCTCACCATGGTCATCTTCATCTTCAGAATATGTTGACTCAAGACTTTGATATTTTTTTGATGGTACTCTCTTTTGCTTTACCTGTTTACCTTTTGAAGGGTCTTTGTCCTTTTTCTCAGTAGTGTATGAAAGCTCTAAACTTGTAGAAGGATGGTCATTACTACAAGAATTCTGGGATTGAACATTGCAATCTGTATCATTGTTATCTTCTGAAAATAATTTAATCATTTCCTTCTCAATAACCTCTCCCATAGTTTTTCTTGACATTTTGGCTGGGCTTATGCCAGAGTTTGATTTAAATTTGCTCCAATCAGCATTGCTTTCTACACTACAGTCAGCACTAAGCTTTTCTGACAAGGTTGTTTCCCACACAGTTCCTAACCTAGACGGTGAATACCCTTCAGAGTCTGTTGTTAAGGAACGCTCAGACGGCATGTAGTAAGACGTGCCAATGGAGCTATTTGAATAAGGTCCCTGTGGATAATCTTTAAAGAGAGGAGATATAGCTGCAGGCATTTGAGGAAGGCTGGGCAGAAGTGGAGTGTTAAGATCCTTATCATCCTGAGAAGGAGGTCTATATTCACTAGGAAAAAATGGGGTTACAGGTTGCAAACACACAGGAGTCATGGGCAGGACTTCCTTACACTGTGATAATGAAAGTTCACCAGCCTTCCCTGGGGTCTTCAGCTGCTTTATTTTTGCTTTATCAAACAGATCAAGCACACAAGATGAATCTGTGAAACCTGTTTGTACTTTTTCTGATAAAATACAAGACTCATTTGCACCTGTAGATTTGCTAATTCCAGTTTCCTTCTCTTGACTGTGTTTAAATTCTACACGATGAACCTGCGGTTGATTCTGAACGCTGCCAGTTTCATTGGGCAAGTCAAACAGTTCCACACTACCAGCATCTGTGGCTAGAGTTTCAATACCTGAACTTTGGCTGTCATCATCATCAATGCGCAAAACAAAATTTTCCTCATCTTCTGTATCTAACTGACAATCCGGCGGGTGTTTGTTTGACTGTACTGCATCACTCGCAGAACATAAGGAATCACTTTTTAACTCGTTATCACAATTATCTGTCCTGGTTCCATTTTGTTTTAGTCTGGACAAATTCAATGGCTTCTTGTAGTGTACTTTCATATTTTGTATAGATTCTTCATCAGATTTATTTTTTTTCTTAGATTCAGGAACCAGAAAGGCTGCATCACTTTCTTCTTGTATATTTTCCATAACCTTCTTTGGTGATATAAGGCTTGAATATCTCAATGATTTAGAAAAAGTTGATTTAATTGCTCTCTTCGGTGATATTTTTTTGTTGCCAATTGGTGAAAACTTCAAACTGGTTATAGCTTTTTGTGGAGATCTACTGGGTGTTTTCTGTTTTTGTGGTGTGCTGAAATCCAGAGCTCTAATATGACTGTTTTTGTAACTTGGAGTACTCTGGCTTCCCTTCTTTGGAAGATCCCTAATATGAGGGCTTTCATAAGCTGTAAACATTCTCCTTCTTGCAGCAAACTTCTTAGATGGAGAAATACTCTGTGAAAGTTGAAGAAGGGCTTTCAATTTAGGAGACCTGCCTGTGTTGGATATACTGCTTGATGGCTTGACTAAATCATAACTACAGCCTTGTAACTCAGTCAAATTTGATTCAAGATATTCTTTCTGGTTATCATTACTACAAATGGCATCATTGGGGGATTTTGTTGTTAGTTCTGCATTAGTATCTTCACCATCATTTAAACTGGTCTTTAATATGATTTGGTCTGTGACTGCTCTTTGAGTCTGGTTCTTTCCCATATCCGCTTGCTCATCATTAGGTATTATTTCACTGTGATTATTGTGAATCAACGAAGAATTTTGTTTAGATTGCTTTGCAGTAGTGTGTGTGTCATCCGTGGGAGGTGATGACATTACTTCATCACACAATCTAGGAGATTTACTATTATTACACATCTCATTATCTTTACTTGGAGTTACTGAACTGAGTGCAACAGAAAAGGCTGTTGCTACAATATTGCTGCTCAATACAGCTTCATCAACTTCTTTCTGCATTCGTTTCGTTCTCTTCCTAGTTTTGCCAACACCCCGCTTTTTTATCTTGGTCATGTCAATTTGCCTCCCAGGTGGGGATTTTTTCTGTGTTTTGCAAAATTGTTTTGTATCATTTTTCTTTAATGCAGTACTTTTCTTATTAGATTTGTTTGTCTTCCTGAGAGAACTGTCAGAACTGTCAACACTTGGCAAAGAGAAGCTTACATTATTGGGCAAGGTGAAGGTAGTGGTAGACTGAAACTTCCCATCACCACCAGCTGAAATAGAAAATAGCAGAATTAGTTTTAGATATCTATGTTTGGATATAATATAGCATATCTTGTTTTTACAGCAGGAATATTGTAGTTACATTACAAAGCTGCATCTTTACTCATACACTGAGTAAACTCACTCATACACATGAGGGTATGGGTGAGTGACTCTCGAGTCAAGTCTTCCAATTCCACGAAGGTGTGGATGACAATTAAATAATAACAATAATAATAATTAAATTACAAAATTAAAAACTGAATAAAACCAGAAATTTTCTTTCACAATGATTGTAGTAGATGATTGGAACAAGTTAGGTGAGAAGGTGTGGAGGCCAAAACCGTCAGTAATTTCAAAGTGTTACATGACAAAGTGATGGGAAGACGGAATACCACAAGCATAGCTCTCATCCTGTAATTACTGAAATACAACAGACATGAGCACAAATACCACCTAATCAATTTTACTTCACCTTCAGTTATCAACTGGGGGCCTGACAGCTGAGTGAACAGCGCTCGGGATTCATAGGCCTTAGGTTCGGGTTTGATCCCCAGTGGAGGCAGAAACAAATGGGCCGAGTTTCTTTCACCCTGATGCCCCAGTTCACCTAGCAGTATATAGGTACCTCGGAGTTAGACAGCTGCTACGGGCTGCTTCCTGGGGATGAGTAACAAAAAGGAGGCCTGGTCGAGGACTGGGCCGCAGGGATGCCAATCACCGAAATCATCTCAAGATGCCCTCAAGATAACTGCCTCGAAAATTTGACTAGCTCATCTCACACTTTGTTTAAAAATAATAAATTAAATAGATTTACCCAATTCATTAAAGCTTCAAATTTTGCTTTACCCAGAGCACCCTTTCCTTCCTATCATTGTCAACCAAGAATACATATGACACTCATTCTAAAATACTTTAAGAATAACTAAATACAGTGCTTTTTAACATGCAATGTTTGAGATCCAAATATATATACTGTGTATAGGAAGCACATTCCTATAGACAGTTTTGTTACACATTACCACAAGATGCTCATTTAACCACACTAGCCATATTACTTTTCTTAAATAATTTTTGAAAATAATCTCAATGAGCATACCAGGAATTATACATTTTGAATCACCAATAATTTTTTATTCATCTTTACCACTGTAACACAAGATGAATTCACAATTTTGAATGTTATTCACCTGTGCATGAACTGACAACTACTTTTCAGTCCTTTCATACAATATATGAAGCCAAAGTGATGTAGAATTACATTCCTGCCATGAGAAATATTGTACTGTATATTAGATTTGGTTCAGACATATGAGTATGTTCATGCCGGCGATCCAACCTGCAGTTCTTAGGCTCGATGACAAAACACACAAAAAACACAGCCAACCAGAAAGAGGAAGGGATACCGGAGAGCCTCTTGCTCTCATCCAGAAAATAGTGTTTCATTACATTCAACGCTGGTTGTCTGGGGGAGAGGGGGTGGGGGATGTCGGCTTCCCAGAGATAACTATCCAAAGACAAGGAAAAATACAGGGACTTACCCAGAAGGCAGTCAGTCCTCACTCCTCAACGCGAAGTCAAGACAACTAGCTGTAACCACTGACCCAATGCAACGCAGGCCCTACCAAGTCCAGGGACAGTAACAAGGTAGCGAGCGACCAGGACCCCATTCGACTTCCAAAAAACCCGTGCCCGAATGTCAACCCAAGACATGTTGCCAAAGATGGCAGCCAAAGCAGCAAACTTACGAACGTCGTGGGCACGAGGATAGACCACAGGATGGCTAGACTTAAAAACCCTGCGGATGACCTGGGAAAACCTGAGCCCAGGAACAGGGAAGGAGGGAAACTGGGTCAACCCAAAGTGCATCCCTGGCCACCGAAGCCGTGGAGTGCAAATAACAGCAAAGAGCTGCAACCAGACACAACACATGATGCACCCCCCGGCCTGACCAACCAAACATCAACAACCCAAGGACCCCTCCGGAAAGCAGCAGTCTCATTCTTCACCTAAAAAGAAGGAGATGGCTGTAACCGAATAAACCTACCACCAGAACCGAAAGAACAGAAACCCCTGCGCCAGAGGAGAGCATGAAGCTCCCCGACCTGACCCCCCAAAGGCCAATGCCAACAGGAGAAGATCCTTAGAAAAACAATCCTGAACCAAAGGGGCAACTACAAACCGAGAAGAGAGAAAAGAGAGCACCCGGTCCAAAGATCAGAACGGCTCAGGAGGCGCATGAGCAGGCCTGAAGTGAAATAACACACAAGACAGCTTGCGGAACGGGGCAGAAGTAACATCAATACTGAACACAAGCTGGAGCAGCTCCGCCAGCGCCGCACGATACGAGGCGACAGTATGATAGGAAAAACCGGAAGGACCGCCAGGAAACTTCATACTGCCGCCGAGACAAAGCACGCAGAAGGGAGACCAACAACGAAGCCATCTGCGCCCCATACAAGCGATGATAGACTTGAGTTGGAAACTCCAGATGCAAAAACTCTAGAAGAACGAACCAGCCTCGTAATGGGCTGGACTGATCTGCTGAAAGAGGCGGAGCCGCAGGAAGACCCTCGGGTTCGGATACTGAGCAAGCAGCACCTGAAACCACGGCTGGGCCAGCCACTAAGGAGCTACAAGGACAATTCTTCCCTGGTAAGTCTCCAAGTGAGAGAGGACCTGGAGCAATAGCTGAACCAGGGAAGAGGTACAGGTAACCCCATCTCGCCCAGTCCTGCCTGAAGGCCTCGACCCCGACGGCCTCACAGTCGGGGAAGGGCGTCATAGATACTGGGAGATGCCTCAACCACACCAATGTGAAGAGATCCACTTCCGGAGGCCCGAACATCTGGCAGAGCACACTGCACGAGTTGGCATCGACTATCCATTCCATGGACGGGAATGAAGCAGGGCAGGCCGTCCGTCAGGAAATTGGACACCCCTCGAACATGAACCGTCAGGAGAGCCAAACCCCGAAGCGACCAGCCCCAAAGAGCCAAGGACTGCATCGAACCTACCGTCCTAACATCATTAGGGCGCCTGACAGCTGAGTGGACAGCGCTTGTAATTCGTAGTCCTGAGTTCCGGGTTTGATCCCAGTGGAGGCGGAGACAAATGGGCAAAATGTTTCTTTCACCCTGATGCCCCTGTTACCTAGCAGTAAATAGGTACCTGGGAGTTAGACAGCTGCTACGGGCTGCTTCCTAGGGGGAGTCGGTGTAACAAAAAGGAGGTCTGGTCGAGGACCGGGCTGTGGGAACGCTAAGCCCCGAAATCATCTCAAGATAACCTCAAGGTAAGATAACCCCCTCGGGTCAGGCAATGAACCACCGGGAAGCAGTCCGAATGGAGCCGGATCATATCATCCCTGAACCTGAACCCTGAGTCCCTGAACCTCCGAACCTGATTCCCTGAACCTTGGATGAACCGGGACCTGGCAATACGCATCCTTGAGGTCCAGTGACACCATCCAAGTGTCTGGCTCTAACAGAAGATGGACCTGGGTCAGAGAAGCCATCCAAAAGAAGGGTCAATAAACCCATGGGTTCAGATGAGACAAGTCCAGAATGAACTGGAGGTCCGCGCAGTCCTGTTTTGGGACCAGAAACAGGCGGGAAACCGACCTGAGAGACGAGGTCGTTTCGACTACGCCAAAGTGAACCCACTCAGAGATGACTCGGCAAAGTGCAGGAGGCCTGCCCTTTCACACTTTCCAGTTTTCTCCCTCCCCCCTTTGCTCTCCCCCCTCCCTATCACCACTTTTCTCACTCCACTCCACTCCAACATCTCCCCCTTCTCCCCTCTCACAACTCTCACTCCTCTCCTACTCCTGTCTTCAAGAAGCACTTAGATAAGTTCTTGAAAGAAGTGTAAGATCAGCCAGGTTGTAGTGGATATGTAGGCCTACGGGGCCATTCCAAGCAACAGCTTGTTTGACCAGGTTATCAAAAGTCGAACCTGGCTGGTTTCTTATATTTTCAGTCAAATCTGTTTTAATTTTGTGCCTGCTTGGAATTGTGCAACTGCTTCAGTTATAAAGAGTTAAATCTGGACGACTTAGTTTACTAAAATTGCATGCTGTTACTTTGGAATGAATGAGATACTCTAGTAGCCATGATATTTCCACCATCTGTAGAGGCACTGCCATTTTCAATCTAGTTTTCTTATGAAAATAAAAATACAGAAATCATGAAAAGCAATAAGTACTATTAAACATTAACAGACATAATGCCATACCTGATACCTCTGCTTGTTGAATGTTTGATGGGTTGCCTTTAGGAGCTATGAGGATAGGGGGTCTTCTCCAACCTGGGGAAAATCAGGCTTTAAGTATATTAAAAATCGCCTTCAAACCTGGAAAACTAGCACTGAATGTAATGAAATGCCTCTTTCTGGTAGAGCCCTAGTGGTTTCCTGTAGTTATTTAGCTGAGATTGTCACGTCAGTCACAGGTCTACTCTGCTTGGTCACTGTTTGGTCTAACAGAGACCAGAGCTAGAACCTGGCCACCTCACAGAGGTGCAGAGCAAATTTCACCAGGAAAGCATAAAGAGTCAGTGAATCTTTACAGACAAATGGTGTGTTCACAAAAACCAAATCCTCAAAACTGCTAAACAACTCCTCAAATGATTGAAAAGAAACAAAATAATTCGTTCGAAACTAGTTTCAACTTGTTAATACCCATTCACAGCCACCTAGTGGCCCAGAATTCAGTCCTCTGGTAACTCGCCAATCTGATCTGAAGCAGATAAAACTACCCCAATGAACCAATGAACCGATGAACCTCGAAGGTAGGGAGGGAGACAGAGTCAATGGGACTCTACCAGAAAGAGGCATTTCATTTCATTCAATGCTGGGTTTCTGGGGGAAGCCCATTGGTGGCTCCCTGTAGCTAAATAACCACAAAGAAAGTTGAAGGATTTACGAGGGAGGAGGAGATGTGGCAGATACTACTGCGAAGGACAGACCATCAGTTTGCAAACATAGCCCAGGTCAACCCAGAACTTATAGCAACCAGGTATTTAGTCACGTCCTCATGACTGTTTGACCTTCAAAACTCCAGAGCTCAAATATCCGCCCAAGACATATTAAAGACTGCCGTAAAAGTAGTATACAGTGGTACCTCGGAATACGAGTGTCACTGTATATGAGTTTTTTGGAATACGAGCAGGATTTCCTCGGAAAATGTGTCTCGGAAGGCGAGGGTTACCTCGGAACGCGAGTTTGTTGATACGTGTTCAGGCCGACCTAGCGCGTGGTGGTACGGCGATCGTCGCCCCTCCGCCCCTCAGTTTACCATTGTCTCGCGCCCAGTGACTATCCCACATCAATTCTTCACCCGGATTTTCAGTGTTTTGTTGGATTTTTGGTCATTTGACTATACAATTTGTCATTATATATCTCACCATGGGTCCCAAGAAAGCCAGTGGTAAGGATCAAGGCAAGAAGCCCATGTGAGGATGACAATAGAGGAGAAACAAGAGATCATTCGGAAGCATGAGAATGGTACACGTGTTGTTGAACTTTGTAGGCAGTACAACAAAGCCACATCAACAATATGCACTATACTTAAGAAGAAAAATGAGATTATGAGTGCTAAAGTGGCAAAAGGAGTAAGAACAATGACTAAACAAAGACCACAAATACTTGAAGAAGTGGAAAAGTTGAAATTAATTTGGATACACGACAAGGAATTAAGGGGTGATAGTGTTTCGGAGGCCATCATTTGTGAGAAAGCCAGGGTATTGCACGAAGACCTTGTAAAGAAAACCCCTGCAGATACGAGAGTTTAAGGCAAGCAGGCGATGGTTTGAAAAATTTAGAAAAAGAAGTGGTATCCATAGTGTTGCGAGGCATGGGGAAGGCAGCCAGCTCAGACAAACCAGCCGCTGAACGATTTATTGACGAATATAGAGTTTGCAGAGGCTGAGGGATACCTACCGCAACAAGTGTTTAACTGTGACGAAACAGGACTGTTTTGGAAAAGATTGCCTAAGAGGACACACATTACCAAGGAGGAAAAATCCTTGCCCAGACACAAGCCTATGAAAGATAGGTTTACGCTTGTGCTGTGTTCAAATGAGTGGCGAATTGGAAATTAAACCCTTGCTAGTTTATCATTCTGAAAATCCAAGGGTTTTCAAACAGTATAAAGTGCAGAAAACTCAAATGTGTGTGATGTGGAAGTCTAATAAAAAAGCATGGGTGACTAGGCTTATTTTTTCGGAGTGGGTGAATGAAGTGCTGTGCCCTGCCATAGAAAAATATCTGCAGGAGAAACATTTGCCACTCAAGGCCCTGCTTCTCCTCGACAATGCTCCTGCTCATCCTCCAGGCTTGGAAGATGATTTGTTGCCCAGATACAATAAATTCCTCACAGTTAAAATCCTTCCTCCTAACACCACTCCTCTAATTCAGCCTATGGACCAGAAAATCATAGCAAATTTTAAGAAACTTTATGAAAGGGCACTTTTCTGGAAATGTTTTAAAGTGACTGAAGCCACAAACCTCACCCTCAAAAGAGTTCTGGAAACACTATTTTAACATTTGTAGTGCTTTAAAACTCGTTGACAAAGCCTGGCAAGAAGTGACTCAAAGAACCCTGATCTCTGGCTGGAGAAAATTGTGACCTGAAATGTGTGACAGAACTAGACTTTGAGGAGTTTGAGCCTGTAAATGATGTGCCTATTGTTGAGGAAATCGTTACTCTGGGCCGGCAAATGGGCTTGGAATTGGATGGTGATGATGTGGAGGAGTTGGTGGAAGAACACAACGAAGAACTGACCACCGAAGAACTCAAAGTCCTTCAAAAGGAACAGCAAGAAGACACAGCTGAGGATGTTTCTCCAGTGGAGGAGGATGAGGCAGCAGCAAATGTCCCATCCGCAACCATTAAGAAGTGGCGTCAGATGTAGGAAGAAATGCAAACTTTTATTTAAACGACTCACCCAGAGAAAGCTGTAGCAGGCCATTGCATTAATCTTTTCAATGACAGTGTGATGCCTCACTACATTATTATTATTAACATTTTTATTGACAAAATTAATTACAATTTTGCCTAATTTGAGGATTTTAATAATAAAGTCTTATTAAAGTGAGGAAAATGCTGGTATTCACTGTCACGCAGGACAGAGGGTCATACATAAGACAATAGGTCTAAACTGTAGGCTGAAGCACATATATCATGGTTACAATCAATGTGTTAATGTATGGATATGTGAAAACAACTTTCTATTGTGCACTGCCACACAAGGGCAGGGATGGATTCATAAGTGATGCAGCTTAGAAGTAATATAAATAAAAATTGTTCTTCATTCTTTAAAATGGACAAGCAAATTTTGGATAAATTGTTAGGATGTCGTCCAGAACACCTGAGTCAATAAAATAGTTACACAGTTGGTGGTACAAGAGCCCAGGAGGTCTAAAGTCCTTTACGGTTTCACATTCAACAATATAGTGTTCTAGTGAATGCATTAAAGGTTTATCACAGAGTTTACAATCTGAGTATTCTGGTAGTGGCTCAGCCTCACTAATCTGCCAGATGTGTCTATAGCCAAGGCGAATTCGCACAATGACTACATCACATTGCCTAGTTCGGTTACTATGCTGACCATACAAATACCTATTATTACAAAACTTGGCCTCACTACAGAAACATCTTGCGAAGAAAGGAAAAAGTCATCAATGGACCGCTTTGTTGTGAGAAAATCGAGCAGTGAGCCACAACCAGGACCGAGTGGTATGCAGGCAAAACGTGCCAGAGAATGCACTCCAGAGAGGTCCTCACTGCCTGATGTTATAATGGAAGGGGACTCCCCTTCCAAACAGTAACACCTCTCCTCCCCCCCTCACCATCTTCCATACGACAACAGCAGTCATCAGCAATGGTAAGTAATAACATGAACATAGTTTTGTAGTGTAAATTTCGATGAATTAGGTATAAAATTTAGTGTGAAGTGAGGTTTTTGGGTAGTCAGGAACAGATTAATTCATTTCCCATTATTTCTTATGGGGAAATTAGCTTCGGTTTACGAGTTTTCGGGTTACGAGCCGTCTCCAGGAACGGATTAAACTCTTAAACTGAGGTACCCATGTATATGCTTTATATGCCAGCCCCTTTGGATGGGCAGGCAGCAGAATTTGTGGGTAGGCACAGAATAGGTGGGTGGTGGGTAGCAGGACAGTTTGGTAGCTTTTTTGGAAGCAGGTAGAGTTTTGGTAGCAGGTGGGCGGTAGAGTGAGATGGGTGGCTGAAGTGGGCGAGTGGGAAGAAGAGATATTGTATCTGAATAGGACTAACACAGGAGCTGGTCACACCCAGTCACTCCCCAAGCACCTCCATCCCCCACACTAGACCCTCTCCACAAGAAAGAAAGAATTTTCTCAGTTAGAATTTTTACAGTGTCAAAGTAGTTAATAAATGGAATGCACTACACAGTGATGTGGTGGAGGTTGATTCCATACACAGTTTCAAATGTAGATATGATAAGAGCCCAGTAGGCTCAGGAATCTGTACACCAGTTGATTGACAATTGAGAGGCGGGACCAAAGAGACAAACCCCAACCCCTGCAAGCACAATTAGGTGAGTACAATTAAGTGAGTACAACCCCCCATTACCAATCCCCACACTGGACAAACCCCGCAATCTCCACCGTCCATCCCCACACCAGACCCTCCTCCCCGCAACCTCCATCTCCCATTCCCACAATGGACCCTCCTCCCCGCAACTTCCATTTCCCATTCCCACAATGGACCCTGCCAGCCATGTCTGGATGGTATTAACATGGCTGACTTCCTTCCTACCAGCTGGTGGCCCAGGAGGCAAACTGCTCGAGTGCCTGACATTAAACTCGTATTGTGACCTGTGACTGGTTGCAACTGTGAATGCCTGATTGACTATAAATGCCTGACTGATGGTAAATGTTTTACTGGTTGCTACCACAACTGTGAATGCCTGACTGTCTTTGGTTATGACTGCCTGTTAATGGCCTTGCCTATGAATGCTTGACTGAATGACTTCTTGTGACTAAATGCCTGACTGGCTGCTACATAACAGAGGCAGTGAAACATGTGAAGGGAAAATCTGGGATGAGTGATCCAAATATAAAAACATTTAAGGTGAGCATGGGATGGGTTTGATGTTATAATGGAAGGGGACTTCCTTTCCATACATTAACAACAGCTCCCACCCCCTTTCTCACCATCTCCCATACACCAACACGTGTCCTCAGTAAAGGTAAAGTTCAGTTAAATATTCATTTATTTTATTTACTATTTATATTTATACCTGACTGTTTTGTATATGAAAAAAATATTAGTAGTATTCTGTACAAAATGTATTTTAAGTTAATATTTTTGGGGGTGTGGAGTGGATTTACACTATTTCTAAGAGGAAAATTTTATTCGATGCATGGATTTTCTAGTTATTGTACTATTCATTTCTTGGAATCGATTAAATTTGAACAGAGAGGTTCCACTGTATTTGTTTATATATTAGTTTTTTAAATTATTTGTAAATATTATGTCCATTTAAGTTTGTTTAAATGTTTTTAAGTATTATACAATAGTTTACACTTTGATTAGGTAGATCACGAATGCTGCTAATACAGCATCATCTTGATGCTTGACCTCGGGGGATGGCTTTGACAAAGAATCCTCCCTCAACCACTGGACTGCAGCAACCGAGAAAATTCGGTCAGTAGGAAACTGCACCAACTGAGAAAACTCTGATTTTTTCGTACCCATTCAAATTGTCTGAGCAGTTGGTTGTGTACGAAATGGACTCTTAGGACTTCCAGTGAAAGGCAGCTATCTTGGAAAAAAATTCCCAGAATGTTCTAGGACTGCTGGCTGGGTTAGTACTAAGTGAGCAACCATGAGTGGCGCACGTGCCTCTGACTCCCAAACACCTGTCCGACACGGTGTTGAAAGATCGCACTCTGTCGGGGAAATTCAAACCTTATTGTTTGAAGAACATAAGGGGTCGTGATATTGGTGAACCTAGGCGCAATAAGGACCTAACACAAAGGTCGGATGCAAGTGATACAGCACCTATAAAGATAATACAGCAAACGTATCCAGTTGTAGCTTTGAGCGCCACCCTTGCCCACCTATGCCATCTCCAATTTATATAGATGATACATACATGAATCGTTTTCTGCATTCAATGATGATGCATCTGGTACAAGTAGCATAGATGAACAGTGTTAGTAGCTTCCATGGTGGTGTTTTCCATAAATATTTTCAAGAATAGCTGAATCTCTTCCAGACTGACTAACACTCTTTGAGGGTGGCTGAATCTCTTCCTTTGTGGAACCTTACAAAGTGATCTTTTCAAGACCACCTTACAAATTGATCTTTTCCTATAATCTTTTCAACACTACCTTATGCTTTACAAGCTTGGCTACATACCACCTACAAGTACTAAAGCCAAGGGTGTACGTGAGTGCATTATTTGCAAGCACACAAAACGAAGAAACAGGAAGCGAAAGTCGCACTGTGTACCATGAACTACTTCGTTGATTATTACTCACTTTCAAAGTACTGAGTGTGTGTAATACAGTGTGTTACTGTGTAGTGTGTGAAACTGTACATATTGTAATTTTAGTTTATTTTTAACAAGTAATATAGCGACAATAAACATTTATTGTGGACACATTACTGACACACGTATCACAGTTCCAAGGAACATTAAGAACGTTTTACTGTATCCATATTGTAAAGGACAAAAATATGCATCATATACGATAAAAAACAAATAAAACCGCATTGGAAATACATAGAACAAATAATTGAAAATATATTTGTGGCAACACCCGGTGCTTGAATGGCCCGCACGACCGTGTCTGGGAGCTTCACGTATAGGCAACCAGCCCCTCATGACGTCACAGCGCACCATGTCCACGTCCCCACAGCCAAAGTGGAATTTGGTATTTATTATTACATAGACATGTTCAGGGAAGAGGAATTTATCATTTTACAAAGAAAAAAGAATTTTTAGGAACACTTGATTTCATGCGCACAGGGGGAATTTCACAATAAACTCGGCGCAGCACAGTGGTTAATCAAACATATATTGTATATTATATGTGTTATATATAATTTATATATATATATAAATTGCATATTTTTATATTTCACTTTAGAATTTGGACTAAACACACTGTTTGGACAATTCAAGAATTTGTTGGAGTGCAGTTCATTAAAGTAAGGATCCACATTACTTTAGTTTGATAAATGTCTCTCTCCCCCACATGTGAAAGTACCCAACAAAACCTTCACTTTTTTGTTTGGTGAGAAAATATAAGCAGTTAAAAACAAGTCAACTGCATGTGGGCGGTATAATGGAATAGTTTGGTTGAATTATAACTTACTAATCATTGCAAAGGCATATTTTATGAGTTCTTGAACTTGGAATTAGCATGTTTTTTTAGTTCTAGAGCTTGGATTTAGCATATTTTTTAGTTCTAGAACTTGGAATTAGCATGTTTATGAGTTCTAGAACAGGGAATTAGCATGTTTTATGAGCACTAGAACTTGTAATTAGCATGTTTTATGAGTTCAAGAACTTGGAATTAGCATGTTTATGAGTTCTAGAACTTGGAATTAGCATGTTTTATTAGTTCTAGAACTTGGAATTAGAATGTTTAATGAGTTCTAGAACTTGGAATTTAGCATGTTTTATGAGTTCTAGAACCTGGAATTAGCATGTTTTATTAGTTCTAGAACTTGGAATTAGCATGTTTTATGAGTTCAAGAACTTGGAATTATTTGCAATAGCCATAACTTTGTACTGTATCTGGTATGGAGCAAGAACACCACATACATGGTGAGAGGGTCCGAACAATTCTGGGTCCATAGAAGTCACAAAATTCTACAAGCTCTATGTATATTACCGGATACCACATACCATTCGGAGAGTAGTTCCTCCTATTATATTCTGCAGGTAAGGTACATGTTTCTGGATTCAATTCAAGAACGTGTATTTTATTTGCGACTGGATTTATCTCTCCATAACCAATCTCAAAAGGCCGAGCCATGACAGGTATGGTTGACTGTTCGGGAGCTGGCAAGTGAAGAACCATCGTGCTTGTTTGCCGACCTGCAAATCACAAACTCTTGATTTATAATCAAGGAAATTTCTTTTCAAACACAAACGGTCAACTGCAGATATCATTACAAACAATAACTGAATGGCACAGCAAGTTTTCTAATGCAATTCATACTACAGCACATCACTAAAGTCATTTGTCTTTTTAGAGTTTCATAAAATCAAAGCAAAAAAGTAACCACAAACTACATAACTTATGCAAAATTCTACTTCTCTATGCAATTAAAAAAAAAAAAACACCGTCAAATGTAATGAAATGTCAATTTTTGAGCGATCCCCATTGGCTCCCTCAACCTACTTATATACTGGTACCTATATAGTTTATCACCTCACTGAGGAAGGCAAACAGAGAAGTCAAAATAAACCACTGCTGGCTTCAAGAGACTGAAGCCCCAAAACCCGGCTAAAGAACTCCCCCAGCTATGTAAACAAACGATCAAATTTTCTCGAAACTAGCATGATCTTGATCACTCCACCTTCTCCACTCATTTGCTGGGAGGTGCAAGGTAGCTCATCACCAATCCACCATCTCAGCCCCCAGTTCTAGGATAGATGTAGGCATCTACATCTATCAAAATTCCCCATAAACCCCCCCTCATTACATTCAATGGTGGTTTTCTAGAGAGGGGGAAGGTCCTTGTGAAGAAGGAAAACATATGGAAACTCACCAGGGAGGAGGAGGAGGAAGTACTGCAGGACTCACGATGAGGACAAGACCCCTGGCTGAAAGAGACGACCCAAAGCCACACAAGGGCATCAAAGCCCAAGAACATTGACAAGATACCGGGCCGCCATGACCCTGTCTAACTTCCAAAACTCCCTCACCCGAATATCATCCTGGGACATGTTCGCATACACTGCAGACAGAGCAGCATACTTGCTAACATCATAGGCATGAGGGAAGATCACTGGCTGGCTAGACTTTATAACCTTGTTGATGACCTAAAAAAAAAAACCAGCATTGAATGTAATGAAATGCCATTTTCTGGGTAGAACCCCAGAGGATTCCTGGGGCTCTTGAACATATATTAGCTAATATTAGCACGGAGCTTCAGTCATATGGAGTTGTCATGCCTACTGTGGACAACTAGCCAGAACATGGTCCCCTCAGAGAGGTGAAGGGAGCCATGGAATATGAAACTCACATGTTTGAAAGTATTCGTCTGCCATCGACCGGGGTTGAGCACCCAGAAAGGTAGGCGCTTCAAAACAAAATCACTCCTGGTAGAAATATTGCAACCTGAGACCGAACAGCGGCCAGAAACTCCCCCAAAGAAAAATAAGCAAACAAGCAACACATCATCACACCACACACCGCTCATTCATGTCAACATTCTCCCCCCCCCCCCCACATTTCAGAGGAAAAGAGGGGGTCCTGCCCACCGAGCCAAAAGCCAGACCGTCAGTTTAGAGGCTGAAAAACGGAAACACAAACTGCCGACCAGGGAGAGGGAGGGTACCAGGAAACCTCCAGGGCACTATCCAGAAAATGGCATTTCATTACATTCAATGCTGGTTTTCTGTGGGGGAGGCCTGTCAGCTCCCTAGAGCCAACTACCAAAAGAGAAAAAATAAAAGGGACTTACCCGGGAGGAGGCTACACTGCACAACTCATAACGAAGATGAGATAACTGGCTGCTACAGCCAACCCAAGTAGACACAAGACCGCTGAGGGCCCAGCACATTAACACGATATCGGGCAGCCAGGACCCTGTTCGATCTCCAAAACCCACGCACGAATACATAATAATCGATACATGGAAAATAGTAGAGGGGCTGGTCCTAAACCTGCACACAAAAATAACATCACATGAGACCAGAAGGCATGGCAGGATGTGCAGAATACCCCCGTTGAAGAGCAGAGGTGCAACGGATACTCTGAGAGAGAACTCTATCAACATAAGAGGCCCGAAACTGTTCAACACGCTTCCACTACACATAAGGGGCATAACTGGCTGACCCCTCACAATGTTCATGAGAGAACTTGACAAACACCTCCAAAGGATACCTTTTCAACTTGGCTGTGACTCATACGTCAGGTTGCGAGCAGCCGAGTCCAACAGCCTGGTTGATCAGTCCAGCAACCAGGAAGCCTGGTCGACGACCGAGCCGCGGAGACGCTAAGCCCCCGAAGCACCTCAAGGTAAGGTAACCCAAATATCCATCCAAGACATATTGCCAAACACAGCAGCCAAAGCTGCAAACTTACAAACATCATGGGCGCGAAGGTAGATCGCAGACTGGCTAGACTTGATAGCCTTGTGGATAACCTAAGTGACCCAAGCCCTGGAAAAAGGAACAAGAAAAACCAGGTCATCCCAAAGCGCATCCTCCGGACACAGATGCAGAGGCGCGCAGATAACGGCATAAAGCAGCAACCATATAAAAAATATGATGCACCCCGGGCCTGACCAACCAAGCATCAATAACCCATAGACCCCACCGGAAGCCCGCCATCTCGTTCTTCGCCAGAAAAGAAGATGGCTGTTCAACCATTCCTACCCAAAAGCATCTACCGCGAAGTCCTCGCAGTCGGGGAAGGATGACACATATACGGGAAGTTGTCTCGACCACGCCGACGCGAAGAGGTCTGCTTCTGGTGGCCCGTACATTCGGCAGAGCCAACTGAACAATTTAGCGTCAACCGTCCATTCCATGGACAGGGGAATGAACCACGACAGGCCGTCTGCTAGGACGTTGGACACAACCGGGATATGAACCACACACAGAGAGCTAAACCCCAAGAACTCAGCAGAAGAGCCACTCAAAGCAACCAGCCCCAAAGAGCCAAAGATTGTTGATTGATTGACAGTTGAGAGGTGGGTCGAAAGAGCAGAGCTCATCCCCCGAAAGAACAACTAGGTGAACTAGGTGAATACAGACCGCAGAGACCCTCCGCAGTTCAGGCAATAAACCACCAGGGCCCAGTTCGAATGGAGCCGGATCGTGGAGCCCTGAGCGAGCCAAATCTGACACTGCGTAAGCCACAGTGCAACAAATTCCTGTACCTTACTGTGAGCCCGATAGAAGGACGGAGCCCACCGCCCCTGGCCGCCCTAGTGAGCACTGATCACAAAACCCCAGCCGAAAGAGGAGGCATTCTTGAATACATCAAGGCAGAGCTGTGGAAGGTGCCAAGGCAATGAACCCCGAAATGCTCGAAGAGGAAGGCAGCGACGCAGCAGCCGACACAAGGCCCCTGGGGAAACAAACCTAGCGATCGTGAGCGAGGCGGAAGGGATGGCCTCAAAGGAATCAGAACAGATGCTGCAACCAAACCTGAAAAAGCGCATAAACAATCGCAGCGGCAAAGTTCAGACTTACACACAGCTGCTTGAGTCACCACCGAGTGACCCAGGACGCCCCTCAGAAACAAACGACGGCAAGACTGCAGCCAGAGCAATGCCGTCTGGGGGGCATTGCTCCCCAGACGGCATTGACAAGGACGCTGTCTGGGAATCCCAGACAAGGCCCAGCTAAGTCCAAACCTGAGACGGAACCAGATGGGACTTCCTCCAGTTCATTAGGAACCCGAACCCAGCAAGCTGGGAAATAACCAAATCCCAGGTGAGCAGACTGGTTGGGAGCCCAGACCAACCAGTCGTCAAGGTAGGCCAAAACCCAAACACCTAGGAGACGCAGACAGGCCACCACGATCTGGGCAAGACGCGTAAAAATGAGAGGTGCCAGATTCAGCCAGAAAGGAATGCAACAAAATGGTAAGCCTGACACCCCACCACAAAACCTACCATGTCCCTAAACCCCGGATGAATAGGGATGTGCCAATATGTATCCCTGAAGTCCAGAGACATCATCCAAGAACCCGGTTCCAAGAAAACTGGATCTGGAACAGAGTGGTTATCCGAAAGGAGGAGCAAGGATTCCAGGGGTTCAGAAAGGGCAAGTCCAGAAAGAACCGCAGATCCACACAATTCCGTTTTGTCACTGGAAACAGACGAAAACCCACCTGAGGGATGAGGTCCTTTCAACCACACCTACGGTAGGATAACCCGACGAAGCGAAGGAGGGAAGAAACCTGCCCCACCAGCCCTGAACTCCCCCGAAAAGGGAGGCCCAATGCTATGGCAGGCCAAAAGAAACGACCTGAAACGCCCACAAATCGTGGGACCAAGCACGGACAAACAGAGCCAGTCGCACCCCCTAATCACACCTCCAGTAGGCCAGAGAACTCTGCAACTTTACGCAGAGAACATTAAGAAAATGTGTGAAGTATGGGAAGAACTGCAAAGTTTGGTTGAAAAAAGGCACCCAGATAAAGGTGTAGCAGGCCCTTGCAGTGACCTTTTAAATGACAATGTGATGTCTCACTACAGACAAGTGTTAAAATGTAGAGAAAAACAAGTGTCTTTAGACAGATTCTTAGTAAAACAAGCAAGCAGTGAGCCACAACAGATCCTAGTGGAATGCCTAAAAACACAGGAGAGAGTGTATCCAAGAAAAGACATTATTGCCTGATGTTATAATGGAAGGGAGCGCCCCTTCCAAACAATAACACCTCTCCTCTTCCCCTCCCCTTCCAAACAATAACACCTCTCCTCTTCCCCTCCCCTTCCTCACCGTCTCCCCTACGCCAACAAGAGTCATCAATAAAAGTAAGCTATAACTTGAGCATACTATAGTACAAAATATGGGTGTATTATGTATTTTAAAGTTAATATTTTTTGGAGTGTGGAACGGATTAATTCAATTTACATTATTTCTTATGGGAAAATTCTTTTCGAGTTACAAATTTTTGAGTTACAACCCGTCTCTGGTAATGGATTAAATTTGTAAGTGGAGGTACAGTACCACTGTACTCAGTGCTGTCTAAGCTCGCTTAACCAAACTATATGGAAAGAATCCCTCATCAGATAAGTCACACTTACAGATAAGCAGCATTCTTACAGGTGACGTCCAAAGATGACTATATTTGCAATTTTTGTACAACAACCAACGTAATTTGAATTTCCACACACATTGTAAATCAAAATTATAATTTAACCCTTAGACAGTGATCATCATTTATTGTTGATTCACAGAGTAATGTGATTATTATCATTTGAAGATTTAAATATTACTGTCTGGGTTTTGCAAGTATGATGCAAATACAGTATAACCTCGATTCAACGAATCTCCGGCCAGTTCGCACACTTTTCAGGCCAAATTTACTCACCCTGTAAGAGAGAGACCCTTGTGTAGGGAGAAATAGCAGTGTTAAATGTTGAAAACCAGTCTGGTACTTTTACCCCTGCAGATATACAGAGCATCAGCTTAGCAGGAAAAGGTCATCTCCTAAAAACCAATGTAAATAAACCTGATAAAATAGTTAAAAAATAGATTCAATGCAAGAAAATATAGAGAAACAACAGTGTTAAATGTAGAAAAACAGCCTGGAACATTATAAGACATATAAATGAACTAATGGGAAATGTGTATGACATGTATAGAGATGAGACATTATTGGAACCAGGCAGGAAGCAAATGGGCAAGGTCTTCTCATTCACTTGGGAGAGAGAAAGGCAGTGAGAACAAGACCAGTGTCTTGGATGGTCTCCAACAAATACAATAAGTGCAGTATTATAGATGTTTATAGCGGTGCTTCCCTTTTTGTATAAGTTAGAGATAGGAATTTATAGAAATAAAGATTTTAGAACCCTGTGTGTCAAATGGGGTTATCCACATTTACTTTGTACATCCATTTGTGTATTGTGGTCAGAGTAGTGTATTGTTAAAACCCATGCCCTTTCCTTTGTAGTGACCTAAGAGGAGTGGAATGGAGTAATGACCTTAAGTCCAAGTTTGTAGAGGCCTAAACCGTTGTGTGTGGTCCCTTTGTGCCAGTGGTCTCCTGAGGTGTGTGTTGGTGGGAAGGAACCTCCCCCCCCCCCCTTTGTCTGTATCAATCCTGTGGTGGATCCAAGTACACCCCTCCCCATTCTAATCAGTGTGAGAAAATCTGGTATTTGCTAAATAAAAACCCTTTTGTAAAATTGTACCCCCAAGGTGTATTTCTTGTCCCATGTAGTTAGAACTGGTGATTATTGCTATATAGATCCCTGCACTTCCATCGTTTACAAGAAAGTAAGAGTGGGTGTTGTTAGCGATACTCTAGGGTACGGCTTTCAATCCCAGTACCTTACAACCCGGTTGGACAAACAATGGTTTGCCGAAACGGGGGATGTTCAGATTTGCTTACGATGTCGAGACAAGAGTTCACAGACTGATGGAAAACTTTCCCATTCTATCACAGGTTACAGTTAATAATTCCTTCATATGACAACTTATATCACACAAGTGGACCACACAAGTGGACCATAGAAGTGAACCACAAGTGGTCCACAAGCTTACAATGTTGGGACAGAGTTTTCACAGACTGGTGGAAAACTGTCTCATTCTATCACAGATTACAATTAATAATTCCTTCATAAGACAAGTTGGAACACACAAGTGACACATATTAACCAAACACCAGCCAGAATGGTCCACACAAGAAGTGACACATTTTAACCAAATACAAGCCAGAGTGGTCCACACAAGTGAACAACTGAGTTTCAATGATTTTCGCTCACTGATTTGTGGCACACGTATCTTTGTAAATTAATGTAAAGGCTGAAGCGTGAATAGCTAGCTAATGTGTTGAAATCTTCTTGTATACATTTTCTGTAATGAAACAAGATGAGTGAGGATTGACAGATAAGGGAACACTGTACAGTAAACCTCTCTTTACAGTGAGGTTTCACTCACTTTTGCCTGTGTTGTCATAGTTCAGTGACCCATGACTTTGAACGTTTCAGATTAATAAATCATTTCTAAAACTGGTGTTTTAATACCTCTTTATTACCCTAATTAAACTAAACTAAATAAAACCAAAAATATACTGTAATCTGATAGATATCTGCTATTTGAGAAATTATTCATGTTATTGGCGGCACAACTCCAGCACGAGAGGACGGGTCTAATCCGTGTCCACACAACACCATGTGTGTTTCATTTGATTTCGTCGCCACAGTTCAGTGACCTATGGCTTCGAAATAATAAAATTAATAAATCAGTTCTAAAATAAGTATTTTTTATGACTCTTACTATTGTAATAATATTGCTAAACTAAATATATAACCCAAAAATATATAATTTGACATAAATCCAATATTTGAGAGAAATTTATGTTACTGCATCTGTCTTAAACACCAGCCAACTGTAGTGTGTATCGACCTCGTCGGCGTTCATATAGTAGGCACCCAGTGCCCTTAGCTTTGTCTGTGATTGACTTATTTATCTGCCGGTGGAAGAATAATTGTGGAATTTACCATTTTTTACTACTGTATTGTTATACAACAAAATATCTCAGTGGCTTACTAATAGTGCCTTATGAATGCCAAAAATGAAGCAATATTTTGCAAGAACTAGTAGCAGAAAATCAACCAGCACGAGCACAGCCGTACCCAGCACAAGCACAGCTGTAACCAGCACGAGCACAGCTATACCCAGCACGAGCACAGCCATACCCAGTACTGGTACAACAGCAGTACCCAGCACTGGTACAACAGCAGCCAGCACCAGCTCAGAAGCAGCTGAAGCAAACACAGCAGCAGCAGCGAGCACCAGCAAAGCTGATGCAAACATCTAAGAACATCGTGTGTGGAGTATACAGTTAAAGTGTTAAATTTAAGTACATAGTGTTGGTGTTCAAATTAAGGTTGCAGTACAGAAATTTTAAGTGTAAAATGGTTTTCATAAACTGTATTGTAGTACTCAACATACAGCAGAACTACTTAATCAACTCAGTACTAACGGCATAATACACTACAGTATGTATTTACTGTACAGCATTCACAACTCCACGAAACTTCAAGATGGACATAACTCCAACAATAAGGTAAATAACAAATGTAATACAGTATTTTTTAGTAGAGTAGTAATATATAGGTACAGTATGTAATATGATAATGCATTTTTATTGTGTACAAGAAAAAAAAAATGATGCAAACACCTCCTGTAGGTCACCTCTTGCAACGAATCCAACGCACTGGGATTGGTTTCATATAGTACGTTGAATCGAGGTTGTACTGTATGGATATAAAAGCTCTGTGGATGTAAATTAAGAAAAAAAGTGATAAAACAATCGGTAAAACATCAGAGAATAAATTAGGAAGTATTAGTAAAATCAGGTACCAGGCATTGACAAGTGCCAAGCACCTCCACCCATTGAAACAATAAATATTCAATTAGTTTCATGTTTTACTTATATTCTTCTTACAAATTAATAATTCTATAATGAAAATAATTTTGGGGATTTTTTTTTTTTTTGTGCATAGGCAGGTATGGCCATTTTTCCATAACTGTGGTCTAAGCGTTAAAAGAGAAACATCAGATTACCTTGTTGTAGTTTTGTCTTCTTGTTTGATACTGTAGATCCTTTAATGTGTAGTGCTTGAAAATATATGTAACCTAACCTCCGGTTATCCAGATTTTTGTCGAAGCTTCACCAGAAAATTATCCAGACTTACCTTAGGCTCTGTGCGAGTTTGTGCTATCCGTGATAATATCCAATTATCTAGATTTCTGTCTGATAGAAAATTATCCAGATGTGACTTTGGCCGGATAACCCAAATATTTGATTCAGCGGAATTCGGATAAGCGAGCACATACAGTAATGCTAGAGGTAAAAGTGCTGACAACTGCTTGGGAATGGTATAGGCAGCCATGTGATGAAGGATGCCCATTTACTTAACCAGGGTGACAATTCTTTGAGCAACTAAGACCAACTTATCTATTACCCACGTCTTGTAAGATCATTTATGACAAACGTAATATCCCAAAATAACCAATAATAAATACAGTCAGCCACATGCTTTACGAATGCCTGTTATCCAATTGGGGTTTGTTCGGATTAAAAAGTTTGAATAATGGGTGGGGCAGGTAGTCTGAGTAAAAATGTGTAATAAAGATGAAATTAGTAAGCCCAGTGACTGTACACAACACCACTTGAGCAGTGTTCATACACTAATGAATGGCTCAGAAGCTTTAAAGCCTACCATGGCATTATGGTACATTAGAGTACATGGTAAAAGGCAGTCTGCTGAGGTTACCTTATCACCATTAATCTCCACTTCAGTCAACACAACACTATCATCATCCACCACCAACAAGCAGATCTGAACATATATTGGCGAGTTCAAACAAAACACTATTGAATTCCTGCAACAAAATTTTCAAATTTTCCCCTAGCATTTCAGGATGACTAACCACTTATCCGTACACAACATGTTATCCATTAAGTCTCAGTCCCGAGGGGTTCGAATAGCACATGGCTAACTCTACTTGAAAAAATAGAAGTTTCAGAAACATACCTTGATTTTCAGCTCCACTACAAAATGTAATGATGCACCCTTGGCTGATCTGCTCCTTTGCGACTGGGGGAAGCAGAATGGTTGTCACATCTCCAGTATTTCCTTTTACAGGTTGTGAAAAAGGCGTCGACTCTCTCTCTTGGCCAACTTCTCCATAACTACACATACCACTGTCAAACCTTGGTAGAACTCCAGCAGAAGCATTTTGTGTTACTAATGTGTTTGAAGGAGCAGAAATTAATGATGACGATGATGGAGCAACTATAGAATAAGTTTTGCCTGAAGCCTCACCTTGCATGGGTGCAGGATAGAGTAATCCTGTTCCTTCATCTACACAGTATGAACCTTCCAAGGAAGTTATTTCATGTGGATTAACGGGAGTAAGTTCAGTTAATGTATACTGCTCCTGATCCAGAGCAGAGGTAGCACAACACAGTGAAGATGATGTAGCAATGCCTGGTATTGTATTACTTCGAATAGGAAGGGTGGTTGTAGGTACCATGGCTAGGAGACCCATATCATTATCATAATTTTCAGAGGGTTCAAGAATTGGAAGAGTTTCAGTATATGGAAGAATTTGAAGAGGCTCTGTTAATGGTAAGGTTCCTTGGACTGAATCTGAAATATTTTCTGAGTTTTCCAAAGTCTGTATGTTAGATGAAAGATTATTTCTTTTGTCTGGACTAGTTGATTTAACCAAACTAGATACACTTGCCACTGCTGCTGCTGCTGCAGCTCCAGGCTGAGCATTTTCACCAACCGGAGAGTCCTTGTGACTAATATGGTATGGAGAATGCTCACAGGGTTCTTGAGCTACACAGACAGGAGCTTCTCCAGGAACCTCAGAGACAAGCTTATCACTAGGGTCAGTAGCTACATTACCACAAACACTTAATTCATTTTCCACAAAGGAAGATTGAAATTCTGCACTAATTTCACTTTCATTTAATCTCTTTTCAAGTGAAGCAGAATCTGACTTACCCAATTCTGCCTCGTCTTCACCTTCACTGACTTTATCTGGTCGAGAAGACTGAAACTCGGCAAATTCCTGAAGCAGTTGTTCCCCAAGGTTATTTTCATCCTCCTTCAAGATTTTATTTTTCCACTTTGAAGGTTTTCTCTTTTTACTTTTAGATTTATTGTTTTGTGGCACAGAAGGACTAGTTTTTTGAGCTTTCAAAGTACTGGTAACAGATTCTTGAGAACTGGAACGAAGGGTAAATTTTATATATTTCCTGCATGTTACTAAACATAAGGTTAATTAATACATTTTCAAAATTCATGACAAAATTTAAGTATAGCATTGTATATTAAAGACAATGGAAGGAATTTGCCAAATATTACAGACCAGACTAAAACCATAGCAACTCTATAGTGTGTTATGAATATTTTATCAAGAAATACATAATACAGTATTTGCAAAGCACAGCTACACTGTACAATATTCGTGCTTACTTATTAGTAAGTAAAATGCTCTCCCAAATATGTGGATCAATTGGAACTGCACCCTGTTCTTCACATACAGTACAGATAATCCAAAGTTTTTTTGCTATTCTTAGTTTTGAGAGAAAAAATCAGCAGTGAATGTAATGAATCACCTCTTTTTAGATGGGCCTTTGTGGCTTCCTGAAACTAGCTTGGCGAGGTAGCTCCTGTTATGATCGCCATCTAGTTCAAGACTTTCCCACATCAAGAATCATTTGTACCCACCTTAATGAGATGTTAGATAGCCCAAACGATATTTTGAGATATGAGGGGAAAAGTTTGTGAGGATAATGTAAATTTGGTTTTAAGGGGTTGGCAGGAGGGAAGAGGTAGCATAAGGCTGGACAATATGGCACCTAGAGTCGCTGACCGAGAGCAGTTTCCGACCTAGTGTGGTGACACCGGTCTAGAGGGTATATAAAAAAGAGGCATGGAGTGGATGATGGGGCAGAGTTGCAGCCAGTGGGCAGGTCAACAGTTAGCTCTGATACGGGATGTCAGATAGGCATGCTAGATCAGTGACACTACAGGCTTGGTCGCATGCAGACATGTGCATTGGCGGTCCAGGATTTATTTACAGATTCGAGCTCATATGGCAAGATGAGCTTACTAGAGGAAGCAAGAGTACTTTCCAGCAGCAAGAGGAGCAACTGAAAAGATTTGGAGAAGGGGGACATGTGAGAATAGGTTGTGTGGAACAATTGCTGTAGTAAGACTTAGCAGGGCCCCTCTTGCCTCACTCTCTAAGGAACAAGCTAACTGAGAACTTCACTAGGAGAGAGACTTAGTGTGAGAGATCAGTAGCAATGCCAAGGCTGCATGAGGGTGAAGAAAAGTCCAGGAAACACATCTCAAATCACAAATCTGCTGGAGGAGTGACATCACCCAAATCCAGTCAAATCATATACTAAAACAAAAGCAATGTAAAGGATTTGGGTGTAATCATAGCAGAAGACCTTACCTTTAAAGAACACAATAACGTAGCCGTCACAACTGCGAGAAAAATGACTAGTTGGATTACAAGAACCATTTCAAACAAAAGATGCCTTACCAATGATGATATTTTTCATGATGTTAGTGCTCTCTAAAGTGGAATACTGTTACACAATAACTGCCCCTTTCAAAGCTGGAGAAATTGCTGACCTGCAGAACATGCAGAGATCCTTTACTGCTAGAATCCACTTAATTAATATACAGTACCATCTAAATAACTGGGATCAATTAAAATGTCTAAATCTGTATTCTCTAGAGTGGAGGCAGGAGAGATACATAATAATTTACACAGGAAAATATTATAGAGGCTGGTCCCAATCTGCCCAAAGAAATAACATAACATGAGACCAAAAGACATGCAGGATGTGCAGAATACCCCTGTTGAAATGCAGGGGTGCAATAGGTACTCTGAGAGAACTGTATCAACATCAGAGGCCCGAGTAGTTGTTCAACAAGATTCCACTATATATAAGGGGCATAACTGGCCGACCCCCTCGCAGTGTTCAAGAGAGAACTTGATAAATACTTCCAAAGGATACCTGATCAACCAGGCTGTGACTCATACATCAGGCTGCAAACAGCCGCATCCAACAACCTGGTTGACCAAACCATCAATCAGGAGGTCTGGTCAGAGATCGGGCCGCAGGGACCTGGACCCCCGGAATCTATGCACGGTAACAGCAGGGTAGGTGGTTCACTGGTGGTGGCAGACATGAATAACTTTATATGTAAGGTTTTCATAGTGCCCCCACACTCTTCGCTTCTTTGAGGGTGCCAGGTTCTGGCTCGTGGTCGCCGGTAGGCCAATAAAATTTTGCGACCAATGGCACCTAATACTATGGCACTGAATCAGTTAATAAGCTTCGGGGAGTCAGTTAATATGAATCATGTTAAAAAAGTAAAGTGAGAGGTGCGAAGAGGTGGTGGATGAAAAAACCATCAACAGTTTCTAAGAGTCATGACATAGATTATATAGAAGATGGGGACACCAAGAGCATAACACTCATCCTTCAAAAACACTTTCGTAATCACATACACATACATGTAATGAACAGTATGTGTATTTTAACAAGTATAGATATATATATATTTTAACATTTATATTAACACAAAATACATACATGTAATTTAATTACCTGAGTGAGGAATTGTTTTCACTGGGTGTCATGGTGCTTTTTGTTCTGCCTTGGGTAGGAATCAGCCGAGAATTTCTGGTGGCACTCCTTGTTGCCCGACGCTTTGCAACTAATGTGTCTCCGCATTTCAATTTCTTCTGCTTTTTCTTATATGCAGTTTTTGAGAAAGTTTTAGAAATTCCTGTAACCACCTGTGAAGCAGAGCATGACGGAGAAGCTTCTGGAGACAGGACTGCCTGAGGACAGTGTGGAGCCAAGTCCGACACAGAATGATGTGGTGTTTCATCGGATGTTGATGAATGAAGATGTGGTGAGGTAGGTAACCGATGAGGGGAAGATGGGCTGACAGTCATAGAGGTTGAAGATGAGGGCTGAGAATGAGTGTTAGGAGAAAAAAGTGTTGAAATTGGCTGAGGCACTGTTGCTGATGCTGGTGGCACTGGTGTTGATAGTAGCCTTGAAGGAGCTAAGGGAGTATCTTGCACACTGCCATGATTAGACTGCGATGTGTCACTTTTTATTGGGGTTACCATTGGAGAACCTGAGCACAAAAAATGCAAATACTGTACATTAGACTACCCTATACATGGTTTATCTGGATAAGAGCAAGCAAACAAGGCACACCCTATCTTTCTTTTCATTGAATCTTCAAAAATAAAAAATCAGCATTGAATATAATGAAACGCAATTTTCTGGGTAAGCCCTGGAGTCTCCCCGGACCTTACTGGGCTGAAACGTATGTATTAGACCATGGCATCAATCGATTGGAGTTCTTCTGCCTACCGGGAACCACGAGTTAGAACCTGGCACCCCTCAGAGAGGCTTAGCAATGGCCAGCTGGCCCCCAAGGGCTGGGTAAGTGCAGAGCAGCATAAACACCTACAGAATTGATTCCCGAACGCACCAGGGAAGAGAACCCTAACATGCTAGGGTAGTACTCACAGGGAGCTTAGGGAAGGATGCCCCTAAGCGCATACAGCCCCAGTACTCCTGAGGACACCTGGCCACCACACACGACACAGCAGAGGACACCTCGAAAGCAAATACTGCTTGGAAAGCGAGGCCAGAGAGTTCTGCCTCTCTGTTAGGTTTTTGGTTGCAATTTTCTTACCATGTGAGGTCTGTTTTGTTATGCCTACCTTTATGGGTGCCTAGCAACACCAGCAACACTTCATCTAACTAGCACTCCTGCTCGTTAGTGCTACCCCCTTCCCCACTAGGGAGGGGGATAACTTTGCTTTGCTCTTGCTTTTGAAGCAGGGTTGCCATATTGAGTTCCATTGCTCACTTTGGCTATTAGTTCAATTGCATTCTCAGGTGTTTATGTTTGCTACTTTTGGCTATCTGTAGCCAGTTTCAGCTATGAGGAACCCAATTGTGTTACCAGCTGTTTACATTCACTACTTTTGGCTGTTCAGTTCCTGGCAACCTTGCTTTGAGGCTGTTTTGTATATATGTTTGCATAGTGGGAGCCAGTAGTCGAGTGCCTGGAGCTGGACGAGCTCAGGGTTTTCTTCCCTATGCACTCTTTAAGTACTTCCCTTGTACAGTTAGGGTTATCTTCCCTGGGGTGTTCGGGACTCGCTCCTTTTAGGTCTCCTCGCCCTTCAGATAAGCCGGTGGTATTTGAATGTCTGTCTTCCCTTGGATTAGGAGTGTTCCTGGCTGGTGGGGTGCGCTGTGGTTTGCATTTCCAAGTACAGTATTCTATTACTACATACGTACATCGAAGTTTCTCCCTGGGTGCTTGTTCTCCGCAGTTTGGTCCTGGGGGCTCGGGGCTTTCTTCATTCTCCAGATGTTATTTCAGGTCTTTGTTCATTGTGCCCTTGTATGCTTAGTGTTCTTCTCTTTCATCTCATTAGGCTTAGCTGAGGGTGATTGTGTGGTTAACCTCCCCCCTGCCCTTGATGGCCCCTTGCCTTTTCCATTGGCTTTGGGTAGCCAGGGATTCCTCTTCTACTCAGGGGTTTCAGGCATAATATTCCCAGTGACTGGGCTTCCTGCAGGGCTCATTCACCCCTGCAAGCCCTGGAAAACCCCTACAGGATCAGTTATACTATGGTACCTCCTCAAAGCCTATAGTTCTCAGAGGAGAACTAACAGTGGTCTGTGAGCCGTGCACTGCTTCCCTTCTCCCCTGAAACAATGGAGAGGGTGAGGCAAACAAGCAGGTGCTGGGTTATAACTTTTTCTGTAATTTATTTACATAGTTTGAGGAGTTCAATGGCCATTTTCGAGTCTGCAGGTATCAGAAGCAGCCAGCTGTGGTTAGATTTGTCTCACTGACTTTTTGGGTGTTTCCCTTGGTAGTGGCACAAATGAATAACTTAATATATAAATGCCACAGCCCACCAGGTTCTGGCTCTGGGTCTCTGATAGGCTAGAGAACTCCACAACTGATGGTACCTAGTAGCTGGCACCTACTCGGAGATGGTAGCTTCAGGAAGCATCAAGGGGGTCCCCACATAAAGCAGTTTTCTTGTTCTAAAAATATAATAATCATGCCACTTACATAAACACCACCATTTTAAGTATAGTGATGTTCCACACATTTTATTAAATAGATTTATCAAATTACACAATATTGTTATCAGAATGCTGATAATAATAGCAACATTGTGCATAGAATTAGCAACGTGTGTAGTATATCCTGACACATTTTGCATCGTCTGCTACTACTAATCATGCTGGTAATGAGGTACTATGCTGATGTTGGATTTCATTACCACACCCACCAGAATTGCTTAGTGGTTCATATTCATGCATGAAAATGTATATATTTATATATATCAAGCATAGATACAGTATATATGAGTAGGTATGTTATTTTGTTGAATTTTTTATTATAATATAAATACATTGTCAAATTCCAGTACTTCTTATATCCTCCATTTTGGGGGGGGGGGATTATTATTTTTTTCTTCTTTGTTTCTTACTTGATTTTATTGTGGCTTCTACATCTTGGAGAATGTATACCCATCATTAAGTATGTGAAGTTGGAACGAAATTGGTCAACATATAAATCAGCCACAGGTGGCAGAACTTGTAACTTCATTTTTTTTTTTACCCAATTTTTTTAGATTTCAAATTATATTTTCTTTGTCTCTTTAGGTTGTTTTGCTGGATGGGGATGAGATGGGGGCTTTATCACTTATATAAAGTATACTTAATATATCCCCTAACCCTTTATCCTTATCCCTATAATTTTTTTGGGGGGGAGGGGGGGGTATTTTTTCTTGACTTTATTTCAACACATATTGACCTACAACTTTCACATATTCGAGTACAAATGCCAAGCAAAGTTCATTAAAACATACAAGGAAATCCATTAAATAGAACAATCACATATAATGCTGAAAACTTAAATTTAATTTTTTTCTATAACTAGATTTTCAGTTTAAACAGCTTTAAAAAATCCAGTTTCTGATCAATTGTAACCATTTTCACATATGTGCAAAGTTGTCTGTTCTACAATGACTATCTCTAGTTTTTCATAAATGCCAAACTTTTGGAGTTATAAACTTTTGTGTCTAAATTTAGAGCATATTTAAAATGTCACAGTGATTTTTTTTTTATAATAAACTATACTGCCAAACTAAATTTTAAAAGATAATTAATGAAGATTGTATGCTATTCTGGGACCATAACACTAAATGAACAATTGGTGATATTTTAAATTTTAAAAGCTCTTTTCATTTTATTTTTTTGGCGTTGTTTTTCTCGTTATGTGGGTGATCCATTAGAATAAATTGGCACATTTACCATGTAGATTGTGTAAAAAATAAAACTGAATGCATTTGAGGAAGTTTGAGAAACATAGTTCACAGCACTTGAATATAAATTTCTGAAGAAAATAATATAACTATAAAACACCAGAGAAAAAACTATTCAGAAACAGAAATAAATGTGTAAAAATGCATGCCTGACAGCTGACTCTGGATGACCATCCTGGCGCAATTGCTCGATGAGCGCACATGAATCTTTGTCATCGCAAGACTTTCAGGATTCACCACAGCCAAAGTAATTTGTTTCAAATCATACAATTTTGTTTATTATTTTCCCGTGATCAGAGAATGCATTTTAACAATATTAGGAAGAAAACATAATTTTTTATTTTTTTTTATTTTATGAGCATCTGAATACAAACAGTGGCACAGCCCATGGGGTTAAAGAGTTAATGATCATTGACAAATACAACACTAGGATAAATAGTTGGAGGAGTTTTGGAAAAGCCACTGAACCAATTTAAAACAAAACTGTGTGGTTTTTATTCATCTTGAGTGGCATTTCTTCAGAAATCCAGATTGATGCAAATCCTAACTGGATTTTGAATATTAGATCCAGATTTTCAAGGGAGCACTAAATATACATCATGTGATAGCATGCCAAACAATGTAAATAACTTACCAAACACTTCATCAAGAAGTGATTCAAAGGCTGGGTCTGCTGTAGTTTCAGAGATAATCCCAGTAACAAGGTGGTCCAGTTCTTTGAGGGCCCCACCTGCGCTCGCTGACAACCCATCTCCAGAGTATTTACTTCTACTACTGGCACCAGAAACTCCCTTGGCAATAATGCTGCTAGCCTCCTTGTTCTTACTGCAGCTACTACCATTAGCTTCAATGCCTGTGGTAGTACACGACTCGTCATCTTCACCTTCAGTACCTGAAGCTTTATTCTGACTGCTTAGACCACGGTTAATGTTTTCTGCAATCTTTTCATGAAGTGCTGTGTTCTCAAATAAATTTTTCAATATTTTCTGAAAAAAAGTCATACAAAATAAAGAATATAATGAATAAAAGTATTGTACCTCCATTTCTATAACTGTTTAAAACTGACTATAGAAGATCACTACTGTATTATAAAAAAACAGCATTGAATGTAATGAAACACCATTTTCTGGGTGAGTCCCGGAGGCTCCCCGGAGCTTACCAGGCTTATATGGATGTATTAAGAGACTATGGCATCAGTCAATTCGATTGGAGTTCTATGACAACCGGAGACCACGAGCCAGAACCTGGCCTCCTCAGAGAGAGGCATGAGGAGCAATGGCCTATAGAAACCCCTATGTGGTTGGAAGCATTCCATGTCTGCCATCGACCGGGTGCCTTACCCGGTCGAGATCTTGAGGTTATCTTGAGGTTATCTTGAGATGATTTCGGGGCTTTAGTGTCCCCGCGCACACTGTCTTCTCGTATCTTTTTGGGGAGTTCTATCCACTAGCTTGGTAATAGGTAGCAATTTTAACCAGAATAGGGGTTTGTTGTGGGATGCTTACCTTTCTGGGTGCCTGACCCGGTCAATGGCAGACATAGAATGCTTCCAACCACACAGGGGTTTCTATAGGCCAGTGCTCCTCATGCCTCTCTTGAGGGGGCCAGGTTCTGGCTCTGGTCCCCGGTAGGCCTAGAACTCCTTTGATTGACAGGGAACAGGGAGCCGAAGGGGCTCTCTACAGAAAAGGGGGATGTTGAGGTTATCTTGAGATGATTTCGGGGCTTAGCGTCCTTGCGGCCCAGTCCTCGACCAGGCCTCCTTTTTTGTTACACCCCCCCTCCCCGGAAAGCAACCCGTAGCAGCTGTCTAACTCTCAGGTACCTATTTACTACTAGGTGAACAGGAGCATCAGGGTGAAAGAAACTGCCCATTTGTTTCCGCCTCCACCGAGGATCAAACCCAAACCCAAACCCAAGAATACGAATCCTGCGCGCTGTCCACTCAGCTGTCAAGCCCTCAGGATGAACTGAAAACTGAACCCCTGTAACGTGTATAAACACAGTGGGGACTAGAGGAGGGCCACCAACAACCTTAGGTGGACCAATAACCAAACAAGCAAACAACCTGGCAAGGAAAACGAAAAAAAAAAAACCCGCAAAGGTGCAACGTTTCCAGAAGAAACAGGCACACAGCCGCCGTGTAGGTAGGCAAGCTGCGTAGCACCTTGTGCCCCAACCAACCTGATTTTTTTTTTATCTGTTTTATTAAACCTACCATTCTTTTGTTATACCTACCATTCTTATAAATGGTATGTTATACATACCATTTGTTATACCATACCAAACCATACCATACCATTAGAACCGGTCGGCCGAGCGGACAGCACACTGGACTTGTGATCCTGTGGTCCGGGTTCGATCCCGGGCACCGGCAAGAAACAATGGGCAGAGTTTCTTTCACCCTATGCCCCTGTTACATAGCAGTAAAATAGGTATCTGGGTGTTAGTCAGCTGTCACAGGTTGTTTCCTGGAAGTGGAGGCCTGGTCGAGGACCGGGCCGCGGGAACACTAAAGCCCCGAAATCATCTCGAGATAACTCAAGATAACCTCAAGATTCTGGGTGTTAACCCTGGTATACTTACTTTTTTGGGTGCTAACCCTGGTCGATGGCAGACATGGAATGCCCCCAAGTACAAGGGGGTTTCCATAGGCCATTGCTCCCTCTGCCTCTCTGAGGAGGCCAGGTTCTTGCTCGTTGTCCTTGGGAGGCTAAACTCCAATTGACTGATGCCCCAGACTAATATATCGCATACCAGTCTGATAGCTCTTGGGAGCCGGAGGGGCTCCCCACAGATAATAAAATATTTTCCCACAACATTCTCAAATGTCAAATTAATAGTAACGTATATAAAAAAATTAAAAATATATTTACCTCAAAGCTAGCTTCATTATCCAAAGACGGGCTAATTTTAGTTGTAAGGTCTGAGCCTTGGCTTCTTCTCTTTACTTGGCTACTGAAACAATAGTACTGTACTTATTTATTGCATACATAAAAATATACATTATATTACCCATTTACCACATTAGCATCAGCTTTGAGAAAACTGGAGATCAATGAAGTGAAAGAAGGTTATAGATAATATTATTATTACTCGTCTAATTATATTTTATCTTTCCCCCCTATACAACATCATTGATAAATCTAGCAACAGAATATTTCCACTACACTCAGAAATCACAATAGTGTGATACATCAAATGTCTTCCTTGTGTATTTGTTCATATTTTCAGTAATCATTCACAGCAGTGCCCTATTGCAAGAAATGGCCAGGTGTACAATATAAATCAAGAATTGTCACATATGTAGTGCAAGAGGGGCAGAAAAGCAGAGGTGCAATAGGTACTCTGAGAGAGAACTCTATCAACATCAGAGACCCGAGACTGTTCAACACACTTTCACTACACATAAGAGGCATAACTGGCCAACCGCTCAGTGTTCAATAGCGGACTTGATAAATGCCTCCAAAAGTTACCTGATCAACCAGGCTGTGACTCATACGTCAGGCTGCGAGCAGCTGCGTCCAACAGCCTGGTTGACCAGTCCAGCAACCAGGAGGCTTGGTCGACGACCAGACCATGGGGAACGCTAAGCCCCGAAAGCACCTCAAGGTAACCTCAAGGTACCTGGTCCTTACAAACAAATCAACTAAGCTTGGCCAACCAAACTGCCCCCCACACTTCAACTACAGCTGATCAGTAAACATAAAACAGAAAAGTCACAAAACACAATAAAAGAGTGTAACATAATAAAAAAAACAGCATTACCACTTTTATGTGCCGCATTTACTGTATTGTAATTACCTAAGTGTAATTACCTAAGTGTAGTTACAGGATGAGAGCTACGCTCGTGGTGTCCCGTTTTCCCAGTACTCTTTGTCATATAACGCTTTGAAACTACTGACGGTCTTGGCCTCCACTACCTTCTCACCTAACTTGTTCCACCCATCTACCACTCTGTTTGCGAAAGTGAATTTTCTTATATTTCTTCGGCATCTGTGTTTAGCTAGTTTAAATTTATGACCTCTTGTTCTTAAAGTTCCAGGTCTCAGGAAATCTTCCCTATCGATTTTATCAATTCCTGTTACTATTTTGTATGTGGTGATCATATCACCTCTTTTTCTTCTGTCTTCTAGTTTTGGCATATTTAATGCCTCTAACCTCTCCTCGTAGCTCTTGCCCTCCAGTTCTGGTAGCCACTTAGTAGCATGTCTTTGCACCTTTTCCAGTTTGTTGATGTGCTTCTTAAGAAGCACATCCTTTGCATTTCATCAACTGTGCCCACTCTCAAGCTAAACGAAATTTCTTTCATCCTAAACCTGCTTCCAACACTAGTAGCACTGTACTATGCCTTCCCTTCATATCTGAACTCAAAACTTTTACCAATACCTTCCGTCCTTTTGACATTAAACTCGCCTTTCGACAAACTAACACACTTCGTAGCAATCTAGTTCACACTGCTCCTCCTGCTTCTAATGCTGCTGGTGTCTACTCTATTTCCTGTTCATCTTGTCCTCTCCAATACTTTGGCGAAACTGGCCGTACACTGAATGACAGACTTAAAGAACACAAGAGAAGTGTTATGTCTGCAGACACTAACAATGCTCTCTTCTGCCATGTGAGGGATTCTAATCATCCCATTGATTGGTCTTCCTCCAAAATAATCTTTCCTGCCTCTACTCTACACAGACGCCGTCTTGTAGAATCGGCTCTTATTAACAATGTACCCAACATGAACTTGAGTCCTGGCTTTGTTGCTGTGGACTCTTCCCTTTCACAGTATATACTCAAATGCTCTAATCTTTCTAACAAACGTGACTTAACATAAGCTTTCCCCCTTCCATTTCTTTCTTTCTCTTTCCCTTTCTTTCTCTCTTCTCCCTTTTTCTGTTCATTGTCTTCTACGCTCCCTTGCTACCCTCTTATTATTCCTATTACTATCTCCTTCGGTGGTTATAATAGGAGCTGCCTCGTATGGGCCAATAGGCCTGCTGCAGTTCTCATTACTACTATCCCCTACACCTGACTTTCCTCCTCAGCTCTCTCTTGCCTATTTAATGCCTGTCCCTACCTGTCTTCATCACAATCGACTTGAGAATGGTCCAGGACGGACCGAAACATCGTCGTTCCTTCAATTTCTAGTGTGTGGTCTGGTCAACATGCTTCTTAAGATATGGGCACCACACAACGGCTGCATGTTCTAGCTTTGGCCTAACAAAAGTCGTTAACAATTTCTTTAGTATATTGCCATCCATGTATTTAAAAGCAATTCTGAAGTTAGAAAGCATGGCATAGGCTCCTCGCACAATATTCTTTATGTGGTCCTCAGGTGATAGTTTTCTATCTAGAACCACCCCTAGATCTCTTTCTTTATCAGAATTCTTTAAAGATTTCTCACATAATATATAGGTTGTGTGAGGTCTATGTTCTCCTATTCCACATTCCATAACATGGCATTTATTAACATTAAATTCCATTTGCCAAGTGGTGCTCCATATACTTATTTTGTCCAGCACATGAAGCTCCAAGCACCCTAGAAGCATGGTCAACACAATACAAATCGAGCAGAAAACATAATTGTGGAACCCAAACAAGGAACAATACCATGTAAAAAGACCACCCACCGGACGAAGTCTAAAGATGGCCGGCCCTTAGCTTAGAAGTAGTGGGACCCACATGGCTTACTGACGACCCGGAAGCCCTACAGTGGATCTCTATACATGTCCACATCAGCTTCAGAACTGATGTGGAAGGTTGGGGAGACTGGGAGCTTCAGCCTTTCCCTCACTCACCAACTGGCAGAAGGGTGGTGCTAATAAGCTTGAGAATACTTTCAAGATTTAATCATTTGTTTAAATTGGCTGGTGGAGTTTACAAGTTTTGAGGCTCTGGTCTCTTTGAACCCAACAGTGGTCTATATTGGTTTGCTGACTTTCTGTATGCTTTTATGGCTTTCAAACAAGAGATTCCACACCAATAATGATACCTTTTAAGACACCAGTGCTCTAGGGTGAAATATTGTTGCACTAACAGCCTCATTCAAAGCTGGAGAAATTGCTAACCTGGAGAGCATGTAAAGATCCTTTATTGCTAGAATTCACTCAATAAAGCATCTAAATAATTGGGACTGCCTGAAAATATTAAATCTGTATTCCCTAGAGTGCAGGGGAGGCCTGCACTCTAGGGAAGACTTCAACACTTCCTCCCCCCCAATCCCTACACATATGGGGCATAACTGGCTGACCTCTTGCACTGTTCAAAAGAGAACTTGACAAACACCTTCAAAGGATACCTTATCAACCATGATTCATGCATCAGGCTGCGAGCAGCTACACCAAACAGCCTGGTTAACCACACCACCAATCAGGAGGCCTGGTCAGAGAATAGACCATGGGGACACTGATCCTCCAAATCATCGACAGATGGGGTGGCAGTGTCATCTTGCTCTCTGTGCCTCTTTAAGGGGGCCAGGTTTTGGCTCTGATCCCAGGTAGGTCAAACAGAACTCCACAGATGATGTCACCTAGTAGTTCGGAGCAATTTCAGTGAAATAACTTCAGGGAGCCAGAAAGAGCTATATGAGGCTAGCCTACCTCATTTTCATACCGTCTACAAATTGACAAATATTGCTGCTCAGTCCTGAATCTAAATAAATTTGTCAATTTATTTTGACAAATAAAATCTCACTTGAAACAAAGCCTACCCCATGCCTGTGGGGAATGCTGGCAATTTTTTTCAAGGTGGGAGACATTCATTGGAGGAAATTTGCTACCCATGTTACCACACACGAGTTTTGAATCTCATAATATATCAACAAATGCCATATGCTAGTCAGCACACCACCTATCATCAGACTTGTGGCAGTTTGCACAGTGCAGGTGTTAACACAATCAGTGGCCAGGGGGGCAACCCACCGCACACCTCAAGGTAGGCCGAGCATTGGGTGTAAGCTCACCACCATCTATAAATCACAGTCTCCGTGGTGTAGTGGTAAGACACTCGCCTGGCGTTCCGCGAGCGCTATGTCATGGGTTCGTATCCTGGCCGGGGAGGATTTACTGGGCTCAATTCCTTAACTGTAGCCTCTGTTTAACGCAACAGTAAAATGTGTACTTGGATGAAAAAACGATTCTTCGCGGCAGGAGATCGTATTTCAGGGACCTGCCCGAAACGCTACGCGTACTAGTGGCTGTACAAGAATGTTAACACTTTCGCCCGGGCATGACGCAGCATTGCGTCATCCGTTTACTGGCGGTAATACCGGGGATGACGCAGCATTGCGTCATCCACTTTAAATAATCGCCAAAAATCAGGTTTTTATCCGATTTTTTGGGGACTGGTTTTAAAATGTGCGCCGATGTCTTCCATTTTCTTTGTTGAGCCTCGTGGCCCTCAGGTGGCTTGGCACATGCCGTGGGCCCATTGTTTTCGCTCCACTGTTGTGACCAATGTCGCCTCCCCTCGCATCTCAAACGTGTGAACATTTCGGCTATTTTCCGTGGCTATATTTCTTACTGCGGCTTTAGAAACTATCTACCCTTACTCCACGATGGATAGTGATCATGAACAAGGCCCTTCCAGGAAGAAAATTGCGAAAGAAAGGCTTGAAAAGGGAGGGAATTGGGAGTGTAGCTGGAAGGCGTCTGAGCGCTCACTCGCGGCTAACGCGTGGCCCGTCTTCAACTCGTCGGCGGTTGGAGCGTGACCAGGTTTTATATTTTATATGCTAATGTTCCTCTAGAGAATTCTATTGCGAACCCATTGAGACCAAAATGAAAGACCTAGGACAAAAATTGAGGTGACCAGAGTGAAAATAGTGAAAACATTTTATCGCGTTTGCGCGCTCCTGGGTAACTCGTTCGCACTTTCTCTGTTTGCTGCGGGTAATTAGCCGGGCTTTTGGAGTTTATATGCATTTAGTGCTGTAGAGAATTCTATTGCGAACACAATGATACCAAATTTAATCTCGTAGGACGAGAATTAAGGTGACAAAGTTGAAGAGAGTATACACTTTTCAGAATTTACGCGCGCTCCCGTGACACCCTGGGTCCCATATCGCACTATTGAGGGGTGGCGTGCGGGGTGAGCGAAAGTGTTAAGCACAAGAACACAGCCTCCAGCATAGGTGGGCACCCACATGGTGGGGATGGGATCCCATGTGGGGTATACAGAGAATGGGAAGATGTTAGCATGGATTTTAAAACAAACCCCATCGTATGCAGACAATAAATGGAATTTTTACAAATTTGAAAATTATTGACACCGTTTACGTCATCCCGCACTTTGCTTATATTGATTTTGTGACGAAATATGCATGATCAGGTAACGAAAATGTTAATAAGGTATTAAATATATCAAAATAGAACACAAAACCATGGATATGAACTGGATAACTTTAGATTTGGGAAAGAGCTGGGTAAATGTTGGTTTGGAAACTGGATTTTTGATTTGTGGAACAGATTACAGGGTAACATAATAGACATGGTATCACTTGATCATTTCAAGTGTAGATGAATGAATGAGTCTGAGAAGATATGAAAAGGAGTTGCCTCGTTTGGGCCAATAAGCCTTCTGCAGTTTCCTTAGTTCTTGTTCTTATGTAGTGCAAGGAACTGAATACTTGACTTAATGTTATAAGCACAACAATATTAGCACTGAAAATCATAAAAGCTCAGGAAATGTAACAAGTATAAAAAATTAAAACATAAATAAGGATATAAACAACAGAAAATTGAGTCTAGCAAAACAACACTTACCTTTTTCTTTTCTGAGGTGTAAAGTCAAACTCTGGGCCAGTTAAAGGCATTGATGTGGAATCACCTCCAAGGGAGTCTCCTCTTGCATCTTCTGCATTTGTGTGAGTGACTGTTGGTGGGGTGGCAAGAGGGCTGCTGGTGGTGAAGTGAGAATGATTTTGTCTATTTTCATACTGAGGTGATCTAGTTGAATGAGCCCCTGTCATAATTTCCACACGAATTGGTTCACGACAGGACGACCCAGGAAGACTTTCAGAAGGTGTGGCGTTTATCTCCATCACTAAGGAATTAAGGACATGATCTTTATTTATTATGAAATCTACAAACTATTATTTTTATTTCAACAAACTTTATCTGTGACTCTGGAAGTTTTCAATTTAGTGTCGCATACACCAAACATGAATAGAGCTCAGATGTCTAGAATATAAAATGCCAAAGTATCGCTGTACCCATCTATGAAACAAATGATGAATCTTTATCCATCCTAACACTGTCTGTATGCATCACTTTTTAAATTACATATTTAACTACTAGTATCAAATATACCTGGATCATACGTGGAGGGGGTTCTGGATCCAATATACCTGGATCATACGTGGAGGGGGTTCTGGATTTCTTCTATTCTGTAACCCCGGCCTGGAGCCAGGCTTGACTTGTGATAACTTGATCCAACAAGCTGTTGCATGGAGTGGCCCACAGGCCCATATAATCACTACAGCCCACTTTTTCCACCATTTTTCCACCATGCTCTTCCAGGAGCATATCTAATTTTTTCTTGAAGTCCACTTTTGATTGGGCAACATTTTTTATGCGTGCTTGGAGGGTACCGAATAACAGTGGACCTCTGATGTTCATACAGTGTTCTCTGATTGTGACTATAGCACCTCCAGTCTTCACTGGTTCTATTCTGCAAATCCTGCAATATCATTCACTCCAGTATGTTGCTGTTTTACTGTGTAAATTCAGGACCTAGCCTTCTAATAACTTACATGTACAGTACTATGTATTATTTGATACCTCTCTTGTATTCTTTCAAGGGGGTACAGTTTTAGAACTCTGATATGGTCCCAGTAATTTTGGTGCTTTATCACGTCTATGCACATCATACACATTCTCAGTATTCCCTCTATTTCATCAATCTCTCCTGCTCTGAAAAGGGAAGTGAGTACCGAGCAGTACTCAATGTGGTACAGTACAAGTGATTTTAATTGTATGAGCATAGTGGTGTGATCCCCGGATTTGAAGGTTCTCATAATCCATACTATCTTTTCCAGGCTTGATTGTTGCCGCTGGAGGCAGCTAGTTTATTGTGCACCCCATACTCATCCTGTGAGCGGTAGTGCAAAAAGAATTAGAGAGCACAAAGGTCTTTATCAGACCTCAACGGAGATTATTACAATAACAATTTCATCTATCCTTTATAGCTTATAATTACAATGTCAGCTAGTTACAGAGAATGATCTATTTCAAGAGCTATATATTTACAGTAAGTCATTATACATTAATGTGGGTCTTATCACTAATACATAATTGTTTGAGCAATGGAGATATTACAGTCATAGGGGAGCTGTTTGTTAATATTAGTCTTCACGATACACTACAGTACTTGTTTCTTAATCTCATATGTTGTTGATGCTACATTTCCTTGGTTATGCTCACAAAATGTTAGCTCATCAGAGATCACTATTCTCAGATAATTGACAAGTTGTTTTCCTTGTATGAGTAGATCTGTCTTGTACCCTGAATTTTCTATTTTTCATACAGATTTTTGTATTGTCTGCAAAGAATAACAGGAGGCTGTGACTTGTATTTGTCTATATCTGATATAAGAATAAGAAAAAGAAGTCATGTAATGATTGAGACCTGGGGTACAAAGCTTTTCACTGTGCTTCAACATGATTTTATTTTACTGACTTACTCTTTGCAATTTATTTGACAGGAAATTGAATATCCATTGCCCTACTTTACCTATTATTCCTATTGATCTCATTTAATGGGCTATCACTCCATACCTGTTGACAATTACAAGGATCACTGTCCCCATGGCCTGGTTGGTGGTCTGATCAAGCAGGCTTACCTGCTTGATAAGACTGTTTGATATGGCTGCTTGCAGCCTGACATACAAGTCACAGCCTGGTTGATCAGGTATCCTTTGAAGGCGTTTGCCAAGTTTTCCTTTGAACACTGTGAGAGGTCAGCTAGTTATACCCCATGTGTATGGAAAGTATTTTGTTGATGTTGTTCGAGTTCTCTCTGCACGTGCCGATTGCACGTGTGCTTTTCAATGGGGTTATTTTGCACATCCTGCCATTTCTTCTGGTCTCATGTGGTGTTTTGGCTATGTAAAGATTTGGGCAAAGTCCTTCTAGTATTTTCCAAGTGTAAACTATTATGTATCTCTCTCACCTGCACTCTACTGAGTACAGATATAAAAATTGTAGGGGGGGGTCCCAATAATCTGAATGCTTTATTGAGAGAATTCTAGCAGTAAACGATCTTTGCAAGCTCTCAGGTCAGCAGTTTCTCCAGCTTTGAATGAGGCTGTTAGTGTGCAACAATATTCCACCCCTAGAGAGCACTAGTGTTTTAAAAAGAATTAGTGGTATGGCATCCCTTGCTTGGAAGATTCTTGTTGTCCAACCTGTCATTTTTCTTGCAGTTGTGACAGCTACTTTGTTGTGTTCTTTAAAAGACACTCGTACAGCTTACACTACCCATTAAAATGACATTGACTGTGCAATGTGCACCACCGATGACAACCATAGTTGCAGAGTGCCTTTCAAGGGTTAAAGAATTTTTTTTTAACTTTTCCACATAACTCGACCAGTGCAGTCCAAGGTATAATTCTGCTGACTGTATTTTTAATGACATTGCTGATTGTAAAATATTAAATAACAGTGACAATCCAATAGCTTACCAATAGGTCGAGACGGTGTGCTGGAGGAAGACGATGGATTGAGAAGTTCTTTTTGCAACTGAACTGTGCGAGAGATCTGCTTTGTTTTACCAATTACACCTAAAGACGTGCCCTGTACAGAAATATATTATTATATATTTGGCAATGCACAACACATGAAAAAACCAGCGTTGGATATAATGAAACACCATTTTCTGGATGAGCCCCAGAGGCTCCCTGGAGCTAACGGACTGATATACTGTATGTTATATTAGCCTGGGACTTCATTCAATGAAGTTCTGCCTACTGGGGACCATGAGCCAGAATCTGGGTCCCTCAGAGAGGTTGCAGGGAGCAATGACCTAAGGAATTCCCCTTGGATTGGACGTTATTACATGCCTGCCCTCGACTGGGGTTAGGCACCCAGAAAGGTAGGCATCTCAAAACAAACCCTACTTGGTAGGAAATTGCAAAAAACCCACGTTGAATGTAACGCCTTTTTCTGGGCGAGTCCCATCTGTTCCCTGGAGCTAACCAGGCTGATATGTATTTATTAGCTTTCTGGCATCAATGTGCATAGAGTTCTTGTCTACTGGGGACCATGAAGACCCTTGGGTTTGGACACCGAGCAAGCAGCGCCTGAAACCAAGGCTGGGCTAGCCACCAAGGATCCAGAAGGACGACACTTCCCAGGTAAGTCTCCAAGCGAGCCAGGACCCAGAGTAACAGCTGAACCGGGGAAAAGAGGTACAGGTAACCCCCACCTCACCAAGTTCTGCCGAAAAGCGTAGACGCTTATGGCTTCGGAGTCAGGGAAGGGTGTCACATATACCGGGAGATGCCTCGACCACGCAGACGCGAAGAGATCCACTTCTGGGGGCCCGGAAGTCTGGCAGAGTCAACTGAACGAGTTGGCGTCGACCGTCCATTGCGTGGACAGGGGAATGAACCAATACAGCCCGTCCCCCAAGACATTAGACACTCCCCCGAATGTGAACTGCCAGGAGAGCTAAACCCCGAGAACTCTGTACACAAGTCACTTAACTTGTCTAGAGCCCCAAAGAGCCAAGGACCACTGGGAACCCCCCCCCACCCTCGGTTCAGGCAAGGACCCAGCGGGGAACAGTCTGAATGAAACCTGATAGTCGATCCGGGAGCGACCCAAACCCTTCGGAGCGACAATCACACCACCGCAAATTCACACACCGTGCTGTGAGCCAACGGAAGGACGGATTCCACTGACTCTGGCCGGCTTGGTCAACACTGGTCACAAAGCCCCAGCCGAGAGATAACACATCCATGAACACATCAAGCGAGGATTCAGGTAGGCGCCAAGGCACTGAACCCCAAAAAAACAGACGAAGAAGCTGGCAATGCAGCAACCGGTGCAAAGTCCCCGGAGGCCGAATCCGGTGGTCGTGAGAGAGGCAAAAGAGACGTCCTTGAAGGAACCAGAATAGCTGACGAAGCCACACCCAACCCACCAGGAAGACCACTATGACAAAGTTCAGGCTCCCGCACAAACCCTCAAGCAACCATCACGTGACCCAGGAGGCCCTCAGGAACAGACGAAGGCAGGAAAGCAGGTGAAGCAGAGCCACTGGAGGCAGGGACAAGGAGCGGTCTGAGCGTCCCAAACAAGACCCAGCCTAGACAGAACCTGAGAGGAAACCAGATGGAACTTCTGCCAGTTCACCAAGAACCCGAACCCGACGAGCTGGGAAAGAACCAAATCCCTGGCGAGCAGACACGCGGACCGGCTGGGAGCCCAAACCAGCCAATTGTCGAGGTAGGCCAGAACCCGAACACCCAACAGACGCAAGTGGGTCACCCCAACCCAAGTAAAGCGTGTGAAAACGTGAGGTACCAGACTCAAGCTGAATGGAAGGCAATGAAAGCAGTAACCTTGACGCCCCACAACAAAACCAAGCTAATCCCTGAACCCCAGATGAACCGGGATGTGCCAATACATGTCCTTGAGGTCCAGGGACACCATCCAAGCGCCCGGCTCCAACAGAAGACGGGCCTGGGACAGGGTAGTCATCTGAAAGGACGGGCAATAAATCCACGGGTTCAGATGGGACATGTCTAGAATGAACCGGAGGTCCAAGCAGTCTCGTTTCGGGACCAGAAACAGGCAGGAAACCCACCTGAGGGACGAGGTCGTTTCGACCACGCCCAAGCGAACCCACTCCGAGACAACTCAACAGAGCGCAGGAGAAGAGGCCTGCACCACCAGCCCAAACCCTCCAAAGAAGGGGGAGTCACCCAACACCACCACAGACTGCACGAAACAACCCAAAAAACCCACAAATCGTAGGACCAGGAGCGACGGAACATCTTGAGATCTTGAGGTTATCTTGAGATGATTTCGGGGCTTTTAGTGTCCCCGCGGCCCGGTCCTCGACCAGGCATCCACCCCCCAGGAAGCAATCCGTGACAGCTGACTAACACCCAGGTACCTATTTTACTGCTAGGTAACAGGGGCATAGGGTGAAAGAAACTCTGTCCATTGTTTCTCGCCAGCGCCCGGGGTCGAACCCGGGACCACAGGATCACAAGTCCAACGTGCTGTCCACTCGGCCGACTGACTCCCTTGAACAGAGCGAGCTTCCCCCCCCCCCCCCATTGCCCCATCAATGGGACGAACCGCGAAAGGGACGACGCGCCTTACGAGAACCTAAGCAGCACACACAGGGCGATACCTGCGCCGAACAGAAAAAGACTGAACCCGAGGGTGCGCCTGCTCCGAATCTGGCACCACTGGCCTATCATGACAGGAACAACCCTTAGCCCTGGCACAGCCCTTCTGGAAAGGCCCCCCCCCCCCCACAAGCCCCTCTGGAGAACCAACAAGTCGGACATAGGACGGCAACTAGCCGAAGCAGCCTGTAGATACTGCACCACAGCAGAGGACAAAAAGATGAAGACAACCGAAGAGCCAGGGCGCAAGCGGATTCTAAAGAAGCACGCACTACCTGCCGACACGCGAGTCGAAAAGCAAATAACTGCAAAACCGCATCCCGCAGGAGTGGCGCTAACAACCTCAACAAAGCAGACGATACATGCACCGCAGAAGGCAGTTCACCAGACCCAGAGGCAGCCCCAAGCGCCTCCACATCCAACTCAAGCCAATCCGAGGACAGCTCGAGGAGAGAGAAGAACCGCAGGGCCAAAGCCAGCAGGTCACGTGTACGCAATTCCACTCCGACCAAGGCAGCCGAAAGGGAAGGAACCTGCACATGAAGCTGCATTACACCAACATCCCACGGAAGGGCAGGGGCAAACAAACAAGAATTGAGATTTTCTATGTCGCCCCACAGGAAAACCTGCAACGCCATCTGAGCCTCCCTCCACTCAAGCGCACGGGACCGACAGAACATATGCCAAGCCTCCAAAGAGAAGAGCAAGCAGTCTACCAACCAGGACGACTCCGGAGCTTCACAACGAACCCAGTATAGAAACGAAGATCCATACACGAAGGAATGCGGATCCATCATGAAAGCATAATCCAGGTGGTGCAGGAGGTAAGCCGAGAGAGCTTCCCGCACCACTTGTGATGGTACGTGGGATGCTGAAAACCTCCGGACTAGAGCTAGGAAGGACTAGGAGGGGCGAATGGAACCAGAGCCAAAGCAACTCCCACCCCCAAATCCGGGTCCCAATAACCAAAACTGGATAGTCTCAGGGCATCCGGAGCCACAGCCAACCGAATGCGTTGCAGCAACCTTAACCTAGCATTAAACGCAGCAGCTGCCTGCACCCCTCATATCATGATCAGTAACTCGGGGGAAATGGAGCACGTATAGACAACAAACATCGCACGACTCCGGGTCAAAAGAATCACCGACCCAAAAGGCAGCATGGTGGAGGAACAACTGGTGAGTGTCACCCTGAGACAAGGGAACAGAGCAACCTTCAAACTCACACGAAGCGAGAGGGAACTCAAAGGTCACATAGAGCCCCCGCGGGGTTTCCCAGGGGCCCTTAGCCTTCTCGACACGTTAAGGGAAGCCCAGGCAGGGTACTGCAAACCAGCTCCCAAGTCTACCAAACAAACTTCTAAAAGCTAAACCCCTGGGATGTGTCTACTCACAGAGGGCCAAGCAGGGATACCATCAATACAACACACAGAAAAAATATTTTAACCCTAACAACAGAGAGCGGAAGGACAAGGCAGCAATCCCCCCCCCCCAGGCAGGAACAACAAAAACAAAAGAAAAACCTGCAAGAGGACAACATACCCAGGCGGAACATAGCCGGCCGCTATAATAGGTGACAAATAGTTGTGCAGTACCCCATGCCCTTACCAGTGATAAAAACTACCTCCTACCCAGAGACCAACAAGGGTAACAAAACCACAGCTGACCCCAAGGGTGGCCAAGTACCGTGCAATAAAAGACACAGCGGAGGTAGATCCAAAGGTGACTTGTGGAAGGAGGCCCCAAAGGCAGTACTTACGGGGAACCTAGGGAAGGGAACCCTAGGGGCATGCAGCCGGAGTATCATGGAATATTACTCCTGGCTCACACACCACCTGTAAAGACAGCCCACGCCACAAGGCACAGAATCAAGACAAAAAACAGGAGCCAGAGGCACACGACGTCTCCAGAATCGCATCAGCCAAGAACTGGTATAGGGTAGTTGGATCACCGGCACGAGAATCTGGGGCTTCCCCTTCCCCCCCCCCCGGGAAGGGGAGGGGGGTTTGTGCAGACAGTGGCACGGCAACGTGAAGACCTGCTAGTTTGCTAATTTTTGTTTGGGGAGTTCTGTTCACTTGTTTGCCTTTCGGTAGCAATAGTTTCACCAGAATAGGGGTTTGTTTTGGGATGCCTACCTTTCTGGGTGTCAGACCTGGTCAATGGCAGACATAGAATGCTCCCAACCACATGGGGGTTTCTATAGGCCATTGCTCCTCGTGCCTCTCTAAGTGGGGCCAGGTTCTGGCTCATGGTCCCCGGTAGGCAAGAACTCCTAGCACTTTGACTGATACCAGAAAGTTATACATATCCATTCAGCTCCGGGGAGCAGACAGGGCTCCCCCCCCCAAAAAAAAAAAGAGTGGTTTGTTGATAAGGAGAACAGCTATTAACTGGAACTGATGGATAATGCAATTATAAAGAGATGTAAATATATAATGCAATAATAGAGAGATGCAAGCACCTGTCCGATGCACAAAAGAAGAAGAATAGTAGTAAGAAGTGTCCACAAAGTGGATATACAGCTGGTGCCTTTATAGCATTAATAATAACACAAATAATGATGAGTAAGAATATTATTATGCTCTATTTTGTTATATATCATATAAATACATTGCCCAATGTTATTATCAGTTATTTTCAACAATGTACCAAAAATATTTTTTTTAGGGGAATTATTTTTTTTTAGGTTTTTAGTTTTTTCCCCTCCTTTGTTTATTATTTGAATTTGTTTCAACCTTTACATCCTGGAGAATGCATACCCGTCCCTAGCTATGTGAAGACAGAATTAAATTGGTCAACAAATAAATCAGTCACAACTCTCAGAACTTGGAACTTTGAATTTTTTTGGGCTGATTTTTTCACAGATTTCAAACTATATTTTCCTTGTTTCTTTAGGTTGCTTTGATGATTAGGGACCAGATTAGGGCATTTTTACTTATATAAAGTATACCCTAAATATATCCCCTAAATCATTATAATTATTATAATTATCCCTATATTTTCTTTTTTTGGGGGGTTATTTTTTCTTGACTTCATTTCAACACATATTGACCTACAACTTTCACATATTTAAGTAAGAATGCCAAACTTAATGAAGATAAGTTCCAGCTCTTATTCTATGGAAAAAATGAAAATATAAAAGCAGAAACCACGTACAAACCGCAGTCAAATCATAACATAGAAAGAAAAAGCAGTGTAAAAGGATTTGGGTGTACAGTACTCATGTTGGAAGACATTTAAAGAACACAATAAAGTAGCCGTCACAACTGCAAGAAAAATGACAGGTTGGATAACAAGAACTTTTCAAACAAGAGATGCTATACCAATGATGATACTCTTAAAGACACTAGTGCTCTCTAAGTGGAATACTGCTGCACAATGACAGCCCCTTTCCAAGCTGGAGAAATTGCTGACCTGGAGAGTGTGCAGAAATCCTTTACTGCTAGAAGCCTCTCAAATAAAACATCTAAATTATTGGGACTGACTGAAAGGCCTAAATCTGTGTTCTCTAGAGTGCAGGCGAGAGAGATACATAATAATTTACACGTGGAAAAATAGTAGAGGGGTTTGTCCCAAACCTGCACACAGAAATAACACCACATGAGACAAGGAGAAGTAGGCATGGAAGGATGTGCAGAATACCCCCATTGTAAAGCAGAGGTGCAACAGGTACTCTGAGAGAGAACTCTATCAACATCAGAGGCCCGAGACTGTTCCACACGCTTCCACTAAACATAAGGGACATAACTGGCCTGACCCATCACATTGTTTAAGAGAACTAGACAAGCACCTCCAAAGGATACCTGATCAACCAGGCTGTGACTCATACGTCAGGCAGTGAGCAGCCACATTCAAAAGCCTGGTCGATCAGTCCAGCAACCAGGAGGCCTGGTCGATGACCGGGCTGCAAAGACACTAAGCCCTTAAAACACCTCAGGGTAACCTCAAGGTAAGGAGGTGATCATTATACCAATGTTAAAGTTAGATTGCGTCACATCACCTGAATATTGTCAGCAAGAGACGTGCGTGGATTTGCCCATGAAACATCATAAAGTAGACAATTATCCCATTTCCATGTGTAAATATATATTTGTTTTATGTTTAATAAATAGATGTTAAGCACATGGTGTTTCAGGAAAATCTTTCTTTCTCATTAAACAAACTATTGTTGCAGACTTGGTCCAATAAAGATCACCTCCTATTAACTAGCACTGATCTTACAAATTCGATGAAGTGACATCTGTTTCCCTACCTCTCCAGGTGGGAATCAGATACGACCTATATCTGGCAAGATCTCCTCAGAATCTTGTGCCGTTGCTCTAGGCATTTTGCATAGTTGATAACTACTATGAGTGGTTGCACCACCATCGCAGTAGTGGTCCAACCTCAAAGTAAACTAGGACACTATGATAAGATTCTAGTCAGAGGTAGGTACATTCTAGCCTTAGGAAACAAACAAATATACTACTCAAAATAATAACGCATAGGAAAATATGAACTTTTAAAAGTTAAGAGATGAATAAAATGTTCAATATGTGCTATGATAGAGAAATGGCTATAGATTTGGAAATAAGTTACATTATGAAAAAAAGAACACTCTTGCAGCTCACCTGTTTATTAAGAAGATGTTTATTCTCTATAATAATAGACGTAATTTTGTTAACTTGCTGGCATAAACTCTCAGCACTCGATATTTTGTGAAAAGATGCTGGGTAATTATTCGTGCAATCTAATACTGAAAAAAGTATGGATAAAAATTTGATTTATACACTATTGGGAATAAATGTTAACTAATTTATCTACTGATATACAGAATAATAGTCATATATATCCCAATCAACACAATGAAAAATATAGGATAATAATAATAGTAGTAGTAGTAGTAGTAGTAGTAATAGTAGTAGTAGTAATAGTAGTAGTAGTAATAGAAATAGTAGTAATAGAAATAAGTTACAGTAATAATAAATAATAATAATAGAAATAGTGATAATGGAAATAGTAATAATAGTACTACTGTACTAATAATAATAGTAATAAAAGTAATAATAGCAACAACAGTAATAATAGTAAAATAATAGTAATAGTAATAATAGTACAGTAATAATAGTAATACTAATACAGCAATAGTACAGTAATAATAGTAATACGTACAATTATAGTACTGTAATAATATTAGTAATAATAATAATAATAATAATAATAATGAGACAGACAGAGAGAGAGAGACAGACACAGAGACAGACAGACAGACAGACAGACACACAGACAGACAGACACAGACAGACAGACAGAGACAGACAGACAGACACAGAGACAGACAGACAGAGACAGAAAGAGACAGAGAGAGACAGTGTGTGTTTTTGCCAATGGCTGACATACAAATATTTACTACTACTGAAGATCTTACCATGGTCTTTGGTATCAGTGTAATCATTTAACATGTCTTCCAGTGATTTGCTTCCAATGAGTGTGCTGACTTTTCTTCCTCTTCTTCGCAGTTGAGCACATTCTGCCAACTCTGGTAATTCTTTTAGCAGGCATTCTGCTGCTTTTTTACATCGTTTTTCCTCTAAAAACCCTGTAAATAAAAACAACAAACATATAATGCCATTTGAGGGAATTATATCAGTAGTGGAACCTCAGTTGAGGAATGCCCCTCTTTACAAAGTTTTCGGTTTACGAGCTCAATTTCTTCATATTTTACTCGGTATGCGAGCTTTGCCTCACTTGGCGAGTTTGTTGATACACATATGGGTCAACTGAGCACGTGGTTCCTGGTGGCACAGGCAAGGCGCGCTTCAGTTTACCAGTGTCTCCCGCCTAGTAATGATTGCACTTGAATACAGTATTTGAGAAGACAACAGCAAGGAGGGAGAGGGGATTGGATGGATGGGTGGTGAGGGGACTGGACTGGATGGATGTACAGTGGTACCTCGAATAACGAATTTAATCCGTTCCGGAGCCGTCGTCGTCATGTGAAACCTACATCATTCAAAACAAATTTCTCCATTGAAAATAATGTAAATACAAATAATCCGTTCTACCACCAAAAAACATCAATATGATATTCGATGTTTTAAATAATAGAGTAGCCTACCTTATATACACTGAACAAATCTTTATGACATTTTTCTTTCCTCAAATTTGTTCAATTTTTTTTCATTTTTTGTATAGCAAAAGGTTCACTCGGTGTTTGTCAGGTAGGTTGCTCCATGTTTCTTATAAAAAAAAAATTAAGAATTTTGAAAAACAGAACAAATGTCAAAATGGTTCATTCAGTGTTCGACAGGTAGGCTGCTGTAATCCGTCTCTGGGAACAAATTACCATCGTAAGTCGAGGCCCCACTATATTTCTTATGAGAAAACTTGCTTCGGTTTACGAATTTTCGGATTACAAACCATCTCCAGGAACGGATTAAATTCGTAAACCGAGGTATCCCTGTACTGTATACCAATGGATTTAAAAACTTTTTTGGCCATGTGCTGCATTTGAGTACTTAAGTCCAATGCCTATGATGTATAAGGCAAAGAGGTTTACCCCTCATGATTACTATCCATGTGTAAAAGTAAAGCTTCAATGAGGATACAAGTATCCACCAAGTCAGGATGGAAGAGGTATGTGAATAAAGGAGAGGCAGAGTATGCAGACAAATACATCACCAAGTGAAATACATCCACCAAACATATCATGAATCCCATATTTTTAAATAGGAAAAACATAATCTGTCAAACATAAGTTAAAGTTAAAGAGTTAAAGACAGACTATTTAAATCGAGGGGAACACACACTAGGGGACACAGGTGAAAATTGAGTGCCCAAATGAGCCATAGACACATTAGAACAAACTTTTTTAGTGTCAGAGTAGTTGAGAAATAGAATGCATTAGGAAATGATGTAGTAGAGACAGACTCCATACACAGTTTCAAGTGTAGATATGATAAGAGCCCAATAGGCTCAGTAACCTGTACATCAGTTGATTGACAGTTGAGAGGCAGGACTAAAGAGCCAGAGCTCAACCTCCACAAGCAAAACAAGGCGAGTACAAATGCTGACCTAAAATATTTACCTCACTAAGCACGAGGAAGATATTGCAAGATATGGTCAGTAAATGTTCGTATCCTTGATTAATGAGCTGTTAACTACAGTTCCAGTGCCCTAGTTGCATCTTCAACTGGATATGCATCTGTCAACTGCAACTGCATCTGTCTTCAGACAACACAGACCCTCTCTTTAAATCCCTAAACATGTTAAACATACACACATTCTCTTGTGCTATTTATATGTACAAAACCTTGTTCTTTAATGATAACTCTGACCCGAAACTCTTTCGTGACATATGTAACAGAACCCATGATCACCACACCAGAAATAAATATCTCTCTGATATTCCCAGAGTCAAAATAAATCTGTACAAACATTCCAAGCAAATAAAAGGACCCACTATGTAACTCACTGCTTAATTAATTAATAAATTCTCCGACCTATGCCTTATTCAAGAGTAAAACCAAAAAGTATATAATTTCATCTTCACAACAAAATTATTAATGATGGTAACAGAGTCCATTTCATGTGGACTCCACATCATGTTGGCCTCTGAATGCATGATAGAGCTGATGAGTTAGCCAAAGAATCTGCCTTTAAAGGAGAAATTGAGTATAATCGTGGATTGTCAATAAGCAGTCTGAGGGCAATAGTGCATCAAGAACTTCAACAAAATCTTGTAGATATGAGGCAAAATGAAATCGACACCAGTAATTCCATCTATCATCATACTATCATGCAAGAGCAGCTACACATCTATGGTTCATCCAATAAAATCAGCAGACTTCTAGATGTTACTACTGCTTGGTTTAGACTCGGTTACAAGTATCTCTGGGAATTCTCATTATCTACTGATGTAGACCTGACCAAATGTAAACTGTCAACAAAATTATTTGCACACCCTCCGTCACTATGTGATGGAGTGCAAAAAGATACGTGAATTCAGAGACAATTCTATATCAAATATTCTAGAGATGTGTAAATATTTCATTCAAAATTATTTGCTACCAGAAATTTTAGCCAAATATCCCCAGTTTGATAACTGTACGTAGTAACTAAGTGATTGTAACCTTCCACCACTGCCCACTGGATGGGGGGGTGGTGTGCAGGACAAACATGTCAATTGTGACACTAGCTCTCCACATATGTCAGTTGCTTAACACCTGTATTGATGTCCATGCCAGTATGGTGGTATGTTCACTCACAGGGCACGTCACACTCAGCAATAACCTCGCCCCTTGGGAGGTAAAATAACAACAAATACAGTATATATAACTAGTGGAGAAGTGAACTTCCCTGCACACCAACGAACTTAACAATCTCTTCAAAATATAAACTATTCAGAGTTGCTCACCTAATACAAGGCGCGCTAGTTCTGATGGTAAGAGAGATGTCATGTTTACCCTTGAAGCCTCTAAACACTATAAATAATTATTAACATATACGAGGATGAGAGCAGTTTTGTTTACAACAGCATCGTCCCGCGAACTTCGTCACTCTGAAGGTAAATACGGAAAGTCTTCGAAAGGTTAAAAAAAAAGGGAAAAATAAGATTTTAGCAAATCCTGATATAATAAATGCATTATATATTATGAATTTTACAAATTAAAAAATTAAATAAAATATACGATTGTATCTATGCAAATTCTAACCAAAATCATGCCAAATATCTCCTTTTTGAAATACATCTAATGCCAAAGTTAAATATTATTGGAACTCCCGCGCATTTTGTTAGACAAATCTATTATATTATTTTGTAAACAGATTCAATACCTTGGCCTTGATGTGCCACTGTATGATCCAGTTCTATTCAGACTCTGTCATCAGTATAAAGAGAGACTCAGGGCTCTCAAGGCTGTTGCAGGTTATCACTCATGCTATGGTGCCAATGACAGAGCTCCGGGAAAAGATGGAGTAACGTATGACATACTTAATTATTTAGCCGGTATGAAACCTAATCCCTTACTTGATTTGTTTAATATGAGTTATAGAGAGGGAAAGTTACCAAGAAAATGGAAAGAGGCTGTCATCATTCCTATCCCTAAGTCAAACGGAGGCTACAGACCTGTCTCCTTAATATCCTGCTTTTGTAAAATGATGGAAAGGATTTTGTTAAATAGGCTACTCTACCTTGTAGGTGATAACATGTCCAATAATCTCTTTGGTTTTATCAAAGGCAAAAGTACTGCGGATTGTCTCTTAAAGTGTTTGTCTAATGTGGATGACAATTGTAGAGTTTTTGTTGATCTACAAGGAGCGTTTGATAAAGCCAATGGGGAAGTAATCTTATACGAATTAGCCAATCTGGGAATAACAGGGAGATTGCTACACTGGATAAGGGATTACCTGCAAGGCAGAAAAGGTCAGGTGTATTACCAGGGATACATGTCTGAGGAACGGAGGTTTCAGTTAGGTACCCCACAAGGGGGAGTATTAAGTCCCACCTTATTCAATGTATTAATGAACAGATTAGCATCAGAGATGTATCCTCCAGGGGTCACGACGATCATATATGCTGATGACATTCTTATACAAGGCACTTCTGGGAACAAAATTCAAGATGCTCTTAACATACTTGGTACAACCTGTCACAAGTTAGGCTTAGTTATAAATGCAGATAAAACCAAATACGAGTATAGGAAACGAAGAAATATAACACTTACTCTAAATGGTGTGGAACTGAGCCGTGTACAGAAGTACAAGTATCTGGGCATGTATGTTGGATACACATGTGAGAGTAAAAATGCTGAAATAAATCATATCAGCACCTTATGTAAAGCCCGTCTGCATCCTCTAAAAGCACTGGCTTTTTCTGGTAAAGGTGTTGGGGTACCTATCTTGCGGATGTTATACATAAGCACTGTTCGCTCCCTGATAGACTACGCAGCACCCGTATTGTCTTACACAGGCCAAGGCAGAATTCAAAAAATAGAGCTGATACAGAACGAGGCTATGAGGATTATTCTTGGATGTCAAAGAAATGCAATGATTGAAATAATGAGAATGGATTTTTAGCCAAATATCCCCAGTTTGATAACTGTACGTAGTAACTAAGTGATTGTAACCTTCCACCACTGCCCACTGGATGGGGGGGTGGTGTGCAGGACAAACATGTCAATTGTGACACTAGCTCTCCACATATGTCAGTTGCTTAACACTTTCGCGCTTTAGATTAGAGATAACTCGTCGCTGTTTTTTCTTACGATTCCGCATAACTGCCTACTTTTCTCGTCCATCGAAAAAATATTTCTATAAATTCCATTTTTTAACCGAAATGGATGGGGATACTTTTGTTTTGTAGAGAATTTATTTGCGAATTTTCTGGTACAAGAATGAATATTATATCACATAAACTTCTATGAGTAAAAAAAAAAATACACAAAGTATGTTTGGGGGTGTGGCGAGCGAGTGGCAGTGGGTTATCTTATCTTGAGGTTATCTTGAGATGATTTCGGGGCTTTTAGTGTCCTGACCAGGCTTTTAGCGGCCCGGTCCTCGACCAGGCCTCCACCCCCAGGAAGCAGCCCGTGACAGCTGACTAACTCCCAGGTACCTATTTACTGCTAGGTAACAGGGGCATTCAGGGTGAAAGAAACTTTGCCCATTTGTTTCTGCCTCGTGCGGGAATCGAACCCGCGCCACAGAATTACGAGTCCTGCGCGCTATCCACCAGGCTACGAGGCCCCTAATTCCCTTTAAAGGGTTCCCTTTAGCCGTTGATATATCCAACACGTGGGAAATATTTGTATGTGTTATGTATATGTCTGTGTAGGGAATTTTACTGCGATCACTGTCATACAAATTATAAAATGTTTCAACAAGTATAAACATGACAAACATCAAACGAACGAAAACAATGCGCTCGTTTCTGCCGCGAACGCATACTGAGCAACGTGGTTCTATATTTGGCGCTTCTCTTACACATGCTTTGTACAAATGTTATACAGTTCATCTTGTAGAAAATTTTATTGCAAACACATTGGTATAAAAAAGAAATACGTACATAGAAAAGTAGGGTCAGGAAACGGATAAACTTTCCAAGCATGATTTCCCCCCTGTGTTTTCGCCAGTGCGCTCGCGGCTAACTACTCTCCACTTCACACACTCTTGCGGGTGGGCAATTACCTATATTAAACATTCAAATGCATATGTCCGTGTAGAGAATTTTATTGCGATTCCAATGATACCAAAATTAGCGATGAAGGACAAATGTAGGCTTCGCAACCATTAAGAGAGTGGAAACATTTTGTTGCTGTTTGGCGCTCTCGGCGAGTGATCTGCATAGTTTTTTATTTGGTGTTGATACTCCTTATGCTTGGGCGGCATTTTATAGGTATGCTCTTATAGACAATTTCATTGCGAACACAGTGATACCAAATTTAAATACGTGCGCCTTCAATTATTGTCAGGACAGTCAAAAGAGTGTACACTTTTTCGGTCTTACCGCGTAGGCGCGCGAAGTGCCGAAAGCATCTGGGGTATTGTTTTTTTTTTTGAGCGCCGAGAGCGCGAAAGTGTTAATTTAGAAACTGTACTTGTGGTCGATCTCGAACCCATTGATGATGTGACGACCTATACTGAATTTTGTAACTAGCTCATCAAGATTGTAACTTGCTTACTATATGAATTGTAGGGCTCAGTTCCTGAGCCCATTATGTGCCTCTGTAACCATTTCCACTACCACCCACAAGATGGGTATGGGGTGCATAATAAATGAACTAAACTAACTAAACTCATAGTTTCCTACTTTGTGCTTCAAACTCACACTGTATCTTGTACTACCCACTTCCCTAATACTGTATTAGTACTTAAGACCTGTAATTTCACTAGTGTAATCATCTCCATCAATTTATATATTAGTCAATTGTTGAACTCAAATTTTGCTACATGTACCTATAATCTTATCTTTCTTTGTTAGCTTAAGGAGCTGCCCAAAACGCTGTGTGTGTTAGTGGCTTGGCAAGAATGTAAGAACACCAATGTTATGTGCTCTCACAAACCCAATGTACCTTCTGGTATACTGTATAAATAAATAAATCTGAAAACATGACATGAACACACTAGCGGGTTATCTTCCTTCGGCTGTATTGATGTCCATGCCAGTATGGTGGTATGTTCACTCACAGGGCACGTCACACTCAGCAATAACCTCGCCCCTTGGGAGGTAAAATAACAACAAATACAGTATATATAACTAGTGGAGAAGTGAACTTCCCTGCACACCAACGAACTTAACAATCTCTTCAAAATATAAACTATTCAGAGTTGCTCACCTAATACAAGGCGCGCTAGTTCTGATGGTAAGAGAGATGTCATGTTTACCCTTGAAGCCTCTAAACACTATAAATAATTATTAACATATACGAGGATGAGAGCAGTTTTGTTTACAACAGCATCGTCCCGCGAACTTCGTCACTCTGAAGGTAAATACGGAAAGTCTTCGAAAGGTTAAAAAAAAAGGGAAAAATAAGATTTTAGCAAATCCTGATATAATAAATGCATTATATATTATGAATTTTACAAATTAAAAAATTAAATAAAATATACGATTGTATCTATGCAAATTCTAACCAAAATCATGCCAAATATCTCCTTTTTGAAATACATCTAATGCCAAAGTTAAATATTATTGGAACTCCCGCGCATTTTGTTAGACAAATCTATTATATTATTTTGTAAACAGATTCAAATACCTTGGCCTTGATGTGCCACTGTATGATCCAGTTCTATTCAGACTCTGTCATCAGTATAAAGAGAGACTCAGGGCTCTCAAGGCTGTTGCAGGTTATCACTCATGCTATGGTGCCAATGACAGAACTGTCAAAATGATGTACCTATGCTGCACCTCTGTTTCCTTTGATGCTTGAAAGAAAGCTTAGAATGCTTGAAAAACTGCAGAACGAAGCCTTGAGGATAATCCTTGGGTGCCCTCGTGCCACAAAGATATTTAACATGAGAAAGTAACTTAATATTCCGATGTTACTTGTGTTCCAGACAGCACTCGGTACCCCTTACTTAAATCTTTGACTATGTTAGATACAAATACAACAAATACAAATATTTATTCAGGTAAAGTACATACATACAAGGTGAAATACAAAAGTTGATGGATTTATAGATAGAGCTAGTACATACAATGCCTAAATAAGCCACTATTACGCAAAGCGTTTCGGGCAGGAAAACACTAAGACTAAAACTTAATACTAACTTATATTAAAGTATAAATTGTGTTGAGAAAAAATCATAAAAAACTGAAAAAGGGGGGGGGAACATGGCAGAAAAAACAAAAATACAATTTGGTCAACAAACAGCATTGTTTAAAATCGTAGACATGGGTTGACATTTAAGGGTGATGTAGGTTACATTGAGTTAATTAGGTGGTACTTAGTTTTTATCCTAAACTGGTTGGGAGAGGTACAGTCTTTATCATAATTGGGAAGATCATTCCACATTCGAGGTCCCTTGAATGAAAATGAATGAATGAATGAATGAAAAATAAATGAATGAATGTCCCTTGATAAAAATGAGTTCCCTGTTGGGTTATTTGTGGACCTGCGTAAGGGTTGACACTGTCAACCACCAAAACCCTCTCCTTAAATTACATCATTATGGAGTCAGAGGTACTCCCTGCAATACCTCAAATCTTACCTTACTGACAGGCTCCAGTATGTTTCTGTGAATAATTCAGTTTCTCCAACCCTACCCATCAATATTGGTGTTCCTCATGGCAGCATACTTGGCCCTCTCCTCTTTCTCATCTACATTAATGACCTTCCAAAATGCCTCCCAACACCTCAAACCATTTCTATTTGCTGACGACACAACCTTCATTTACTCCAGTCCTGACCCCCTTGCTCTAAAAGTCACAGTGAATACTGAGCTTAATAAAGTCCATCTTTGGCTAACTGCCAACAAACTCACCCTTAACATTGACAAAACTTTCTATATTCTGTTTGGCAATAAATCCTCTAATCAAATAAATCTCAGGATAAACAATACCCAAATTTGTAACAAAATAGATGGCAAAATCCTTGGCGTTCTCATTGACCACAAGCTGAATTTCCAGGGACACATTCTAAATATATCAAAAAAAGTTTCAAAAACTGTTGGCATTCTTTCTAAGATCAGATATTATGTACCTCGCCCTGCCCTGGTGACGCTCTATTACTCCCTCATCTATCCATATCTCAACTATAGTATTTGTGCGTGGGGTTCTACTACCCAAAATCATTTACGTCCTATAATTACTCAACACAAAGCTGCTATTAGGACAATATCCAACTCTGGCCCCAGACATCACTCGGTACCCCTACTCAAATCTCTGAATGTTAGATATTAAGTCACAGTATATATATATATATATATATATATATATATATATATATATATATATATATATATATATATATATATATATATATATACTGCAGAAACTGCAGGTATGTTGACGACATTTTTACACAGGTACCTGATGTCAGACATCTGCAGGAGCTGAAGGAGGCATTTGAGCGAAATTCTGTGTTGCGTTTCACTTACGAGATGGAGAAGGATGGGAAGCTGCCCTTTCTAGATGTAACAGTCATGGAAAGGAGCGGAGGTTTCCACACTGCAGTCTACACTAAGGAAACAAACATAGGAATGTGCCTCAATGCCAACAGTGACTGCCCAGACAGGTACAAGAGGAGTGTCGTTAACGCTTATGTCGACCGTGCTCTCAGCCACAGCTCAGGATGGAAGCAAGTCGATGAAGAACTCTGTAGGGTAAGGCAGGTCCTAGTCAACAACGGCTTCTCCAATGGTTTCGTTGAAGACATCATAAGAAGGAAGGTGAAACGCCATGCAACCTCTGAAGAGACAACTAACACAACACCTGTACCCCCTATTAGACTATTTTACAGGAACTTCTTTTACACAGCTCATAAAACGGAGGAAAGGGTCCTGAAAGATATTGTTAATAGAAACGTTATCCCTACAGACAAAAATCAGAAGATACAATTGACGATCTACTAGGAGGTATGGCAAACATCTCAGTTGGGCAGTGAGGGACAACTTGGCATTATATATTTTAATTCTACTACTGTACCGTGAGGCGTTCCTGGTAACCTTGCAATACCAACTGGTTTCTGAGCAAAAGCTAAAGTCCAGTCGGCACAAGGGCAATAAAGAGAAACAGGAACATTTGTGGAAGCTTTGGGACCGTTACGAGGAAAAACAGGTAAGCACCTCAGTTCCTCAAGGAATGTTCGCGTTTTATCCCAGGAAGTTCCTGAACTAGAATTAGAAAACAGCAGTCTGTTTACTGGTTGTTATTTTACTTAAGTTAGCTGTAAATGATAATGTAAAAATATCCACTGAGCTCTGATTAAGACTTTATGACCATGTAATCTATGTTTTGCTCCACTACTCACTGGTTGAGTATGGTGTGCATAATAAATTGGCCTTCTTCGGTGGCGCCTTAATTGTTTCTAAATGTGTTTCAAACTCACACTGTATCTTGTGCTATCCACTCTGCCAGCTCAAGTTTTACTACAATGTACCTCTTAATATATGTTATGTACTCTCACAACCCAATGTACCTTCTTTTATATAAATAAATATATTTCAACTGTAAGGGGTATGGTTTGCACCTTGTTATTCTAATAATGGATGTCTTCTCTGATAAGAGTTCAATCCCCGACCGTCCAAATGGTTGGGCACCATTCCTTCCCTCCCCGCGCCATCCCAAATCCTTAACCCAAATGCTATATGGTCTTTTGACTTGGCGTTTCCCCCCCCTGATAGTTCTCTTCCCTTCCCTTCTCTGATAAGAGTGCGCTTTGTTAACACAGTAATACAAACAGTGCGCTAAGCACTGTTAATGGACGCGTTAATTATATGATCAAGTGCCATGTATTTATTCAGACGAGAACAGCAAGGAACACAAATCAGCGAAAAAAATGGTTTGTATGTACAAACTTCTCAGTGAACGAAGTTGTTTCTAGTGCTGTATCCGAAACTGCAGTAGACGATTTGACCAGTCCCCGCGTCTCTCACGTCTCTCTCACGGTCACGTCTCTCCGCCGTTACCTGCGTGTCACGGCCTCTGTGGCTGGGAACGAGCTTTGGGTTGAACTGGTTTCCTTTCTTCCCTTTTCCAGGGTTCGGGTCTCCCAGGTTGTCCGCAGGGTTATTCGGACCAGCCAGCCTGCGGTCTATCCCCGTGCCCACGATGTTCGTAAAGTTTGCTGCACTGGCTGCCGTCTCTGGTAACATGTCTTGGGCTGACACTCTGGCGCGAAGTTTTTAAGAGGTCGAACTGGCTGCTCGCTACCGTGTCAATGTTCCTGGGCCTAGTCGGGGGGTCATATATACTTATATACATGTTTACTTATAATTTCGTTATGAAATTTAATTATTTCAGAGTAAAAATAGGTTTGATCATGTTCGTGTAGCACCAACATTACAGTAAGTAAATATAGCATATTTCTTCATTACTTACGTAATGCTAGGAGGATTTGGGTAGATTTGGGTAATTCTATGGACCGTAGTCGGGCATGTGTCGCGTTGTCTCGACTTCAAGTTGAGGAGCGAGACCCAGAGGTTCCCCCGGCAACTCTCCCTACCCTCCGGTCGGCTGTTTTTCGCGGTTTTCGACATCCAACCTCAGATCTGCTGGGTGGATAGCCCACACGGGGGTCTGGGGCTCTCCCTTCCCCTCTCAGGGAGGGAGCAGCTGCATAGACGTGGTGATTTCATGCTCATTTGGGGGAGTTCTGTCCACGAGTTCCTCTTTCAGTAGCAATTTCTTAACCAGAATATGTTTGTTTTGTGTGCTTATCTTTCTGGGTGCCTGACCCGGTCAATGGCAGACACAGAATGCTTTCAACCACACAGGTTTCTGTAGGCCATTGCTCCTTGTGCCTCTCTGATGGGGCCAGGATCTGGGTTGTAGTCCCTGGTAGGCCTAAGAACTCCACTCGCTTGACTGATGTCGCCAGCGTATAATATGCATTCATATCAGCCCGGTTAGCTCAAGGGAGCCTTCGGGTCTCACCCAGAAAATGACGTTTTATTACATTCAATGCTGGTGATTTACTTTACCCATATTTTTTTGTAAAAATGAATCCACTCAGTATTCTTAATTAGAAGCTAATATTTTGCCCAACATCATTCACATTCTCCGTGGCAGTCTCCGTGGTGTAGTGGTAAGACACTCGCCTGGCGTTCCGCGAGCGCTATGTCATGGGTTCGTATCCTGGCTGGGGAGGATTTACTGGGCGCAATTCCTTAACTGTAGCCTCTGTTTAACGCAACAGTAAAATGTGTACTTGGATGAAAAAACGATTCTTCGCGGCAGGGGATCGTATTAAGCTTGTCATTTAAGTTTATCATGCCCGAAACGCTTTGCGTAATAGTGGCTTTAGGCATTGTATGTACTAGCTCTACCTATAAGTCAAACAATCCTTGTAAATATTTATTGTATGTATGTACCTTACCTAAATAAAATTGTATTGTATTGTATTGTATTGTTATTCCAGGGACCTGCCCGAAACGCTACGCATACTAGTGGCTGTACAAGAATGTAACAACTCTTGTATATATCTCAAAAAAAAAAAAAAAAAAAAAAAAAAAAAACATACTATGCTTTGTATAAATAATAAAACTGTGCACCCCAATTTTATTAAGACCATAATATGAAGTGCTCAAATAAAAAATTACTATATTGCATTATATATTTTCATTACTTGTTTTATAGTAAAGAACAGGAAATTTTGAAGTTAAACATAACTTTCCACACATGATAATAAAGTGTACCATGCATTAGCTAAAAAACTGCAAGCTGGCAGTGACCGTAGCATTTGGCACTACTGTATGATCAGTGGCGGATCTCTACACGCATCTAATACTTAAAAAGTAAATAAGTACCGTACATAAATTACAGTGGAATCTTGCATAAACAGAACCTGTTTCAGGAGAACATCTGATGCACTGTGACAGTTACAATCTGGTTTGTGTTGGATACAATGGATTAGTTGTCTGGATAAAATACACAACTCAGAACTTCATCCATGTTGATAACAATTAATAAATGCAAGAATGATTTTCCATAATGAAACTTCTCAACTAAAAGATTTTTGTATGGAAGTTTACATACAACATACTGTATTACCTTCTGGTCAATAGTTCTGATACAGCAGCAAAAAGATCAAAATGTTTCAGCTGAGCACCCTCATGTTGGGAATGTGGTGGAAAAACATTTTCAATTTTATTTTCTAATAAAAAAAATTCAATTCACTATACTGTATATGAATAGCACCTTTTTGAGCAGATTTATTTGGTTGCCCACAAAGAAAGATCCTCTTTGCCTACAGATCAAAATCAAATTCTAATACTAGCAGAGGGAAGCACTACAGAATGTACTGCAAGATGAGCTCAAACATTTTGGGAAAGGGTGAAACACAACTATGAATGTTAAGGTGTATGTTACCACTGACTCCCACACTGACTATGTAATAAACCATAGAGACAGCACGAGTTACAAATCTACAACTCAAACTGTTAAAACAAACTTTATAAAATACAATTAATAAGTGTAGAGAACTAATAAAAAAACAATGACTGAAGAAGCAGGCCTATAAATAAGGCATGGAGAGGAGGATGAGTGGCAAGATTTCAATACAAATTTACATTATTGAAGTACTGTACATACTGTACAAGTGGTTAGAGTATTGGATGGTTAAGAAAACTGAAAAAATGAGAACTAAGGAGTACATTTGGGAGGTTAAATAAAAACTTTGGGTAGAATATTTGCACAGTGGAGAAATTTATGTTTACACCAGACAGCCTGGAGGGTGTTCTGTTATGGCCACCCAATTCAATGGAAACTCTCCAAGATGACAAGATAATGGAACAGATACAGGTTACCTTTCTAATACTACATTACACACTCCAGTTTTCCATTTTTTTTTTTTTACAAATACATGTAAAACCCATCTTAAGATGTCCTCTTTGATGCTATGCTCACTTATTTATGCAAATACATAGTTGCATTTCATTCTCAAATTACAACATTTATTCAAATATTTTTAATTATTCCCATTTGCATTTGAGAAATACTGTATGTATCACTTTTCTAATAGTTCTTTAACCCTTAAACTGTGCATATTTAGAGCCCGAAAGCAAAAAATATTCAAATTATGTAAAAAACTTAATGTTATACAAATCTCCAATTTATTGGCTTCAGCATCATGAAACTTTGATCAAAATATTTTCAAATTTATTTTAGACAAATTTTTTAAAAAGAAGAATGTTTTGTTGATAAGGAGAACAGCTCCTATTAACTGGAACTAAGGGATAATGCAGTAATAAAGAGATGCAAGCACCTGTCCGACACTCAAAGAAGAATATACAGTAGTAGTAAGAAGTGTCCACAAAGTGAATATGCAGTTAGTGCCTTTATAGCATTGCTGAGTAATACATAATACCACAAATAATAATGAGTAAGTATGCTATTATGCTTATTTTGTTATATATCATATAAATACATTGGCCAATGTTAATATATGTTACTTTCATCAATGTCCAAAAAATATTTTTTTATGGGAATTTTTTTTAATATTTTAGTTTTTTCTCCTTTGTTTATTATCGGATTTTGTTGTAACCCTTACATCCTGGAGAGTGCATACTCATCACTAATGTGAAGATAGAATGAAATTGGTCAACAAATAAATCAGTCATAACTCACAGAACTTGGTACTTTGAATTTGTTTTGGCTGATTTTTTCACAGATTTCAAACTATTTTCTTGTTTCTTTAGGTTGTTTTGATGATTAGGGCTTTTTCACTTATATAAAGTACAGGTATACCTAAATATATCCCCTAAATCATTATAATTATCCATATAGTTTATTTTTTTTTGGGGGGGGGGTATTTTTTTTCTTGACTTCATTTCAACACACATTGACCTACAACTTTCACATATTCGAGTACAAATGCCAAACAATGTTTATTAAAACATACAATTAACTTAACAAATTAGAATTACAGTACCTTTATTCATTGTCGAGGACTTCAATTTCAATTATCTCAAACTAGTTTCAATTTTGAGTGGCTTCTAAAATTCCAGTTTGACCGATTCTCACCATTTTAACATACTGTGTGCTCAGCTGTCTGTTCTACAATCCCTTCAGAATGGATTTTTCACAAATCCTATACGTTGGAGTTATAATTTATTTTTGTCTAAATTTGCCGCTTATTTCAAATGCCATATTGACGATTCTTTTTACAGAAAACTATACTGAAAACCTATATTCTAATTGGATGAAAATGAAAATCATATGCTATTCTGAGGACATAATAACACCAAATGAACAATTGGCGATAGTTTATATTTTTTAATCCAATTTGAAAATCTGAAGTTTTCAATATTAAATTTTAAAATTATTTATTATTTTCTTGTTTTTCAAGTTACGTTGTGATCATTTAGACAAAGTTGGAACATTTGCCTAGTTGATATGCACAAAAAATTGGAAAGTGTTTGTACATGTTTGAAAAACTTTAGTTGTCAAATTATGTTTTGCGCGGTTTAAGGGTTAACCACTGCATACAACACGCTCCATGGAGCACATAAGCCTAACGATCAAGTCCATTTGAAAATAAAGTCTTACAAATTCTATACATTAAAGCAACAAAGTACCTTCCTGGACAAATATATATATGACAATCAGACCAACCACTTATTTTCTTTTAAAGATAAAAAGACTTTAAACTGAAAATACAATGTACAGCACATGGAAATATAATAAATCTTATTCTCTTATTTAAAAAATCTTAAATACTACTTGCTTTTCTGAAGCCTAAAACACACCAGCTACCACTACTCAACTCGTATAAATTTTTAAGCTTCAAAACGAGTACAACAATTTCTTTGGAAAGAAAAACTTCAACATAAAATATATACTGTATATATATAGTCTGCAGCGAAAAGAACACGGTTATTGTAAGACATGACTATTTGCACCAAGAACATTCAAAATGATCTAATCTATATATACAAGAAACCTAAGAATTTACTGATGAAAATAATGTTAGATGTGAATAAAATACAAATATTGCTTTCAACATTAACCCCTGTACTGCACTCAGAGGTATCTTATCTGACTGTGATATACTCACCTAGAAAATTAATTTGTTGGTATAATGTAAGATACAAAACTCACATGCGGCAACCTGGGTAGCAAATGGGTACCCCAGGCCTCCAGTGTGTCTAAACAAAATTCCCAGCATGTCCCATGGCTGCAGGTAGGCTCAATTTGAAGTGAGCAACCATGGTTGACAAACGGGTATTTAGCTTTTAGTTGCTTATGGGTTGCATGGCTGAAAAATCCCTTGGAGGATGAAATACATGATGTATTGTATAATCCTGACCTTGATAATGATATTGATGCCCCAAGACTCGATAATGACCTAACACAACAACTGGATATAAGTGATGGAAAAAGAGGACAATGATACAGTGGACCCTCGATTCAGCGAACTATGTGGGACCAACCCAAATTCGTTGCAACGATGAAATCGTTGCAACTGGAGAGGCCTATAGGCGATATTTATATAATGCAATTTTGTAGTCATATAAATCAAGAGTAATTCATTGTTATATATAGTATTACTAAACTATACATTAATGAATCATACTATATCTTTATATAACTTAGAAAAGGCATATAGTATATACAGTATTTTGCTTGAATCCTCTTGAGGTGCCATTTGTGATTATAAACACCTTGTGTGTGACGGGTTACAAAGAATGTGTCAGCATCCGTAAACAAACATTGCTATCCCCCACCACACTGGATACCAACTTGAGTGAGGGAAGGGAGGGGGAGGCACTGAGGGAGAGAGGCAGTAAAGGGGGAAAGAAGAGAGAGGGGGGGGGAAGGAGGGAGGGAGGGAAAGAGGTAGTGTGGGACAGAGGGAAGAGAAGCAATGAGTGTGTGTTCATCAAATCGGGTGAGTAAATCCAGCCTGGGAAGTGAAAGTCTTAACCTAAGATTCGCGGAATTGAGGGTCCACTGTACAACGAAAATTGTGCAGTATGAGGATTACACCACTGTTGCCACTGCATGCTAGGTCAACACCACTTCTAGTGTTTCATATCAACAGCTGTGCCATCTGGCATTCCTCTACCCCATGAATATGTGGAAGATCACTTTTTCCGGGTTCAGCAACACTGGTTCGGATACTGGTAGCATAGATGAACCTAGTGGCAGTGGCTCTCATTGTTACTAGGAAAAGGTTTGCAATGTCGGTAGCTTGCCCTGCAAAGCAGAGGCATGTGATGAGCCATGGAGAAATTGAGGGAAGAGTGGCTTCAACTGCAACAGTTTGAGGTTGCATACAATGTAGAAGAGCTTCATCATCCAGCCAATGTTGATATATCATAAGATTGAGCCATGACACTGGTGCCACCATGAGCAGCACAGGTGTACTCGTATGGGAAGATTGTGACTTTTGTACCAGAAATACCTACATTTGATGATACAGATGTAGGTGCTACAGACATTCTCCTGTATACTGGGGAAAATTCAAGTGAGAATGAGCATTTTATGGCTTATTTTAAAAGAGCCATTCATGAAACATCTTACTGGAGAAACCAAGCACTACTCGGTGAAACTAATTACAGATGGATTATTACCATTTTCATGTTTGCTATGTTGGAAAGACACCACTGTACCTGAAATGTATGTATTTTTTGTGCTGTGTACTCACACTAAGGCCCATTATGACAGTGAGAAAAGGATTCCAAAGTACAATCTTTTCAGATGTAATAGGAAACACAGGCTACAGCGTGGGATCAGCCTGTACATCAAAGACACTCATTTGCACAGAACTGCTAAATACCACAAACAATATGATGGAAGTGCTGATAATCAAAATAGGAATTCCTGACAGTTAAAACAGCAGAGATTCCACCACTTCACAAAGGAGATAGTAAAGCAAATGCAAAAAATTATAGACCAATAGCTCTAATTTTGCACATCATAAAATCTTTGAAAGTGCTAAGAAGATTAGAAATTGTGTGTGATCACAACATCTACATAACCCCGGGCAACACGGGTTCAGAATAGGGCGATCCTGCCTCTCTCAGTTGCTAGATCACTATGACATGGCTTTGGGTGCCATGGAAGACAAAATGTAGATGTAATATACACACACTTTGCAAAAGCTTTCGTCAAATGTGACCATAGTGTTATTGCGCACAATAATTTTCCCAGATCATCCACAGTGAAAAGCTCAGTCCTCAAAGATAAAGTAGTTGCTCCGGCACTTTTCCTCATCCTCATATCATACCCTAATTCAGTAAAAATCGTGGCTGGATAAAGTTATCTCCCTATCCGGCCAAAATGTCCATAGAAGCCAGTGAAAAAGTTAATCTGGAAAATGTGCTCATCCGGCAAGGGGTCCTTCCCATATAGTCTGGATTAACAAACTTCGACAGTATTTTCAGTTTCCGTTTTCAAATGGAAATGAAGAGGAGAGAGATGTGTAATAATTTACACGTGAAAAATATTAGAGGAACTGATTCCAAATCTGAACACGGAATTACATCACATGAAACCAGTGGGCATGGCAGGATGTGCAAAATAGCCATACTGAAAAGCTGAGGTGCAATAGGTACACTGAGGGAGAACTATCAACATCAAGGGCTGAGGACTTTTCAACACTCCCACTACACTAACAGGGATTGGGAGGGTAAAGACGTTAGCTCCATACCCAAGCTCGTGGAGGCCATCTGTCAGTCTTAGACAAACATCTCAACGGAACCCCCTATGAAACTTGACTCTTTACTACCCAGATGCCTGCAAGCTGTGAATAAAAGAACAAGCCACCCAACCAAGTATTAAAAGGTAACTATAATATACCATTTACTATAAATATCCTTATGTAGAGTATTGTTTGTTTTGGGAAAGGGGACCAGAGGAGGGCTCCACACACTTTGGAGGAGTACAGTACTCTTTTGATGAATGTGTATGACTGTGTAAATATTATTATAGAATGAAAATTGAATAAGTTGTATTGACAAACATTTTTAGTAGACACATTAGTGATATGTGCATCATTATTAGCAATATTACACACAAAAATAAGAAAACAATATTATTTGATAAAAATCACAAACAAATATTTGTGGCAATTTGTGGGTCTTGAATCGTCCACACGACCGGCTTCAGGAGTCTCCTGCATTAGTACTCAAGATCTTGTGACATCGCACAACTTCTCCATTTCACTGAACCGAAAGTAAGTGGATTTTGGAATTTTTTTGAATTTACATGAGGGAGGGATTTTAACAATAAAGTGTATTAAAAGAAAAAAATTGAGGGAATAATATTTTTTTTATGTGCACCATGGATTTGTCATATTAAACAGCCGTGCAGTACATGGGTTAAGGATAATTAATAAAAACATTAAAAATGCAATGGCAGGTGTACACTATCATTGGGATAAAGCCTTTTTAATAATCTTAATTAAAAATCATGATACAAAATGAAGGCCATAAGTCAGTTTGAAAAACCTTCTTGAATGTACAAATGTTATGATATTTAGGGTTACAATCTGAACCATCAGTTTACAGTTAGCAACTTGTACTAATTTAATGCACACCTGACATAATAAAAGAGCAGGAAGTTCATTGTCAATTCCAAACTTACCTTTATATATGTTAATAACCAAACTTTCTATACAGTTGCTAAATATCACTCAAAATCAAATTTCTAAAGATAAACTCTTTCAAAATTTGGCCCTTGTTCACTTTTATATAGGCTTTCTTACTCACAAGACACTGACAGGCTGTTGGATGAATTCCTTCCTCTGAAGCATCTTCAACTTTTCTCACAGAATAAAATTGTCAGATTTATGTTATGCATATAGTGAAATAGTAATTATCAGGGGACTGACAATAACAACTCAGAAACTCCAGGATTAAACTCTGAACAAGTTTGAGTTCATACATCTGTGGTTTAGCTATACACACTACATGTAAAACCCTTTGATTATCACAAAGTTAAAAAAGTAAACAAGTTCTGCATCTAAGTTATTTAGTTTTGGTCTCATGTGACTGCATAGGGCCCATGTGGTTGAAATCATGGATTTGTAAAGCCCACTGAATGGCCAGTAGACAGTCTTGATAGTAAGGGGGGTAAAACATTGATTAAGATAGAAACTTCTACAGAAATCTTAACAAGAATAATAGTTGTTAGCTTATTATGACAAACAGGTGGATCATTAAGTTAAGGGATAAAGGCTATCTACAGTGCAAATAAAAATGGAAGAATGCCCTAGTTACCCCAGTCTTGGGATAAAAACTACTGCATTGAATATTTAAGAAGACAGTTTCAAAATGAAATATGCATTAAGCAATAATTTCCACATTAAAAACTGTACTTCAAGAAAGCATTAATGCAAGGAGAAAATTTATATGATATTTTAAGGTTAGCTTCTAGAAATAATTTAGTATAAAAAAAAAGATTAAGCAGAGGCACTATGATCCAGCAAAGTCTATTCACAATGACCAACACAGTCCACCATACATCACTCTCTGGTCTCTGTTCAAATCGAACAAAGACATTTTTATTCATCTGAATCATACACATAATACATAACTGAAGCATCACAAATTATGTTTGTAAAGTCTGGGTGTGTTTTGTGATGTCTCATCTCGCTATCCAGTATCTAAAACATTCTATACATTTCTGCAAAATATGTATTAAAAGAATTGCATCATTTCTTCTTATTTTGTAATATGGCAGTATGTATGTTCATGTTTTTTTGGTTCTAAACCATAGCTAACATTATTTTTCTGTAAGAGATAACTCGAGGATACGCTTTAATGTCTCTTCTTCTTGCCGTCGGCGTGCTTCCTCCTCTTCCTGGTGTCGCTGTGATAGTGAGAGTGCCATAGCCATCTCTGAATCCAATATGCTTCCCCCTGGAGTAACTGCCAAGCCTCCTGGAACAGCTATATCCCCTTCTGGCTCAATTTGGAATCCACAATCAGTCACTCCTGTACCAGAGGGTCGTTGGATGTTTGCCCCCATACTGAGAGCAAGCGATTCTTCTATAGCCCTAAAATATAACAAAAATAAGGCATCAAGTTACATGTAATGCTCTTGGTCACTACCTTATCCAGGGTCTGCCCAAGTCACTGCTGAAATCCCAGGCTCTTGTCAACCTCTGCTCCACCGTGCCAAGAAACTTTGTAAACCATTGGGGAGAAGAGGGGTGTGAGGTTCTCTCAATTTACCAAAGTAATTTGCTGGAGTGTTGAGTGGTTCTTTTTATCACTATATTGAATTACAGCAAATGATTGTTTTATTGCTGGATAGAGAAAACTCTAAACTATCATCCATCCCATACTAAATGGCAAGACCATTGGCAAAGTTCCCAGTTATAGTGGGCTGAAGGTCGACAAAAGCCTGGAATATTACCAGGGTCCTGGAAGAATCCTGGCTGACAGCTCAGGAAGAAACCGAAAGGTCTTTTATCGGTAATTATCAAGAAAAATGTTGTAATCTTTAATACTGTGTTCCCAGAAGAAACCCTATTACTCCTTTAGGGGTGGTTTCATAAAACTTTATCCAGATATTTATTATTATTAAATATTAAATAAGATGGTGTTAGAATGTGACTTGTGAAAATGGCAATGAAAATATTAAAGATATACATGGGAGAATGTATTAATCATAAAAAAAATTCTTTATGCCATGGAGAGCTAGTTACGAATACTAAACAACACGAATATTAAATATGGCCAAGTGTTGACACTCGTGAGGGTGAGTTAGGAAGACCTAATGTGAGGGGGAGGGGAGGTGAACAGGAAGGAGATATGTGATCTCACTCTGTCTGTCCAGTGCTATGTCTTGTCTGGCAGTCTGTGGCACAGACTTTGTGCAGCTTCACAGCCTGTCTAACCTGTCAGTATCTTGACAGTCTGTCAGCTGTTATATGGTTGAGTGTTACTCTTTGTGTTCTGTTCGACAGAAAACTGAGTATCCACCGTCCTACTTTACCAGTTATTCCCATTTACCTCATTTTGTGTGCTATCATTCCATGGTCACATTTATCAAATGCCTTTGCGAAGTCCATGAATATCACATCTGCATTCTGTTTTTCTTCTAATGCCTCAGTGATTTTGTCGTAGTGGTCAAGTAGCTGTGAGAGGCTTGTTCTTCCTGCTCTAAATCATGTTGGCCTAGGTTGTGGAGGTCAGTGGTTTCCATGAAACTGGAGACCCGACTCCTGATCACTCTCTCGAATACTTTTATTATGTGGGACGTAAGTGCAACTGGTTTATATTGGTCTTAGCAGTCCCTGTGGCGCAGTGGTAAAACACTTGACTGGCGCTTCACAAGCGAATTGCCTGGGTTCGTATCCTGGTCAGGGAGGATTGACTGGGCCCCAATCCTTAACTATAGCCTATGTTCACCCAGCAGTGAATGGGTACCTGGTTGCTAAACGATTTGGCGGGTTGTATTCCAGGTTAAATTGGGATTAAGGACACACAAAAATCACAATTGCGTGATGCATCAAATGAACAAATCCACAAGGGCATTGTTGTGGATTAAAGTGAGGATGAAAAAGGCAGAACAGCTTGTTGGCAGAGCTTGAGTGCTTTGGGGGAGTTGTGTAAAACCCTGGTTTGTGCCTCGGAGAGGCTGCAGGATCCAGTAAGTTCAGTAGAACTTCGGGAAGCCTTGTAATACTATCATCGCTAACTAATAGCATGATCATATATATTATGGCATTTGTAGGCGATGCTGTGGTCAAAAGCTGAACAGCAGTGCTGTGAGCTCGTGCTGCGTGCGCCAGCCTTGGTGGTTTGCTCAATACTGACGCTCTCACACCCATGAATGTTGGCATGGATTTTTTTTCTAGGTGGCATCTGGCAACTATCGGTCGTGGCTGCACTAAAGCTGCCCCTATCCCAGGCGGGGAGTTTAAACTATAGTGCTAGACACGAAATCATATACAGTGGCACCTCGACTTACGATTGTTCCTACTTACGATAATTTTGAGTAACGATACGACGAGTTTACGAGTTTCATCGAAAAATGCGACTCGACATCCGATGGTGTCATCGACTTACGATATTTGTTGGTACACGTTCGGGTCGACCGAGCACGTGGTTCCCGGTCACGCGGCCGACCTGCCTCAGTTTACTACAGCTGCCCGCTTAGTGACGATCGCGCCTACAAGAAATTTTGCTTTTGTGGTGATTTTTTTTGCATTTTGAACATTAAAGTAATTATTATATATCACGCCATGAGTCCCAGGAAAGTCATTGGTAAGGCTCAACATATGAGATCCCATGTAAGGATGAACATAGAGCAGAAACAAGAGATCATTCGTAAATATGAAGATGGTGTGCGGGTTGTTGGACTGGCTAGGCAGTACAACAAATCTCAGTCAACGACATCCACCATACTGGCTAAGAAAAAGGACATTATGGGTGCTAAAGTGATGCATCATTACAGACAAATGTTAAAACAAAGGGAAAAACAAATGTCTCTTGACAAATTTGTAGTGATACAAGCACTGAACCACAACCAGGTCCTAGTGGTATTCAGGCAAAACGTAGGAGAGTGAGTACCCCAGAGAAAACATCACTGCCTGATGCGATAATGGAAGGGGACTTCTCTTCCAAACAGTAACAACTTTCCTTCTCCCCCCTCATCACCATCTTCCATATGCCATCAAGAGCCCTCCATAAAGATAAGATAAACTTTGGTACTGTATTATAGTTAGAAAAAAAACATTGTGTTCAGTATAAAATGTATTTGTATGTTAATATTTTGAAGAGTGGGGAACGGATTAATTCAAATCCCTTTATTTCTTATGGGAAAAATAGCTTCGACTTACGATCCGTCTCTGGGAACGGATTAGCATCGTAAGTCGAGGCCCCATTGTATATATATGACATGCATGGTTTTGCCACGGAAAGCATATATATATGATTTGTGCGGTTTAAGGGTTAAGTAAACTTTTATATTACAAGAAAAATTATAAACCTGTGCACATGTACAAAGTAATATACTCCTACCGCTGTAGCTGAGCATCTTCAGCAGTTTGCAGTCCCAAGTGTCCTGGAGTGCTGGGACGGGACCCTGGCTTGGAGTTAAGCCTGGAAACAATATAACAGAAAAGTTATAGTAGTCCACAAGAAAAAAAATGATCTCGCCTCCATTTTCATGAGTGGGTAGGCAAAAATTTGACAAGAGACAGTGAAGACAACAAAATAACACCCATCTTTCACACAGAGCACCATCACAGGGATGTAGTACCCATATACCCCTAGAACAAAAAGCTCCAGACCTGTACTTCAGCCATTTACACTGAATAAATTAAAATGATCCACACTAATTATAAAAAATCTAGCAGTGAATGTAATTAAATGCCTCCTTCTGTGGGTCCCTTCAGTGGCTTCCCGAACTATCTGCCTGGTTAACTCCAAGCCACTGGGGCCACTGCCATCAGCGACCCATAACCCTTATATGCTAAGAGTAAGTGGCAAGTGTTCATGCCTTTATTTTGCATTTCCATGCTCTAACAAGCACACGATGATTATGATCAAATGCTTTGAAGTAAGACTTTTGTGAAATGCTTAACTTTATCCATTTAGACAGCTGTACCCCCCCTTTATGTCCCAAGAGCTCAAGGCTTAACTTCCTTAACACTATCGGTCACTTTGGACCGGACTCTCGTCCATTATTTTTCTCCCGAGTCCTAACCGAGGACCGGACTTGCGTCCACTACAAAAATATTTGTATAAAATTCATTTTTTATCCAATCGACCTAGGAATAGTATCAAAATAAGCGCCTTTAGAATGCGCACAATTTGATACCAAAATGAAAGACGTAACATGAAACTTGATGTCCGAACACTTATATGATTATAAATAGGTTTTTAGTCTAAATTTTAAAATATTTGTTAAAATTCTATTTATTGTGCTATTATGTTGGGACTAGTTTTAAAATGCGCGCCTTTACGTCGCGAACAATTTGATACCAAAATGAAAGATGTAACACAAAAATTTATGTCAGAACACTGGAAAGATATAAATAATTTTGTGATGATGAGCTTCCAGAATTAAAATATTTGTTAAAATTCCAGTTATTGCTCTATTATTATGGGACTAGTTTTAAAATACGCGCCTTTTTATTGCGAACAATTTGATACCAAAATGAAAGACGTAACACGAAAATTGATGTTATCAAACTGAACGAGTATACACATTAGGTTGCAGTGTACAAATTGGTGCTCGTTCACGGGTAACTTTAGGCTTTTCTGCGGGGAGGCACTCCAAACTTTTGTACATTATATTCATACACATCTGTAGGGAATTTAATTGCGAACACAATGATACCAAAACGAGCAACGTAGCACGAGAATTAAGGTGAGAAAAATGGAACGAGTATGCACATTTTACTGATTTTGTGCGCTCACGGGTAACTTTTGCCGACTTTAGGCTTTGCTGTTGGGAGTCACGCCAGGCTTTTGGACATTATATTTATACACACCTGTAGGGAATTTAATTGCGAACACAATGATACCAAAACGAGCGACGTAGCACGAGAATTAAGGTGAGAAAGCTGAAACGAGTATACACATTTAGGTGTCACCGCGCGCTCGCCCGCACGCTGGGTGCATGACCCCTAAGTTGACCGCGCGCCTGCCCAGTGACCGATAGTGTTAACCAATGAGTCTGGCAACTCTTATGAAGTAGAATGATGTTGGGCTTATCACAAGAATCAACCCTCTCCAGTCTATGATATAGGGACAAGAATGATGAACTTCCCACCTACACCTAGTATTCAAGGTTGTTAATTGACATATGGGACACCCAATAACAATAGTCCACCTTCTCCGGGAAAACTCAAAGTCTGCCCGGGTGCAAAGGCCTCTTGATCATTATGACTGGGATTAAGATCATGTAGTGTAGTAATAAGTGTGTTGATGAGAAGTATTGATTTCAGTATTATCTGCTGTATTCACTTATTATTAGCAAACACTCTAAAGGAAGGAAGAATGTCATATTTATAAATATCTCCTTCATTAGTTCTTGTTGTTCTGGTTCCAAAATTGGCACACACAAAAAAAACACCATATGAGACCAGAAGGCATGGCAGAATGTGTAAAATAGCCTCACTGAAAAGCAGAGGTGCAATAGGCATGCTGAGGGAACTCTATCAACATCAATGGCCCAAGACTTTTCAAAACTTTTCCCCACTACACATACAGGGCATAACTGGCCAACCTCTTGCAGTGTTCAAAAGACAACTCAACAAGCACATTCAAAGAATACCTGATCAAACAGGCTGTGACTCATATGTCAGGTGGCGAGCAGCTGCACTGAACAGCCTAGTTGATCAGACCACCAACCAGGAGGCCTGGTCAGAGACTGGGCCACAAAGACATCAATCCTCAAAATCTCAAACAGGCAGTCAACAGGTAGGTAGTTATCACGCAGGTAGTCAACCGGCAGGTAGTCAGGTAGGTAGACAGGTAGTCAACCGGAAGGTAGACAGGTAGTCAACCGGTAGGTAGACAGGTAGTCAACCGGTAGGTAGACAGGTAGTCAACCGGTAGGTAGACAGGTAGTCAACCGGTAGGTAGACAGGTAGTCAACCGGTAGGTAGACAGGTAGTCAACCGGTAGGTAGACAGGTAGTCAACCGGTAGGTAGACATGTATTCAACCGGTAGGTAGACAGGTAATCAACAGGTAGACATGTAGTAAACAGGTAGGTAGACAGGTAATCAACAGGTAGGTAGACAGATAATCAACAGGTTGGTAGGGTTCATTATTACGACAATTTGTAATTCCCCTCTGATACCTTTGATTCGTGTTATTTCAGATATCATGTAGGAAACCAATTTGAATAAAACTGGAAAACCGAATTCAAGTACAGTATCATTTATTTCCATCCAGGTCAGGTGCCATAGGCACAATCAGAGAACACTATCTGAACATCAGAGGTCCACAGTCGTTCAATATCCTTCCAGCATGTATAAGAAATATTGCCAGAACAAAATTGCAAATCAAGAAATGTAAGGAAGAGGTTCTTTCTTGTAAGGTGTATGTGAACAGTGTTTGGAACTGTCAGCTAACAGTTATAACTGTGTTGGTTTGAAGGGAAAAACATTCAAACCTCTGCCAGTGATGTGGCTAATTATGTCCCTGAACAGTACAGTCACTGATTTTGATTTGCATTACAGGGGTTCCATGGGTAGATAGTGATAAAAGTATATATGTGACATAACACTAAATTATACCATGCACTTTAACTGAAGCAAATTGTGAGAGCTTTATTTACTGACCCTGGTTGCCTAAGAGCTGGTCTGTGGTCAGCCTGAAGTGCCTCCCAGATGTCCACTTGGTCTTGCTCAGTGCCAGCTTCTACTAGAGACTGTTGGATGGCATACTGCAACAGAGCATCATCTTCATCCATGCTTAACTGTACGTGCTGCTCATCAGAATGACCTACAATTAAAAAAAGGATACGATTTGATTAGTAAATTACATATAAAGAGCAAATCTACACAGTAAAATAACAACATACTGGAGTGAACAGTATGGAAGAAAATGCAGAATAGAACCAGTGAAGAGCAGGGGTGCCATAGGCACAATCAGAGAACACTGTATAAACATCAGAGGTCCATGGTTGTTCAACACCCTCTCGGTGAGTGTAAGCGAGTGTAAGAAATATTGCTGGAACAACCATGGACATCTTTAAGAGAAAACTACACAATTTTCTCCAAGAAGTGCCGGACCAACTGGCCTGTGGTGGATATGTGGGCCTGCAGCCCGCTGCAAGCAACAGCCTGGTGGACCAAACTCTCACAAGTCAAGCCTGGCCTTGGGCCGGGCTTGGGGAGTAGAAGAACTCCCAGAACCCCATCAACCAGGTAAATAAACTACAGTACATTACAGGCCATCCCCACTTTATGAACATTCACTTTACGAACATTTGTCCAAACAAACATTCTCTCGGGTCCCCCTGTAACCCTGTGTGAAAAATTCCCCACTAATTTGCATAAACCATTGTATATTAATTTTGTAATACCCTGTACTACAACAACATAACAACCCATCTTCAACCAACCAACCCCAATCTAACCTAACCTTATAGACATTAACCACAAGTTACTTAATGTACTCTAACTTACCCTACCATAATCTACCCTAACCTGTCTGAATTGCGACTAACTCCTAAACATACTTCGACTCACAATCTAAGTCTCTTGACTAAACCACACACTTTTCATAAAACAGTAACACTTAGATACCACCATTAACACAACTCCTCATCTTTGCCATACTTTTAGATGTGGAGTCGGTTTCCACTCGTATGTTTATTTTCTCATTATCCACACACCAACATTAGACATCGATATCTTCTAGTCTATGCCAAATTATGAACACATTGATGCACCACTGTGAGTGCCGCATTTATCAATATTCACACAAGACACCTGGTGGCCAGGACCAGGGTTTTGGCTCATGGTTCCTCGTAGGCATGAGAACTGTGACTGAAGACCCCAAACTAATACAGCACATATCAGTTCAGACAGCTTCAGGGAACCAACAGGGCTCCCCACAGAAATTTGGCTTTTAATACACTTAAAACATAAATTGGGTCTTTCCTTCACCTATATTTTAGTAGCAGTTTTTCTTGCAGACAATTGTTACTGAAAATGACAGAAACAGGCAAGATCAATGATTGATTCTAGCATGAATCTTCTCTATATTTCTCATGTTCTTCACTTAAGAAGGAAGTTGAAAAATTTAACTCTCCAAAGTTTATTTTACAGTTTTATTATGGCATGACACTAAGGTGTATTTTGCTGACCTTGTCAACATTTTCAAAGGTATAGTGGAAGTGAATATAATTCAGCTGGAGAAACCGAATATATAACCAATAGCAAGGTGAGGAAAAGTGATGCATGGGTCTAGAGGCACACTGCAGTTTACCTATCTTACATGTTCCAATGATGGCTGCCTTGGTCTCCCATCTTCAAGACAAAGACGAGAAAAAAATTGAAATATTCTACTTATTCACTGAATTTTGCTGAATTTGATTAATCATTACTTACCAATCTTTGTGTAGTGTGCAGGAGGCTCAAACACAGCTTCATCTATAATGCATGCAAGTCTGTCCTCTTCACTTATTGTGGATACATTGTCTATGCCCTCATCGACACCGAATATATTTCCAAATGTGATTCTTGCTGTTAATACGTGGAACAGAGGAATTTCTGAAAAGTACAATTGAGTATTAAGTCATAAAATGCACTTAAAGATATACATGCATTTCTGTCCATACGAACAGATAAACAGACTGGTTTTTTGATCTGGGAGATCTTGTGCAACAAATCTACTTAATTTCTATGAAAGAGACAGATTTTACAGGAAGGAGATGGTTGGCATGACTGTACTGTATTTATCTGAACCTAAAAAAAGGTTTTTGACCGAGTCCCATATAAAAGGTTGTTCTGGAAATTGAAACATACCAGAGGAGTGACAGGGAGGTTTTTAACATGGATGATAAAAATTTTAACCGACAGAAAAATAAGAGCAGTAATCAGAGGCAATGTATCGGACTGAAGAAATGTTACGAGTGGAATACCACGAGGGTTCAGTTCTTGCACTGGTAATATTCATTATCAACATTAAAACAACAAAAAGGAGGGAGCTAGTTTACTTCCTTCCTTGAGGGGGAGGAGACAGAGCAAACTACTCGCTGGGAGGCTGTTTCACAATTCGGTTGTTTTCATTGATGGAAGTTCTTTTGGCAATTTTAGGGATGCAGTTTTCTGTTTAACCATGCAGTGGTTTCTTTTGATTCCCTTATCTTTCCGGTGCCTTCCCTAGGTGGTGGCAAAGATGATAACCTTTAAATGTAAAATGATCATATGCCCTCGCTCCCTGCACCTCTCCGAGGGGGGTCAGGTTCTGGCTCGTGGTCTGCGATAGGCAAACGGAACTCCGCAACTGATGGCACTAAGTAGTATGGTACTGATCAGTATGTGTTGGCTTCCCTCAGAAAATCCAGTGTAGGCCACCTTAGTGGGAAGTCTTCCATTTTGATCAGGACACCATGGCAGGGTCCATCATCTCCTGGCTCTCAACCACGCTCAACAAGCCACCCCCCTCCCCCCCAACAGTCATTGACTTAACACCTTTGTTCGGGAGGGACCAATATGACATCCAAAATTAACTCTGCAGATGTTCAGGAGTTGTAGCGATGTAGGTGAAGTCCAAATTAATAAATGTTAAAATTATATTTTTTATCCGATCATTTTGGGACATGTTTTAAACTTTGCGCCAATGCCTTCTCATTATCTGTTATGAGCCATTTGGCAGTGAGTTTGTTGAAACTGAAACAGTAGGTGAGGATGAGATTGAAAGTTAGGGAAGTGATGATTTTGATGTTCATACTGCCACAGGCTCACGTGGTCATACTACGAAACGGCAATGTTCTGGTCAAGCCTGGTCAACTGACTACACTCCACCATTTGTAGAAAGTTTTACTGGAACACCAGGCTTGACTGTACCATTACTATTCACTCCTCTTGGATTTTTACAGTTATTTATTACACGAGATTTGTTGCAATATTTTGTATATGAAACAAACGTGTATGCATTACAAAGCAACTGCATGGCAAAGAAATGCATTTTAACAATATTGGAAAGAAAAACATTACTAGATTTAATTTTTTTATTTTAGTCGCAACTAGGTGTTGCATCATCATAAACGGGCACAGCCGTTTATATGAAGGTTAGGTGATCCCTGCTGCAGCAGTGTGAGATTTCTACCTTTCTGAATGTACATGTATAGTCATATCCAGGGAATAGCATGGCCTTGCCTAAGGGAGCAACTAAGTGGTACAACCAAGAAATACTGTACATAAAACAACTATTAAACAAATTAAAACAACACATTACTTACCAATTTTTACAGGAAATCCATTGGGAAGCTGCATTTGAATGAAATGCTTGAGTTTCGCAAAATGAGAAGAGCTGATGGCCATAAGATCAACAATTGGCATCACTTGCTCTTGTAATTTCAGTGGGTACTCCTCTGCCAGCCAAAGGTGAGCCTAGTGAGAAAACATTCTTAATATTTCTTGCTTACATCTAGGTCACAACATTTTCTTGTCACATTATAGCCACAAAATAACTAGATTGCTTTTTAATTTTTTAATTATTGCTGTATAGTATTGCCATCACCATCTTAATTAAAGTATGGCAAAACTGTAATTATATTTATGGGAAATTCTATCTGTAATGCATAATAGAACCATTTTTTTTTTTTTTTAGAAGAGTTACTAGATGAAATGAGCGTAAGCTGAGAAGACAGAACAAGCTCTTCTTCATATTTGCTTGAAATTCCAGTAAGTACTGGCCATGCATTCAATAAACATAATAAATCATTACCAAATCAGGAGAAGCACAAGCCATTACGACTATATAGCACTTGGAAGGGGTCAGGATAAGGATTTGGAATGGAACTGGGGGGAAGGAATGGTGCCCAACTACTTGGAAGGTCGGGGATTGAACACAGACTTGCACGAAGCAAGACCATCGCTCTACTGACCAGCCCTACCAAGTATGGATTCGTTATATCTTGAGATGATTTCGGGGCTTTTTTTTTAGTGTCCCCGCGGCCCGGTCCTCGACCAGGCCTCCACCCCCAGGAAGCAGCCCGTGACAGCTGACCAACACCCAGGTACCTATTTACTGCTAGGTAACAGGGGCATTCAGGGTGAAAGAAACTTTGCCCATTTGTTTCTGCCTCTTGCGGGAATCGAACCCGCGCCACAGAATTACGAGTCCTGCGCGCTATCCACCAGGCTACGAGGCCCATGATAATGGAGGCCCATGGAGAATAATTAAAAAAAAAAAAAGTGTTGAAGGTAATGAAACACCATTTTCTGGGCGAGTCCCGGAGTCTCCCGGGAGCTATCAGGCTGATATGTGTTATATTAGTCTGGGGTATCAGTCAATTGGAATTCAGCCTACCGGGAACCGAGAGCCAGAACCTGCCCCCCCCCTCCTCAGAGAGGCAAAGGGAGCAATGGCCTATAGAAACCCCCCCCATGTGGTAGGGTGCATTCCTTGTCTGCCATCCACTGGGGTTAGCACCCAGAAAAAGTAGGCATAACAAAACAAACCCCACTAAGTAAGAAATTGCAACCGAAAACCGAACAGGGAGGCAGAACTCGCCCTACCACTTAAATTAAGGAAACAAGCAAACAAGCAAACTTCACACCTCACCGTTGCGCTGCCTGTCCGCACTCTCACGAGGGAGGTACCTTCCCCCTCCCCACCCCCCAAGAAGTGGGAGTGGGGGAGCCCCAGACCCACCTCGCAGGCTACCCAAGCCATTCAGTTCGGAGGCTGAGCATCAAAAGAAAAACGGAACCGCCGACTGGAGGGGGTTGCCAGGCAGCCTCCAGAAAATGGCATTTCATTACATTCAACGCTGGTTTTTTGAGGGAAGCCCCTATGGCTCCCTGAAGCCACATCACCAAACATAAGGAAAATAGGGACTTAATAACCCTGTGGACGACCTGGGTGTTTGACCTCCAAAATCTCCGCGCCTTACAGCAGCCAAAGCAGCAAATGGGCACGAGGATAGACCGCAGGCTGGCTAGCCCTGTAACAGGGAACGAGGGAAGCTGGATCAACCCAAAGCACATCCCCAGTGCCTCCCTGAGACAGTCTTGCTGAGAAGGCTCCCAACTACCAGCACATCAGCCATACAGTTCTGTTTTGCTTACTGAGAACCAGCGACTGAACCTGCCACCTCACAGAGGCACAAAGAGCAGGTGAAGCTCTGCACCCCACCAAGAAAGCATCCAAAATGTCAGCAAATCAATAGACCACTGCTCAGTTCATACACACCAAAGCATCAAAACTGGCAAATGAACTCCCCCAAACATTGTGAACAAATAATTGAATCTCTCAAAACTAGAACGAGCTCAATAGTACTACTCAGTAATAAGAGGCAATGTTATCAGATTGGATAAATGTTATATGAAAAAGGACATATAGACAGACGCAGACTGTGACAAAGAGGGTGAGGCTTTACAATTTTTTTTTATTTTACTTTCTCTATGAAAAGCAGTGAACTTACTTTAAAACTCTGCACTTTTTTGGAGATTTCTTTAGGTCGACCAATGTCACGGCCTTGCAAGTCTCCATCTGGATCAAAATATTCATCAGCAGTGATATTGCTTGGATTATTTAGACTATATGTCTCGCTCTGAAAAAAAAATTCTTTGTCACAAGAGAACCTTTACTCTACACATGATAAAAACTGAGACAAAATTGTTACACTCCACTTTCTTGCAACACACAAAGATACAGATTAAGACTGAAAAGATAAGAGAATTCCTTACCTCTTCCGAGGAAGAAGGAGAGTTTTGTTTTTCTTCCACTTCTGCAATGTTAAGGAACGATTGGATTGGACTTCGGGGTGAAGATTTTTCTTTGTCAGCATCAGTCAAGTGCTCAGTTCGAGTCTTCGTTACAAGTTCAACATTTATCGCGGAAAATACCTGTTTGAAATTTTGGTTACTGCCATCAGTAGTTTTAATCATATAAAGCTAGATATTGATTAATTGCCTCTGCACAAAATAGGTAAATAAAATAAATATTTGACACAAATTAATAAGTTATTTTAAAATTGTCTCCAGGAAGCTACTATGCTAAAACTCGGTATAGTACTCCACACTGCAAATTCCCAAAATTTATGTACTGTATATTAAATCTGAAGAAATTATGACAAAATATAAGGAAGGATAGGTGTCAGCCTTCAAATTGTAGACGGTTGGAGTGTAGCCAATCACAGGGGACTAGGCCTCTGACGTCGTACCCATAGAGCCAGTGGGTGCCGGCAATCCATAGCCAGGCATCAGAGCAGGGAGGACCCTTGGTTGGGATGAGTTGTGTTACCTCACCCCAATAAAGTCTGTGAAGCAATCTAAGTGTATCTATAATCCCAAGTGAGAGCCATCACCATATCTCCAACCAACCAGTAAACGAGTAGCAACACTGGTGGTAGTGGTGGGATGAGAATTTTTTCTCGGCCAGAAACTCACGTGCACACTATGGCCGGCACCACCAATGGTCACCATACACTACTCAAGCATCGTCAATATTCATCACACCAGCTTAAGGTCTTACCATTCACCCCTGCTCTAAGTCACTGTTTGCATAAAGAAAGGCACAATATTTAGCAGCACGAATCTTCCTATTTCGTGGTGGTCGAAAACAGCCCCCATCTGCATGAACCAAAATTCTGGTTCCTCTGCATTGTATGCTGGAAACCTGGTAGATAAATCCATGACGAAGATCTAGATTGCGATTGTGATCATATCGCCTCTTTTTCTTCTGTCTTCTAGTTTTGGCATATTTAATGCCTCTGTCCTTTCCTCGTAGCTCTTGCCCTTCAGTTCTGGGAGCCACTTAGTAGCATGTCTTTGCACCTTTTCCAGTTTGTTGATGTGCTTCTAAGATATGGGCACAACACAACCGCTGTATATTTTAGCTTTGGCCTAACAAAAGTCGTGAACAATTTCTTTAGTATTTCGCCATCCATGTATTTAAAAGCAATTCTGAAGTTAGAACTGCAAACAAGGATGAATAGAATTGCAAACTTTTGTTGAAACGACTCACCCAGAGCAAGCTGTAGTAGGCCGTTGCTTTGACCATTTTAATGACAATGTGATGCCTCACTAGAGACAAGTGTTATAATGAAGGGAAAAACAATCCTCTATGGATCGTTTTTTAGTGAGAAAATCAAGCAGTGAGCCACAAGCAGGTCCTAGTGATATGCAAGCAAAACGTGCCAGTGTACCCCAGAGAAGTCATCACTGCCTGATGTTATAATAGAAGGGGACTCACCTTCCAAACACCAGTGTACCCCAGAGAAGTCATCACTGCCTGATGTTATAATAAAAGGGGACTCACCTTCCAAACACTAACACCTCTCCTCCTTCCCCTCACCGTCTTCCATACGCCAACAAGAGTCATCAGTAAGGGTAAGTAATAACTTGAACATACTTTAGTACTGAAGACTTGGGTGAATTAGATATAAAATTTACTTTGTAGTTAATTTTTGGGGGAGTGTGGAACGGATTAATTCATTTTACATTATTTCTTATGGGGAAATTCGTTTCAGTTTACGAATATTCAGCTTACAAGCCATCTCTCTGAACGGATTACATCTCTCTGAACGGATTAAATTTGTAAGCTGAGGTACCACTGTACTTCACATGACGGGATGCACAGTCTGAGCATAATTACTCACCCCATCAGATGAAGAGATGTGCAGCTGAAGGGTTAAGAGGAATCAACCTGTAAAGGAGAAATCCAAACCACTTGGAACAGGTGTCCCTGAAGGAGCAAAGTGACGACCTGACTACCAAGGATTGTAACCCTGACCCAAGTCCAGGGCAAAATAAAAAGCCAGGGTACATGCAATATAAGTGAAGCATAAATTTAACAAGAGTAAAAAACAATGACCACATGCAGAACTACCAATTTCTGGGACAGCTAATATCACTTCATTTAAAGTGTGGAGGCATGGGCAAGTTCAGACACAGTAGTGCATCCAGCCAGATACTAGGTCGTAAGCCTTTCAAATGACAGAAAATACTTTCCACAATAAAAATAGTTAATGATACAATTCTCAAACTATGTTAGGAGACAACCAAACCATCAAGAGATTAGAGACAATCTTAAGTCACTCAGTTCTTTGGGCCCTGGGTCAATAATACCCCATAGTCACTCACGGAGCCTGAATACTGTACAGAAATTCCCTCTTGAATGTACAGAATAGTTGCATGTCCATTGCAGTACAACCAATTTAAAGCAATGTCTGACTGTATTGTTAATTTAGAGTTTACAAATTTTGTTATCATTGGTTCATACCTTCATACATAAGTTGTTTAGTAGTACAACATTTTGAATGTAACAAATAACATTTTGCTTATGTTTAAAATAATTAGCATTGCAAATTTTGTCAAATATAAATTTCTCTGTTATTCAGTAGCCGGTTATTGTACCTACACTAACAGTACTGAAATTAATACAGTGCACAAATTTCTTCATGGGAGAAGGAATTATTTATAACATACAACAAAGCAAAATGAGCTTACCTTACATTCATGACCATTAACATTTTCACTTCGATCACTCCGCCAGCCCCATATGCCAGCTTTATCTCTGAAAACAAACAAAAAATGCAGATTATAACGAAATGCCTCTTTCTGGAAGAGGCCTGCTGCTCTCTAAAGCTATTTTGCCAAGATGGCTTCCCTTTACTGGATAACATCGGTCATAGTAATACTGCTAGGCCTATTACAGACTAGAGACAGAACCTAGGATTTTAATTCAAGTAGACAATATAGAGTACACAGCAAATCTCCAATCTAATGTTAATAGTCTTTCAATGGACCACAGATAATAATATGTTTATTGAAGACACATTCCAGCTCCTATGCAATGGAAAAAATTAATATCAAAACTGAAACCACACAAAACAGTCAAATCACACTAGAGAACCAAAAAACCAGCGTTGAATGTAATGAAATGCCATTTTCTGGGTGAGACCCGAAGGCTCCTCCAGAGCTATCCAGGCTGATATGTAAATCATTACACTTTGGCATCTGTCAGTGTTAATGGAGTTCTAGACCTATGGGGACCACAAGCTAGAGCCTGGCCCCCTCAGAGAGGCAAGAGGAGCAATGGCTAATAGAAATGCACATGGGATTTGTAGCATTCTATGTCTACCATCGAACGGCCAGGCACCCAGAGAGGTAAGCGCCTCAAAGCAAACCCCTATTTTGGTTAAACCGACTAAAATAGATCATCGAGTGACTGAACTCCTCAAACGAAAATGAGCAAACGAGCATTACGTCACATGAGCCACACTACATGTCTGCGCAGCTCCCCGCTCCCCAGGAGGGGGACGGGGAAGCCCCAAACCCAACACGCTGGCAATCCACCATCCAGTTCAAGACTTAATGTCAAAACACGTGAACAAAACGCCAACCGGGGGATGGGGGGGTTGCTGGGAAGCCTCTGGGTCTCACCCAGAAAATGGCGTTTCATTACATTCAACGCTGGTTTTCTAGGGGGAACCCCTTCAGCTTCCCAGAGCTACATCACCAAAGAGAAAAACTAGAGGGACTTACCCAGGAGGCGGTCGGTGCTCGCATCTCAACTCGAAGTCAAGGCAACACACTGCAACCGTCGACATAAAGCAACACAGGCCCGACTAGGCCCAGGAACATTAACGAGGTAGCATGCAGCCAGGATCCTGTTCGACCGCCAAAAACCCCGTGCCTGAATGTCAGCCCAGGACATGTTACCAAAGACGGCAGCAAGTGCAGCAAACTTACGAACATCATGGGAACAGGGATAGACCGCAGGCTGGCTAGACCGAATAACCCTGCAGACTATCTGAGAGGCCTGAACCCAAGAACAGGTTAGAAGAGAAACCAGATCAACCCAAAGCACGTCCCAAATCACAGAGGCCGTGGCGTGAAAATAACAGCGGAGAGCCGCAACCGGACACAACACATGATGCACCCCTCGCCTCACCAAACCAAGCATCAACAACCCAAGGATTCCTCCGGAAAGCAGCGGTCTCATTCTTTGGCAGAAATGAAGCAGACGACTGCAAACGAATGAACTGATCACCTCGACCAAAAGAGCAGAAGCCCTTGCGCTGGAGGAGAGCATGAAGCTCCCCGACCCAACCCCAGAGGCCAATGCCAACAAGAATGCTACTCAGCTGCCAATGCTGCTCAGACCTAGAACACAACAAGTGGAGGACAAGAGATGATCCTCCCAATCCTTTCTTTCCCTGGCCATGCAGCTCAGCTCAAGATAAAACTCCAGGAAGTATGGATATGGATGAGGGAAACTACAGTGAACATCCCTCCTAGGTAAAATTCCCACAAAACCTTCCCATGATCGCCTGGAGGCCAGGTAAGTCTATAAAGGACCACGTTGTTAAGAGCAGGTGTGCAGGCAGATCATCTCAACCAAACTGGGAAAGAAGACCAGCCCCAGGTTACAGGCCAAAGAAACGAAACCTACAGACCCTAACCTAACCTGACACAGGTTTGGAGTACGACCTGGATTGAGGCAGAGTATGCGGAATGGTTAGGAGGGGCCTACAAGTACAGGCAACATTGCAAAGGCAGGAAGAATGAGCATCGCCGTTCTCAATTCACAAACATTCTCACTTCACAAACTCTCACATGGTGAGAGCAGATTCGCTGGACCACCAAACCTGCAGGGGGTTTTCCAGGGTCTACAGGGAATGACACTGCAATAAGCCCAGGCACTGGGATTGCTATGCCAGAACCCTGGAATACGAAACAAGTTCCCCAAGAGGAGATGTGTCATTGTATCAAAATACGAATGGGATAGTTGTATGGACAATGAAACAGGTATAAGTAAGCCAACACAGCTCACCTGAGGTTGAGAAGGCCGACCTCAGCATGCCTTGGAAGATGCAAATGCAAACCCCAGTGCGCCACACCAGTCAAAATGTGACTCCTGAACCCCGGGAAGATAGAAAGCCAAAAAAAAAAAAATTAGCCCGGGTGAGGCCCAACACAAGCGAGGAAGCTTCCTAAAGGACCAAACTCCAAACAACTCGGGGAGGAGAACCCTGACAGTGCTAGCGAGCACACAAGGAAGAAAACCATATTCACATGCAGCTCCAAGTGCCCTATACACCTGGCTCATGCAGCACAAACATGCATTAGAACAGCCACAAAGGCAAAAACCACCTCTTAGCTGAAAAAGATCATAGGAGCTGGAGCAACAAAAGGCACCTCACACTGTCCATCAGCAAAGAACGAAGGATGCAGCAGCCGGCTGATCTGGTTGCCTTCCTCTTTCCCCCAAATAATAGGTGGTGGTGGGGCAAACAAGCTTGCACTAGTTTCATGAATTTTCAATCATTTGTTTGCATTGTTCGTAGTTCTTTTAGCGATTTTGAGGCATTGGTCTTCTTTCTAACCACCAGAGCTCTGTTTTATTTCACTGACTTTCTGGGTTCTTCCCTGGTGATGGTGGAGATTTTTAAAATTCAGACAGACAATTTTACCAGTGCCACTACTCTCTGCTCCTCTTTATAGAGGGGTCTAGGTTCTGGCTTATGGTCCCTAGTAGGCCTAAAAGAACTCCGTGACTGATGGCACCTCGTAGTTTAACAATATGTCAGCACTGTAGCTTCAAGGAGGCACAAAACACACCAGTGAAGTCCTCACTGCCTGATGTTATAATGCCTGGTGTTTCCCCCCCCCTCCTCAGAAAAACACCTGAGCCAAAGACCAAGATGGCTCATGAAGAACAGGTTAGAAGAGAGAACACACTAGAGATCTTATGAAACAGTGCCGGACCCGTATCAACACCAAACGCCAACAAAAGCGGCACCAACAAGGCAGAATGAAAAAGGGTGACAGCATATGGAATTAGATGCTCAACGACAAACAACCAAAGACAAAATAAAGACAATCACTGAAACATTGGGCAAATAACAGATGAATATACAAAAAACCAAGGAGACAAAAGGATCACCTTCCCCGCTCAAGTCTCTAGTCTAGACAACACCAGGAGAAACAGCAAAACCAGGAGGAAGAGATAATGGAAACCTCACCTTTACCAGCCCAATGAAAAGATACCCACTGTGAAAGACAGTTCCATATGACAAGAACAGGTCCACCTTGAGGCACCCGATCGCCTCGCAAAGCCATCAGAATGATACTGTATGTCACTAACCGTTAACTCCATGGAAATGGGCTGCAAATGAGACCATTAGCATACATGTCGGACACACCCAGGATGTAAACTGAGGAGAGAATTAAAGAAACCCTGAGAAATCAAAAGATGAGCAACACAAAGAGCCCAGCTCCAAAGAGGAAAGAACCGAACCACCCCCATTTCTCCCTCCCGCAATTCAGAAAAAAGAACCACAGAAGAGCAGTCAGAGAATGAAGTCTAGAGGGAGACTAATCTGTCATATTGTCTGCCACACTGCCACAAACTTGCAAATTGAACTGTGCACTCTAAAGAAGGACCTCACCCAATGACCCTTAGTCCTGGTCATTAGCTTCTGGCCCTGTTCTCTGACAGGCATTTGTGGTTTGTTAGAGCCTGGTGTGGTACTAAAGGTTTGGAAAGGTCCAAGTGAGTAGTTCGGGGAGCTACTGTGGGATCCACCATTAAGAATAGTTTCATTACATTCAACACTGGATTATATTAATTTTAACTTGTGTATATATATCAACGTGAACAATACCAACCTTTCGAAGCTTATTTTCTCAGTATCAATATATGTAATGGCTATGGGCGTAGTGAGCCTATGAGACAGCATCCCAGGGTGAGGTCGCATATATGAATGTGCCTGGTCTGGAGGCAGAGTTCGCATGTTTTCCATGTACACCTGAAAAGACCACATAATTTAGGAACAAAACTGAAGTTGATTCCAAATATTCTAATAACAAAATACAGTGATACCTCGGTTTAAGAGTTTAATCCGTTCCTGGAGACAGCTCGTATTCCGAAAACTCGTAATCCGAAACTAATTTCCCCATAAGAAATAATGGGAAATGAATTAATTCGTTCCTGACTACCCAAAAACCTCACTTCAAACTAAATTTTATACCTAATTCATCTAAATAAACCTACAAAACTATGTTCTAGTTATTACTTACCCTTGCTGACGACTGCTGTTGGCATATGGAAGATGGTGAGGAGGGGGGAGGAGGAGAGGTGTTACTGTTTGGAAAAGGGAGTCCCCTTCCATTATAACATCAGGCAGTGAGGACTTCACTGGTGTGCACATTCTGGTACGTTTTGCCTGCACACCCCTAGGACTAGCTCGTCTTATTAAGAATCTGTCTAAAGACACTTTTTTTTCCCTACATTTTAACACTTGTCTGTAGTAAGACATCACATTGTCATTTAAATAGTCAATGCAATGGCCTGCTACAGCTTTATCTGGGTGAGTTTTTTTCAACAAAACTTTGCAGTTCTTCCCATACTTCACACATTTTCTTAATGAAGAAGGGACATCCTCTCCTGCCTCTACTCACAACTATTTTCTTAGGCTGAACCTTACTTGGGACTTTCTTGGCTTTCTTGAGACCCATGGCGAGATATATAATAACAACTTTTATGCTCAAATGGCCAAAAAAACGACAAAACTGTAAATCCTTGTGAAGAATTCAGGCGGGATAGTCACTGGGCGCAAGGCACTGGTAAATTGAGGCGCGATCACCGTGCCACCACGCACAAGTGCCAGTATGCGTATCAACACCCTCGTCTTCCGAGGCAACCCTCGCCTTCCAAGGCAAATTTTCCGAGCAAATCCTGCTCGTATTCCGAAAAACTCGTATACAGGGACACCATATTCCGAGGTACCACTGTAGTCCATAAATTATAGATACCTAAATAACAAAAGCTACATAAATGAGGCTCAACCTAACAAAAGTTAAATATGCAGTGTTGAGGAAGACTGAAATGAGTGGCAATGGTAAAAATACCTTGAGTATCTAAGAATACCAAGGATTACACGAGAGGCACCAGTTTTCTCAAAAGTAACACAAAGTAACCAGCTCTCTTGAATGTCATATCCCAGTAAAGGTTAGTCTTTACATGTAAGTTCAGTGGTACCTAGTCAATACAAAAAAAAAAACAACCAGCGTTGAATGTAATGAAACACCATTTTCAAGGCGAGTCCCGGAGGCTCCCCGGAGCTATCCAGGCTGATAAGGATACTCTTTTGGCATCAGTCGATGTGGGTGGAGTTCGTAGGCCTACCAGTGACCACTGCCAGAACCTGGCCTCCTCAGAGAGGCACGAGGAGCAATGGCATATAGAAATGCACATGTGACTGTGAAGCATTCTATATCTGCCACCGACCAGGACAGGCATCCAGAAAGGTAAGCACCCCAAAACAAACCCCCTATTCTGCTGAAAAACGACAAAAGTAGACAAACAAGTGAACAGAACTCCCAAATGAAAAACGAGCAACCAAGCATGACGTCACACGAGCCGCACCGCACGTATGCGCAGCTCCACCCCCCCCTCCCCGAGAGGGGGAAGGAGGGAACCCCAGACCTCTGCGCCGGCGATCCACACCCCAGTTCTGAGGCTGGATATCAAAAGATGCATAAAAATGCCGACCAGAGGGAGGGAGGGTTGCTAGGGAGCCTCCAGGACTCGCCCAGAAAATGGCGTTTCATTACATTCAACGCTGGTTTTCTGAGGAGAGCCCCTACAGCTCCCCTGAGCTATTTCACCAGAGGAAAAGAAAGGGGACTTATCTGGGAGGCGGTCGCTTATAACAACTCGACTCAAAGTCGAGACAACTGGCTGCAACTGCCGACCAAAAGCGACATAGACCCGACTAGGCCCAGAAACATTCACAAGGTAGTGTGCAGCCACGACCCTGTTCGACTGCCAAAATCCCCGTGCCTGAATGTTAACCCAAGACATGTTATCAAAGACGGCAGACAGAGCAGCAAACTTACGAACGTCATGGGCATGGGGAAAGACCGCAGGCGGGCCAGACATAGAACCCTGCGGATGACCTGAGAGACCCGTACCCGCGAACAGGGAAGAAGGGAAACCAGATCAAAACCAGCGTCCCTAGACACAGAAGCCCTGGCGCAAAAAGAACAGCAGAGGGCCACAACCGGACACAAAACACAATGCTCCCCTGGCCTGACCAACCAAGCATCAACAACCAAAGGACCCCTCCGGAAATCAGCAGACACATTCCTCGCCAGAAAGGAGAGGAGACAGCTGCAATCGAACACCACAATTAAAAGAGTAGAAAACCCCTGTGCCGGAGAAGAGCACAAAGCTCCGCAACCCGACCCACAGAGGCCAATGCCAACAGGAAATAAGTCTCAGAAAAACAAACCTGAACCAAAGGGGCCATCAGCAACCGAGGAGAAGAGAGGTAGGAGAGAACTCTGCTCAAAGACCATACTGTATACTCATAATAAAAAATAAAAATAAAATAAATTAAGAAAAGAAAAAGACAAGCCACCGACCTCTGGGCAGAGAGCACCACGCCGGCCAGACGAAGAAGGCACCAAGAGAGCACAAAAACTGCACCAAAAGGCCCACCTCGACAACAAAACCCAAAGCCCCGGCAGGACCACAACACGTGCCAAGACCCAAAAAGATCAGCTTGCAAGCCAGGAAGACCCCAGAACTCCAGAAGGAAGCAACCTCCTAAATGAAACCAAAGAGCCCAAAGGAACCCGGAATCGAACCCAGCGGAGCCCAAACCACCACAATTGCTAGCATACATACACCACAGAAAGGGCGAAGCACAGCACCCTGACAGAACCTCCAGGGAAACGGCCAAAATGGACCGAAAATCGAGGGACAAGGTGTGGGAGCAAGCATAAACAGACAGAGAAACTGAGCCCAAACACCTGGGCCCAGACCCAAACACAGAAAACACAAAAACCGGTGTAAAAACCAACACCCAAGCGTTCCCAGAGGAACAGAAGAAGGGCAAAACACCCCAGAAAAAGCAAAGAATTGACAACAGGAGAATAAAAACCCCTGAAAGAGGTGAAAAAACTCACCCAAAATGCGAGCTTGCACACCCATTCACATGTAAAAAAAACGCAGCGCCGTCCTGGTGGCCAAGCGGGGAAACCCGCAGAAAGAAAATGGCCACCAGAAACAGGAAGTCGTGACCGATGCAATAGATCCGAAAACGCACCAGCAAATGTGGGAAGTAAGCAGACTAGATGGACAAAAAACCCCGCCCAGAAGCAGAAGACCCAAGCAGGGGCAAACGGCCCCAGAACCGCTAGCGGGTATTCCCCACAGCCCCGGGAACCTGCAACAGAGGCCCCAGTGCAGAGCCGTCCTCCACGCCCTCTGCCCTTAAAGAAAAGGAAGAGTCCAGGGAAAAGGCAGCAAAGAAAGGGCCACTGGTAAGACTCAGAAGCCTTGGCAGGAGGAACAGGCTCAAAAACCTCCATCTCCAACCCGAACGGGGCAGCCTCCGAAACCGCCCGAGTCTCTGCCCCAACTAAACCCCACCCCAACCCCAAAACCCGCAGACGGTCAGGAGCCAGGAACAGGGAGGGAAAGGGGCGAACAGCACCTAACCAAAATGGGTCGGCTCCCTGGGCATCCGAGTGGGAAACCAACCTAGCGCATTGCAGCAACCTAAACCGAGCTTGCAACGCGGATGTTGCCTGTACTCTGAACAGTAATGACATTAGGAGAGTACTGGAGAACAAGTGGAGAACAAAACTCGCAAGACTCCGGGTCAAGGTGTCAGTGACCCAACAGGCAGAACGACAAAGGTAAAAGTGGTAACTGTCACCAGGAGACAAGGGCACAACAACCAACGAACCCGCACAAGACGTGATGGAACTCTGAAGACGCATCCAAATGGTCCACCGAGCCCTGACAAGAGTTTTCCAGGGCACGTAGGCTGACTGCTATGGGAAGCCTGGGCAAGGTGTTGCTAACCGGTTAACACCCAAACTAACAAGGGGTAGATGCAACACTGAAAATCCCTGCAACGTGTATAATAACTGGGGCCTAGCAGAGGGCCACCAAACACTGCCAGTGGAACTATAGCCACACTAGGCAGACACCCACCAGGCAAATGAAAATAAAAACAAAAGAAAACCCCCACAAAAGTACACCGTCCCCGGAGTCAACAGGAACCGGTCACTGTGTAGGTGGCAGGTTGCGCAACACCTTGACGCCCTAACCAGCACAATACCAGTCCCTACCCAAGGCCAAACAAGCACCCAAGCCCCAGCTGGCCCCCAAGAGCAAGGCAAATGCCGAGTAGCAAGAACCTCTACGGGAATGGTTCCCGAATGCCCCAGGGAAGATAACCCTGTCACACAGGGGCAGGACGCACAGGGCGCTATGGGAAGGAAGCCCCTAAGCGCATGCAACCCCGGTTCTGATGAGGAACACCTGGTCACCGCACAACACAAAATAAAGCAGTGAGCACTACGAAGACAAACACTGCCTAGGAAACTGAGGCCAGAGAAGCGTCTGTCCCGGTTGACATTAGCTTACGAACCGGTGTTAGGCAGCCGACACGGTGAGGTCCGGGGCTCCCGCTCCCCCTCTTGGGGAGGGGAGGGTTGCGCGAACGAGCGGCACGGCAGTAAAGTGTGACGTTTAGTGTAACATCAGTAAAGTGATTGGCAGTAAAGTGTGAAAGTGTAAGTATATGGAGCACCACTTGGCAAATAAAATTTAATGTGAATAAATGCCCTGATATGGAATGTGGAATTGGAGAACATAGACCACACACAACCTATAAATTATGTAAGAAATCTTTAAAGAATTCTAACAAAGAAAGGGATCAAGGGATGGTTCTAGATAGAAAACTGTCACCTGAGGATCACATTAAGAATATTGTGCGAGGAGCCTATGCTACACTTTCTAACTTCAGAACTGGTTTTAAAAACTGTACATGGATGGAGAAATACTGAAGAAATTGTTCACGACTTTTGTTAGACCAAAGCTGGAATATGCAGTGGTTGTATGGTGCCCATATCTTAAGAAGCACATCAACAAACTGGAAAAGGTGCAAAGACATGCCACTAAGTGACTCCCATAACTGAAGGACAAGAGCTACGAGGAGAGGTTAGAGGCATTAAATATGCAAAAACTAGAAGACAGAAGAAAACGAGGCGATATGATCACTACGTACAAAATAGTAACAGGACTCGATAAAATTGATAGGGAAGAATTCCTAAGACCCGGAACTTCAAGAACAGGAGGTCACAGATTTAAACTAACGAAACAAAGCTGCCGAAGAAATATAAGAAAAATATATTCACTTTTGTAAACAGAGTGGTAGACGGTTGGAACAAGTTAGGTGAAAAGGTGGTGGAGGCCAAAACCATCAGTAATTTCAAAGCGTTATATGACAAAGAGTGCTGGGAAGACGGGACACCATGAACGTAGCTCTCATTCTGTAACTACACTTAGGTAATTACACGCTAGTAAGCCGACGGTGCCACCCAACTTAACACAATTCCTCCTACCAACATACTACAAATATCATTAATTCTATGCACAATGCTCCTATTACCAGAATCCTGGTCACTAAATCCTGAAAATGAATAATTTTCCACAAGTTTATTTTCTAAAGGAACATGAGCTGTAGTTTCAAGATGCTTAGACCCAACAAACAATGCCAGAGTGCTGTGGCTGTCTGTATTGCACTGTGATCATAATAAACAGCCTTGTGTCCACTGACATCTGAATACTGTACATAGTCTTCATCACAGTTAGGCTATTCTTTTATACTATTATTGAAAAGTAATTGCCACTACTTGCATATTTAGTCACTTTTAAGTGATGCTGTGGACACAAGCTGTTACTTCGTATCCTGCCTAGCATGCCCAACACATAGTACACCTAGTGGAGCAGTTAGCTCGTATCATATGATTGTGCTACCCATCACTGCTATCTCAGTACTGAGGCATAATCACCCATCAACGGAGTCTATGAATTTTTCTCAAAACTGCATCTGTTTATTGGAGGCCTGAGAAAACCAATGTGAACTCCGTATACCTGAAGGGAGTTTTAAATCTTTCGTAGAACTCTAAATCAACCTTGTATGAGTCACGCAGTGTGGTCAGGTCAGATGTTACGTGATCATTCCTGTATGACTCGGACAGTGAAAGTGTTAAGAATTTTGACAAATTTTATGTATAAACTTTACGGCAATATGACACATTGAAGTGAAAAATTAAAGCTGGTTATGCTACACTGAAATGTGGGTGTTTTTTATCCAGTTTCAAACAAAAGGAAGATCTACAGAAACACTCATTGTTATCTACTTTCCCTTGCAAATTTAAAATGTTTTAAAAATCAACCTCCAAAGAGATAATTTAGCCAATTTTGAAAGGTAACTTCTTTGTATCATTATATCCAAATGCAGAAAATTTTAAATAAATATGCTAAGATGTTCTCTACATATTGCAAAAAATCTGAATATTGTAAAAATTATAGCACATCCCAACTGAAAATAATACACAGTATAATAATATCACTACTACTAAAATTTACTGCTACTCACCTGTCCAGTTTCATGATCAACTTCCATCATCGTGGCTCCATCAGCTGCAAAAAAAAAAAAAAAAAAAAAAAAGTCAAGTCACACTCAAAACCAAACAAAATTATTGCCAGGTGAAAATTAATACTACTACTAGCCAGTATCATGCAAACACACAAAACCTTTACATTAAGTCATCATTTAACACACCATTCCATTCACAAAAATGTAAGAGAATCAATACAAATGTTCTTCTCCATTCAGCATACTCCTCACACAGTAAAGTACTACAGTGCCTATTTACTAGTACAGTACCAATTTATAATCACACTATCTGGCCTATGTAAAGCAAGGAACAATAGAAATTCTATTCCCTAATATCCTCAGGAGCTCTTCTAACCGTATGCACTGGACCTGTCAGGACAGTGGAAATCAACTAGGTTCAGTGACTAGTCCCCAACAAACCAATGTTGAATGTAATGAAAAGCATATTTCTGGGTGAACCCCAGTGGCTCCCTGATGCTACAATGCTGATATAGTACTAAATTACTAGGTACCATGAGTTGCAGAGTTCTTTCAGGCCTACTGGGTACCATGAACCAGAACCAGGTCCCCTCTGAAGAGGTGCAGAGAGCAGTGGCACTATGATATCTACACTTCTACACTTTTTGCATTTTGTCTATTATACAGGTACCTGTATAATAGACAAAATGCAAGATGCAAGAAGATTACAAATTCTTGAAGCAATTCAAATAAGAATAGAACAACCTACCATGAACACCCAAATCACGGAACTATTTACTCTACCCACCACGAGAGTAAGGACAAGACCAGAACATAACGATGCCAACACAGAAGACACTGTTCAACATAACAGGCCAATTACACCTGATTAGTCTTTGTATGTAGTGGGATTGGGTGATAATAGATATGAGCTGCCTCATATGGGCCAATAGACCTTCTGCAGTTACCTTTATTCTTATGTGCTTCGTCCCCTATTTATCCCCTATGTATCCCCCTTGTTTTTACCTTTATTGTACTTGTCTTATCACCTGACCCCGTACGGGTATAAATCAACGAGTTCTGTAATTTTTTTCACTTGAGAATGAACCATGGAGGTTCGAAACGTTATGCAAATTGAATAAATAAGTGTAATACATTCTATAGTAATTCACTTTTTATTCTTCACCTTGAAAATAATGAAAATGAGTTTTGGAGAACTCCTCTTTCAGCCAAGCCCTGATGCTAGGAAAATAGTTAGAGGGATAGAAGCCCTAAATCAGAAGATAGTAAATACTGAATATGCGGTCATATTCAATAAGACATGTTTAAATAGAGTATACTGTACTATATATCCAGTTACCGAAAAGATGAGTGGACAAGAACAGTCACAGATTATTTAACTTACAAATATTAGAGGGACAAGCAGAAAATAAATGTCAAATAAATTAATTATATTACTGTACTCAAATTCCTGAAAGCAAAGAAATGTTCATCACTATCCAATTTAAAGTACTTACCCTGCCCTTTAAAGATATAGCTCCGATTTCCACGCTGCCAACTTGTCTGGTCAAATCCAATAAGTGTTGTGTCAATTCGAACACATGATCCACTTTTGTATACTCTGTACGTGTCACTTGGACACATTCGTGAAACTAGCGGCACTGTAACAAATACCAAATGATATTTAAATAGTTTTACAAGATGAGAAATAAATAGTTACAAAGATTTCAATCATACAATATGAAATAACTTATATAATATTTAAATATTGAAGTAGATAATTTCTTTTACATTAACTAGCTATCTACTTCCCAGCTTATCTGAGTACCTATCCGTACATCAGCCATTACAGGCAAAACATCCCCCACAATAACATCTACTCTACACTTATTGCTTCTTTACACTTAGTATCAATCATTAGAGATTTCAAGAGATTTCAAGGAATTTCAAGGAATATTTTTGGAATTAGTAGAATCAGGAGGCATCCTCATTTAAAATATTGTACAGTACGTGTGTCTAAAATTTAGCCAAATTGTCCATACAATTCAGATGTATTTCAAAAGCAAGTGCCATAAACCAGATATATTTTAATAAAAACAACATCTTGTTCTAAGCTGCTGGCCATTTTAACCCAGTGAACTGAGCAGACAATCCACAAAATGTCACCCTTCTAATGTATATCATAACATAAATAACTAATACAAGCACAAACCTATCTGATGGCAGTCAGAGTTTTTCTACACTTAAGTAAGATGGGTTTCTACAATATACATTTATGATTTGACTTTCTGAGCTCTGAAGAGAATGGGTTGCTGGTCCTTTAACCCCTCAATTGTGCGTGGTGACCTGGGTTGTTTTACATCACTTCATCAATGGTACACAGTTACCATGGTCATTTTGGCCTCATGTAAGAGTCAAATTACACGAAGTTTACATTTCCATTCTCAGGCCTCCAGTAAACAGACACCATCTTGGAAAAAAATTGTGGGACCCCTCCTGGGTGAGAGGGGCCTCAGTACTGAGAGAATGACCAAAAGTAGCTCATGCAGCTGCAGCTTACAGCTCTGCTGTGCAGATTATGTCAACAACATCATTTAATAATGATGAAATAAGTAACAGATTATTTTTGTGAATGTGAACAGTGCAAAGAGCTAAACCTTGAGAACACAGCAGAGGAGAGAACCAGAGCAACCAGCTCCATTGTGGCATGGACCAAAATGGACTCCCCCCAACCTCACCAACAACAGCTTCCCCCCCCCCAAGCAATAATGGAATGATGAAGCAATAATGAAGCAATGATGAAAGCAATATCTCAGTCTCATCTTTTAATAATACTGTAAATATAAATATGTATTCTATAAAGTAAATATTAGTAACTCATTTGTAGGCTAGAAAACATCTGCTTTGATTGGCCTGTATTATAAATACTGTACAGTATTCAAATTTCTTTATACTGTTAATTGCTAACCAGATAATAAAAACCTCAAAAACAACTTACCCCAACTTGTAAATTCCCACTTCATTTCGACATAAAAATCTGGTGCCTGCAAAGAAAATCTCACTTAATATATAAAGCTTATAGAAGCATATTGTACAATATTATACTGTAATGCATAGTACTATACTGTAACAAACAATAATTTATTAATGTATAATACTCTATCTTCGATTATTAACAAGTTAAGAGTAGGGGGAGAGGGGAATACAAAGTGTTGGGTAAAAATGCAACATGAACAGAAAAGGAAAGAGTGGTGACTCGCAGTCGCTTGGCGACTGCGAGTCCGAAAGTCATCAGCCACCAAAGCAGCTGAAAGAGAGGGGTACCTGAGCATGCAACTGCACCAGACCAACATCACGGGGAGCAAAGATGCACTCAATGAAGAACTCAAAAGAGCCCCCTCAAGAACACCTGGAACACTGTGGTAACCTCCCACCACTCATGCATGCAGGTACGAGAAAAGCTGCTCCAAGTCCCAAGAGAAGGAGCAGTCTGCCAGCCAGGAAGACACCAGAACCTCGTAACACACCCTATAGTGGGAAGCAGAACCGAACTTAAAGGAGGTTGGAACCATCCCAGAAAGTAAACTGAGGCCCGCAGGAGGCAAGCGCTGAGCGCCTCCCGAACCTCTGCATGGAGCGTTATACAATAAAGAGTACTGGGAAGCCGGGACACCACAAGCGTAACTCTCATCCTGTAACTACACTTCAGTAATTATGGGAAATCCGAGAGGAAGAAAACCTCCGGATGAATGAATCCGAGGAGCCTAAATGCCCCCAGTAATGAACCTTAGGGGGGAGAGCCCCACCTGAACCAAACTCATCAAGGTGGAGGAGGGTACGAACCCCACACTCCTACAGAAAAAGGCCATGCGAAGAGGACACAAAGCCCAAACAGGGTCAAACGGAACCCAAGAGTTTCACACAGACCCCCCATTCCCCCAAGCCCCAGAAACCATCGCCAAAGGCCCCGGGGCAGAACCCTTATCCATGCCCACCACTTGAGAAGGAAAGGCAGAGTTCAGGTAAATGACTTAGAAGGAAATCAGCTTCTGGTTGGACCCAGAAACCTCAGCAGGAAGGAGAGGCTCAACTACCTCCGTACCCGTATCAGAAGCAGCATCCCCTGAAGTCACCGAGACTCATCCTAAGCTAACTCCGCCCCGACTCCGAAACCCTCAGACAGTAGGGAGCCGGTAGCAGGGAAGGGGGAGGAGGAGGAGAAAGGCAAACCACGCCCATCTTAGAAGGAAAATGGGGTGCAGACTGAACCAAGGGCGAAGCAACCAATGCCCCCAAATCCAAGTCCTGAAATTTTAAGAGGGAAAGATCCAAGCCTTCCAAACGAGCACCCAACCTGGAACATTGCAACACTGGGAAATGCCTATGCAATGCTGCTGCTGCCTAATCTCCACATAATATTAGAAGAGGGATGATTGGATTGGTGCACAAGCAGGGAACAATTCCCTCAAGACTCCGGGTCATAGGTGTCCCCGGCCAACAGACAGTATGGCAGAGGCAGATTAGGTGACCACCACCCTGAGGCAGGGGCGATGAGCAACCTTTGAATTTAGCACAAGGCGAGAGTGGACACAGAAGAGGTAGCCATAGTACAACCGAGCCCGCAGAGGTTTTCCAAGGTCTGTAGGGTGAATGAGCCCTACAGGAAGCCCAGGCACTGGGGCCAACTAAGCCAGTAAACTCTGTCGGTGCAGACAATTTGACTGCAAGCAGCTGCAGTAAAGTCTTGGAGGCAACAAAGAAGTACCATACCTTCACCCTAGGCATAGCCTAATGAGGTGAAAAGCAGAACTACGCTGCCAAAATAGGTGAAAGAACAAGCTGTGAAAGTACATTAAAATCCCCAAAACCCCGTAACCACCAATAAGCAGTCAGAGAGAATCTTCCACTCAGGAATCTGCAGTACACCAGTAGATTGTCAGTTGAGAGGCAAGACGAAAGAGCTGAAACTCAACCCCCACAACCTTAGTAACTTAAGTACTAATTACCTAAGTTGAGGACAACTAGGCGAGTACTCGTTGTGTGATAGATTAAAATCAGGCTGCACCAGCCAATAAACACTTCCCCCACCCAGCCAAGACGGAAAACCCAAAGCCCCGACGCACCCCAACACAAGCAAAGAAGTCCTCTAATGGGGAGTGAATCCCCAACACCTCAGGAAACATAACCCTGACCGCACAACCTAACTGACCACCACAGAACCAAGGGCAGTACTGTACTTATGGAGCACCTAGGGAAGGTGACCCTATGGGCATGTAGCTCCAGTACAGTACCTGAAAACTCCTGGAAACACACACACACACTTCTGTTTGTTAACACCACGGCAAGGGCAAAAACACAAAAGAAAACAGGAACACAGAGCCAGAGTAACAGCCACCACTTGGCACGACAACAGTTAAAGAACTGGTTGGTGGGCGGCCTGGCTCAACCGGACCAGCTTTCCATCCCCTTGCTGGGATGAGGGGTGGCGCTAATGTGCGAGGAGTTAATTGAACGAAGTCCAACTAACTTGTTTGTTTGTTTTCTTTGTGGAGGCGTTTATTTACTATTTTGAGGATGTAGGTCACAATTTTCAACCAGGTAGTAGTCTGTTTTGATTCGCCTACCTTTTTAAGTGCCTTCCCTGGTCGACAGCACAATGACATACTTTAAATATATAGTGTTCATGGGCTAATGCTCCCTGCACCTCTCTGAGGGGGTTAGGTTCTGGCTGTATACCCGGTAGGTATACCAAAGAACTCTACGACTAATGACAATCAAGTAGTATGGCACTTGATCAGTAAGATAGCGTCAGGGAGCCAACGGGGCTCTCCACAAAAAAATTGTTCAAGTCTTTTACGAGACCAAAATTGGAATACGCAGCAGTTGTACAGTGCCCATATCTCAAGAAGCACATCAACAAATTGGAAAAGGTGCAACGACATGCAACATACTGGTTACTGGAAATGAAAGACAAGAGCTACAAGAAGTTAGACAAAATAAATATGCCATAGCAAGAAGAGAAAAAAAGACAGTATGATCACTACATACAAAATAGTAATGGGAATCGACAAAACTGATAAAGAAGAATTCCTGAAATCTGAAACTTCATGAACAAGTTGTCATAGATTTAGGGTAACTAAACAAAGGTGCCTAAAAATACTAGTAAGAACACTTTTGCAAATACTGTAGAGTGGTAGACGGTTGGAACAATGTAAGTGAGGTGGTGGTGAAGAACAAAACTATCAGTAGTTTCAAAGCATTACATGACAGTGTGCTGGAAAGACAGGACACCACAAGCATAGCTCTCATGCTGTAACTACACTTGGGTAATTATACTTAGGGAATTACAGTACTCTGTAATAAAACAGAATATCCCCCAGCCATAGGGTCTTGCAAAGGAGCTAATAACTCGTGCACTGCTCAAGGTGAGGTTCTCCACCCCTGAGGCCTGTCCTCTAAGGAGCAAACTCTTGATCACAACAGAGAAGTAACTGTCACTGCAGGGGCAATGCTAAAAGGGCACTCAGGGAGGGGCTGCCCTGAACACATGCACCTTTTACAACAGATTAGATGAAGTCCATGCAAGAAGTGAGATTCTAAACACATGCCCATCAGCAAATACTAAAGAATGGGAATGATACACAAGAAAATGGCCACCACAGAACCAAGATAAAAAGGATGGCCATATTCCTGTCGTATACCTATCAATGACTCCAAGGATCAATGCCCCTGCAGCCCGGTCTCTGACCAGGCCTCCAGGTTGGTGATCAGGTCAACCAGATTTTCTGATGTGGCTGCTTGCAGTCTGACTTAAGAGTCACAGACAGGATGATATGGTGTCCTTTGAACATGTTTATCAAGTTCTTTTTTGAACACTGCAAGAGGTTGGTCAATTAAACCTTGTATGTGTAAAGTGTGTTGAGAAGTCATAGACCATTGATGTTTATCGAGTTCTCTCTCAGCATGCCTACTGCACCTCTGTTTTTAAATGGAGTTATTCTGCACAACTTGCCATGTCTTCTAGTCTCGTGTGGTGCAATTCCTGTGTGCAGATTTGAAACCAATCTTAGTATTTTCCAAATGTAAGTTATTATGTATCTCTCCCACCTGCACTCTAGGGAATACAGACCTAAAATTTTTAAACAGTCCCAATAATTTAGAGGTTCTATTGAGTGGATTCTAGAAGTAAAAGATCTTTGCAAGCTCTCCAGGTCAGCATTTTCTCCAGCTATGAATGGGACTGTTAGTGTGCAATAATATTCCACCCTAGAGAGCACTAGTGCCTTAACAAATATCAGAGGTATAGCATCTCTTGTTTGGAAGGTTCTTGTTATCCAACCTGTCATTTATCTTGCAGTTGTGACAGCAACTTTGTTGTATTCTTAAAAGGTAAGGTCTTGTAACATAACTCCTAAATCTTTTACATTGTTTTTCTTTCAATAGTGTGCTTTGACTTCATTTTGTATGTGGTTCCTGTTTTGATATTTTCATTTTGTCCATGGTGCAGTAACCGGAACTTATTCTTATTAAACATATTTTCTGTGGTCCATTGAAAGTCATGATTAGAGATTTGCTGTGTACTCAATATTGTCTACTCTCATGAAAATTCTAGTGTCACTGGAAAGTATGATACAGTTCTACAGTCACTTTATCTTTAAAATGAAGTGTCCCAGTGAATCGGGAAGGTCAGATTGCTCTGACATCAGCAACAGGACTGATTCAATGCTGGCCCAGAAGCAGGGAGCTCCCAGGGCACCGCCTACTGGTGGCTTTGCACATTAGGAGGTTTGAGCTAAGTGGCAATTGAACCATTTGGATTTGAGTTTATCATCTGACGGTTAGCTGTTTCGGTCCATGATTTTAGGTGAACCTTTTAGTCATTTGTATTGCTTTTCCGATTTCTTGTTTACTTTTGTTTTTTCTCCTTCCCCTAGTAGATTGTTAACGTAACAATCCCCAGCTCTCTATGCTTCTGTGAGAGGCAACGTTCTGGCTCTGGTAGGCCAACACTTATCCTATGGCTGATGTGACTCAGTAGGGGAAGCCATCTCAAAGATAGCTTCAGAGAGCCACCGAGTGAGTCTCCAGAATATTTGAGTAACACATGGCTAGTGCGAAAGTGGCAAGAACCACTGATGAACATGACTCCAATGAACAGTTTTCAATCACTATCATAGTTTTGACCATTATCAAAATATGTTACTATTGGATGCAAAACTTTTAAGTATTAAATATTTTCCTGCAATATAGAACCCTTTACAATGTTACAATGCTGTAGCAAAGTAAGAACAAAGTAATATGATTTACCTCTTTTAGTTTTGCCAAAAGACTAGGGATACCAGCTACACGCGAGGAATAACGCTGCATGTCGCGCCCTTCCAGAATAATGCCAAGAAGCTCTGGGTCACCTGTTGCTGTGGCCTCCTGCAAAACTAACACAAATCCTAAATAAGTAGGCTTATTATTCCCAGCAATTCAGTATTCTAGGCTGATGCTAGTACTGGTAACTAATTATTCAGGATATTTAGATTATAATTGAACCAAAATATAAAAAAAAAAGTACTGAACATAATGAATCGCCCATTTCTTGGCGAACCCCGGTGGCTACCTGAAGCTACAATACAATGAGATGGTACTGCCCCAGTGACACCCTGATGCTTCAATACTATGGTACTATGTTGCATCACCTATAAAGTTCTATAGGCCTACCGAGAACCAGCACCAAAACCTGGCTTCTTCATAGAGGTGCAGAGAGCAGTGACCTACTTTTGCCACATCACTGGAAAAGGCAACCACAAAGAGTCAAAACAAACTATTGCTGCACAAGATAGCTCGCAAAACAGAGCCAAGGTATTATTGACCCCAAACCAAACTGTAGCAGTTCTGTCAGCACCGCACAACACACTTTGTGAGGTCTTTGAGACACTGCATACAAACTATGCAGTAACTGCATAGGTGAGGTACCATAGGTACCACCCAGTGGCGGCCTGGGGCTACCACCCAGTGGTGGCCTGGCGCTACCACCCAGTGGTGGCCTGGGGCTACCACCCAGTGGTGGCCTGGGGCTACCACCCAGTGGTGGCCTGGCGCTACCACCCAGTGGTGGCCTGGGGCTACCACGCAGTGGTGGCCTGGGGCTACCACCCAGTGGTGGCCTGGGGCTACCACCCATTGGTGGCCTGGGGCTACCACCCAGTGGTGGCCTGGGGCTACCACCCTGTGGTGGCCTGGTGCTACCACCCAGTGGTGGCCTGGGGCTACCACCCAGTGGTGGCCTGGCACTACCATCCAGTGGTGGCCTGGGGCTACCACCCAGTGGTGGCCTGGGGCTACCACCCAGTGGTGGCCTGGCACTACCACCCAGTGGTGGCCTGGGGCTACCACCCAGTGGTGGCCTGGTGCTACCACCCAGTGGTGGCCTGGGGCTACCACCCAGTGGCGGCCTGGGGCTACCACCCAGTGGTGGCCTGGCACTACCACCCAGTGGTGGCCTGGTGCTACCACCCAGTGGTGGCCTGTCGCTACCACCCAGTGGCGGCCTGGGGCTACCACCCAGTGGTGGCCTGGCACTACCACCCAGTGGTGGCCTGGCACTACCACCCAGTGGTGGCCTGGCACAACCACCCGGTAGTGGCCTGGCACTACCACCCAGTGGTGGCCTGGTGCTACCACCCAGTGGTGGCCTGGGGCTACCACCCAGTGGTGGCCTGGCACTACCACTCAGTGGTGGCCTGGGGCTACCACCCAGTGGTGGCCTGGGGCTACCACCCAGTGGTGGCCTGGCACTACCACCCAGTGGTGGCCTGGGGCTACCACCCAGTGGTGGCCTGGGGCTACCACCCAGTGGCGGCCTGGGGCAAGAGTTTTTACCCATTGCCAACTACTGTTTGCCTTGCTTCAATAATTTCATTCTTTTCTCATAGAGCTGTTATTTGATTTGTTTTATAATGACCAACTTTCCTCCAGTAGGCCTCAAAAGTCGTGAAAAGACTAAATGAAGAAGATATAGTCCTGTAATTTTAAAGACATACCTCTAGGTAGCCAATGTGGAGGGCAATACAGAAAATATTTAGCACAGCAATGAAAGATTACAACACAGTAAAAATGTAAATTACTGAACATGCAGGAGCTTATGTTATCATCATAAGGGAAAGAAGATAATTTATGAAAAATTCTCACTTACCTGTCCAACCATCATTATTCTCAACATTAACATTACAGTGGTAGCGTAGCAGTGATCTAGTTGATTCTAAGTGACCCAGGGTAACAGCTAACATAAGGGGAGTTCGTCCTCGAGGATCACGTAGTTCTTTGCTGTACTGAAAAGTTATAAATGAAATAAAAATATTTCATAAACATTCTGTGTACTGTATAATAAAGAAACATTTTAATAATTTTCATCCCCCTATTGCAGTGTCAGGAACATGCAAGGAATAGGTACTTTATTCTATCATCTGAATAACTGAATAATACAGAAGCATAAGGATGTAATGACAAAATTAATGAAGCTGATGTGTGTCTGTAAGCTAACTGTACTGTACTGTGTATGGTACACACTCCCTGTATCCTCATCATTTGTGTCACTATCACTCATATCCGATACTTGTGTAAGTCTTGTATTGGGCTTTGGGTTGTCACCATTACTGTCACGGTCCTCTTGAAACAATACGTCCTGAATTTCATCTTCAGACAGTGGTTTTTTTAACCGCGCAACCCGCAGGAGAATAAGAGCTTGAAGTGTGTCCTTTGGCCATGGCTGCTCAATCAAAACTGAGCCTACCTTCAGCCGTGGAGCATGCTGGGATTTTTTTACAAAATGGCCAACACTCTCTGGAAGTCTCAAGCCTCCATCTGATACCCAACTAACTGCATATGAGCTTTGAATCCTACAATATACAGTACTGTACTAACATTCATGATATGTAGAGTGGTGCACCGTTATTTCCCATAATATCACAGATAGCGCAGTGCAGCGGTTAAATATTAAACAAATATATATCTAAAAATATTGTTCTAGAGTGAAGTTGACTCTGACTTGACAACAGTGAAGTTGACTTTCCCCTTAAAAAGTTAAGAGGGCTGGAAAGTCACATAGAAAGAAGATAAAGCACTAGAAAGAACTTGAAAGAGCAGGTAATGACCTCAACTTGGCATGAGCGGTCAAAATCAACTTTCCAAATTCTCATCAAAATATAAGGACTGAGAATCCACCTCTATGCCAGAGACAGCTGATGTCTGGACCTGCCTGAAACGAGTCATGTAGGCCTATAAGTTAGCAGTCGCTAAGCCACTAACTGCAAAAAAAGAGCCTTGACCAAATAAAAAGGTTCAACACTAGACCCAACAGGCACAATGCTAGAGACAACAAACACGCTCACCAGTGTTGAATGTAATGAAATGCCATTTTCTGGGTGAGACCCAGAGGCTCCCTGGAGCTATAGGACTGATATGCACTATATTAGTCTGGGGCTTCAGTCAGTGGAATTCCGCCTACCCATGAGCCAGAACCTGGCCCACTCAGCGAGGTGCAAGGTGTTTAATACTTCATTACATGTAATGAAGTATTAAACACCAAAATGTGTCCTACTACTGGCATGCGAGATAGTTGCGAGGAGCCTGGCATTTTCACTCTTGTCTTGTATATCTTTGGGTTAAGCTGAAAGGAGCTAGAAATGGGCAATATAACTACTGTTAAGTAACTATCAAAACTTCAGCCACCAACATTTTGGTTAATATTGCATTAGGTATAGAATATAGTCTAGATTCAGATGCCATATGCACTTCTAAAACACAATATGATTTTTAAATAAATCATGAATAGAGGCAGTTCTGACTATCTGGAACATCAATACTGTAGCTAAGTGGAAGAGGAGTAACAGTTTTGCCCACAGTAGAAATGCTAAGGTAAACTTAAAACATTAGTCCTAGTCTATAGAAACCTATAAATTAAGACACCATTCCCATACCTTAAGTGATCAAGGTGGATTATAATGTATTCAGTACAGAATAAGAAATAAGCTATAGACAGAAATGGGGAATATGGTGGTCCTCAGACATCCATGCTCCCTGAATTGAGGGAATGATCAGGAAAAACCCTTCACAGGGAACATTAACTTATCACACTACTATTTAAAATGTCAGTAAATTAATCACCAACCAAATCTATTTACATTAAATAATCTCCACACACCTTGCCTTTACTCAGCTCTGTTTCTAATCTTCGGTAGTCGTTATGCCAAACAAGCCAATGGAGAGGGTAACAGTCTTGCCCACCTTTGGTCTCAGAGTTACAGTCAAACCCTAGATGCTGGTTCCCAGCCTCTTTTCTAACTTGGTCTGCTGCCATCATTGGTGACTCTGTACAAACCCTTGGCTCTGCATCATTTTCTGCTCTAACTTGTTTTTTTTCATTCTCCTTGACTCCAGGAGGAACTCTTTTTACACTTTTATCTTCATCAGCTGGTGAGGCACCATTGACTGTATCTTCTCTACTTTTGCAATTACTCATTTTACAATCTTCTGCCATTAGAAGCCTTGTGCACTGCAACCTGAAATTTTTTAAATGGTTTAATAAAAACAAAGGCTTTTCATTAAAGAAATATTCAAGGAAACAAAAAAAAAATTGAAAAAAAATTGATAGCTGAATGATTCTGATTTGAAGTCCAAACAATTTACTTGTATATAATGTAAATACTGTATTGTCACTTAAGATAATTCCTAATCCATTGTTTGAAATGCCTCTTGTGCTGCAACAACTGTAATGTAACTAGGAATACATATAACAAGTGTGGTAGTCAAAACACTAGAAACAATAGTTGAAGCCAAATGGGTTGAACATCTACAGAGAAATGACATAATAATGGACAGAGTATGGTTTTTGAACAGGAAGATACTGTGTAACAAATCTACAGTACTTTGTTTTTATGATAGAGCTAAAGATACTACAGGAAAGAGGTGGTTGGGTTGACTGTATCTGGACCTAAAAGGCTTTTGACAGCCTCCCTCACATGAGGCTGTTCTGGAAACTGAAACATACTGGAGGGGTAACAGAGAAGGGAGTGCTTGGAGCATTAAGTGCCAAATGGAATTAAATGTGAATAATGGCATGTTTTGGAATGTTGAATCAGAAAAAATAGAAAAGCACACAACTTACAAATTACTGTATGTAAAAAGGAATTACAGAACTCTAATAAAGAAAGAGACCTAGGAGGGTGAGTTTTGGATAGTAAGCTGTTGCCAGAGGAACACAAAGAACATTGTGAGAGGAGCATATGCATCTCTTTCCTACTTCAGACTTGCTTTTAATTATATGGATGGTGAAAAACTAAAGAAACTGTTCATGACTTTGGCGAGACCAAAATTGGAATATACAGCAGTTGTATGGTGCCCAAATCTCAAGAAGCACATAAACACACTGGAAAAGGTGCAATGGCATGCTACAAAATGGCTTTTTTAACTGAAAAACAAGAATTATGAGGAGAGACTAGAGGTGTTTAACATGCCAAAACTAGAACATAGAAGAAAAAGAGGTGATGTGATCACCACTTACAAAATACTACAGTGTAACAGGAATTGACCAAATTGACAAAATAGGAATTCCTGAAACAAACAAGTTCACGAACAAGAGGACAAAGATTCAAACTAAGAAAACAAAGGTGCTGGAAAAATACTAGAAAGTTTTCTTTTGCAAACAGAGTGGTAGACGGTTAGTGGAGGCCAAAACCGTCGGTAATTTCAAAGCGTTATACAACAAAGAGTACTGGGAAGATGGGACATCACGAGCGTAGCTCTCATCCTGTAACTACACTTAGGTAATTACTAAAACACCAGAGTAACAGTCAGCAATATATATATTAACATAAATTACAGTGTGGTAACAAGTCCTGTGGCACAGTCAATTTACAACTAAATAGTCCCAGGTTCGATTCTCATGGCAGGAAAGAAATATTTGATATTTTCTTTCACCTGAAGCCTTTTTCACCAAAAGCCCAGGAATCGGCCAACTTTTATAGGATATATCTTGGGAAAGGTCAGTAGTTGACCTAGGGTAGGGGTGGTGAACCTTTATTAGAGCATGTACCCAATTTGGCAATAATCTTCTAATAAATTAACATGTGTGTCCATGGGAGTTTTGAGCCACAGATTATAATTTATCAATATTTACATTTTATAATTTTTATGGCAAAAGAGAAGAAAATGGTTGAAAGCATTCTTAATGATGTCTGTTTAGGCAACCAACAACTCTGCTGAATTGTCTGAAACGGTACAGCTTTAGGAATTATGTGATTAATAACTAGTAACTATAGTAAAATTAATTAATTTGTATTAATAATAAAACATTTTTTAGGAAATGAAAAGTGATCTTGCTTATTTACGTGCACTGTACAGGTATATATATTTACTGTTTTACTATTACATGTAATTAAAAAAAGTATAACAGATTGAAATAAATGAAAACTTTTTAGAAAAACCAATAAAAAATTAATATTTTTAATAAGTGAAAAATATAAATAAATTTGATTTTACTTTATAAGCAACAAGAAATGTAAATGTGAAATGTATTTATTTATTTATATACAAGAAGGTACATTGGGTTTGTGAGGATACATGACATGGTGTTAACATTCTTGTAAAGCCACTAGTACGTGCAGCGTTTCGGGCAGGTCCTTAATCTAACATATAATTTTAAGTAGGTAAAGTCTAGCAAAATTTAAAAGTGATAACAGGAAAATTACAAGAAAAAAAATGTGATGAGAGAGATTAGTAGGAATATTAGAACATATCGGTAGCTCTGATTGATTGCATTGACAGCTTGATAGGTAATTTAACAAAGATTAATAAGCACAATACAGCATATTGATAGCACATATAAGAAGACAGCAATGATCGCAATGGTAAAAATGTTTGGATTAGGTACATAAAGATTGGATGATTGGGTAGCACTAGAACAGTGCAATTTTAAAGCACAAGGTATGACACTATGAAGATGAAATAAGGTACTTTTCGGTTTTGGTTTTGAATGAGGCAAAAGTTGGACAGCTTTTCAATTCATTAGGGAGTGAGTTCTATAAACTAGGTCCCTTTATTTGCATAGAGTATTTACACATTAAGTTTGACTCTGGGGATATCAAAGAGATATTTATTTCTGGTGTGGTGATAATGGGTCCTATTACATCTGTCCAGGGAGAGTTTCAGAGCAGGGTTTGCATTTAAGAACAGGGTTTTGTAAATGTAATTGACACAAGAGAATGTGTGGAGTGAGTTCATGTTTAGCATGTTAAGAGATTTAAACAGGGTGGTTTGCAGTAGTTGAACCCCATGCACAGATACCATAATTAAGATAGGAATAGATTAGTGCATAATATAGTGAGAGGAGAGCAGAGTTAGGTACATAATATCTGATTTTGGAGAGTATACCAACTGTTTTAGAGACTTTCTGAGTTATGTGTTGTATGTGGGAGCTGAAGTTAAGTCTATTGTTTAGGAATATACTGTACCAAGAAACTTTCCATCATTTTTATTACTGATGTTAACATCATCTATCTGAAGCTGAATTACATTTGTTGATTTGATTCCAAATAAGATGTAGTAGGCCTTTTCTATGTTTAGTGTTAGTTTGTTGGTTGACATCCATAAGTGGACTTTTTTAATTCATTATTCACAACATTATTTAATGATTGTGGGTTGGGGTCTGAGTAGATGAGGGTAATATCAGCAAACTATATAGGTTTAAGAATGTTAGAGACATTAGGCAGATCATTGATGTATATAAGAAATAGGAGAGGTCCCAAGATGCTGCCTTGTGGCACTCCAACGGTTATTGGAAGGGTGGGAGAGGTTATATCATTGATGGCTACATATTGGTGTCTATCACTAAGATAGGATCGGATATAGTCCAGGGCAAGGCCTCGGATTCCATAATGATGGAGTTTAAGTAAGAGGTAGTTATGATTAACAGTATCAAAGGCCTTTCTCAGGTCAATGAAGAGTCCAATAGGAAACTCATTTTTGTCAAGGGCTGAGTAGATTATATCAAGGAGACTAATAATTGCATCATTGGTACTCTTTTTGGGAGCGGAAGCCAAACTGACGGGCTGAGTATGTTGAATTTTGCAATATAGGAGTTATTAGCTTTGGTTCATATTACTGTATAAAATCATTGAATTAAAAGAAAGGAAAATAAGATTATTTCGCTCTCGGTGAGACTGTTTGCTCATGCACCATCGCTAACAGATGGTTTATATCAGGCTTGTATTTGGCTGTTTTGAGTGCTAGTTTCATAAATGTCTACTCCTATAATTAAACTTGACAAAGTTCTGAAAACAATGACTTGCAAGAATATGTTGAAGAAAATACAGTGTATCCTCACTTGAATTAACTACATGGGGCTATGAATGCCTTGTTTTCACTTGAATTTCAAGATCTTTCATGTGTTTTAAGCACAACAATATACTGTATATGGCTTTTAACAAACAGAAAACGAGCTTTGTCGTACCATCTCATGTCCGAAACGATCATACCCAGCTCCTTTTGGCCGATCTGATTTATTGGGTGGCTGAATTTAATGCCCTTTTACATAGCTCATAATCAATGATGTCCATTGTGGATCTGTACCTTCTTCAGAGGTCCTGCTTAGTTATCAAAACTCTCTTTACTGTGTTATGCAACTATTTTCTTTCTCCTTTTTGGCACATATTTGTGACAGAGTTCAGTAATGATGACCTTGAAATTTCCCCATGATGCTTCCATGCTATGGTCACCTACCACAAGACAATTTGCCAGTCGATTTGAAAATCTACCTAAACTAACCAAACTGAATCTAACCCAACAAACCCTGACACATCCTATAAACCTAATACGGTTTTGTATGTATTCGTATACATATGGTTTCAACAATCGAAAACCGCGCCTTGTCAAATAGCCCGTGTATGATTTGACCCACCACCCCACCCCACAAGAAAGTGCAGCATTCTCTCTAACATGCATCAAACACTTGTAATTCACTATAATTTCAACACTGCTTAATAACACTAAATAACACTAAATTTAATGAACAACATATACAGTATTTTCCCTATTTAATGTGAGCTGTCAATTCTGAGCTGAAGTGGGAAGTGATTCAGCCACTAATATCAACCTACAAGAGAACTTAAATATATATGATACTAAACAGTTTCATGAGCAGGTATAACAAGAGTACACAGTATGTAGGAAATTCTTCACATAAACGAAGCAATTAGTGTAATAAATCAAACAAGTGTTGGTGGGTCAATACAGGGATCTCCAAAACATTAAAATACAAACTGGTTCCTATGAACATAATCATGGTTTCTTAAACATACATGAGTTATGTTTAACTTGTTTAACATAATATGTTTAACATAAATATTCAGAGAATAACATAATTAGTGAGAGGAGGTTGTGGTCTGCAGCAGGAGCGTGTAGAGTGACAAGCAGAGGCCCTCACCTGGCACACGTGACCTCTAGTGCCCTCACGCTGCCTCACACGTCATGTGACTGGCGGCGCAGGTGAGGGGCGAGGTGTGGGGAGAGGTGGCGAGGTATGAGGCCAGTTGGTGAGGGGCTGGTGTAAGGGGGCGGCGCTCACAACAAAATCAAATGTTTATTCAGGAAAAGTACATACATAGAGGATTTACAAACATAATGTTGGATTTATAGATAGAGCTAGTACATACAATACCTAAAGCCACTAGTACGCATAGCGTTTCGGGCAAGGTGAGGTGGGGAAAAAAACACTTAGACTAAAACTTAATAGTAATTGAGCTTAAAGTATAAATTGCGTTGAAAGAAAAAATAAAAGATAAAAAAGGGGGGGGGGGACATGGTAGAAAATAGCCAATATACAAGTTGGTCAACAAACAGCATTGTTTAAAAATAGTAAGACATGGGTTGACATTTAGGGGTAAGGTAGGTTACATGGAGTTAATTAGGTAGTACTTAGTTTTCATCTTAAACTGGTTGAGAGAGGTACAGCCTTTGACATGATTGGGAAGGTCATTCCACATTCTGGGTCCCTTGATTTGTAGAGCATTTCTAGTTTGATTAAGTCGTACTCTTGGAATATCAAATAGGTATTTGTTTCTGGTGTGGTGCCCATGGGTTCTGTTACAACCTTCTAAGAAGCTTTTAAGGTCAGGATTGACATTACAATTCAGAGTTTTAAATATATAGAGTACACATGAGAGGATGTGCAGTGACTTAATATCTAACATATTCAGAGATTTGAGTAAGGGTACCGAGTGCTGTCTGGGGCCAGAGTTAGATATTGTTCTAATAGAAGCTTTGTGTTGGGTAATTAGAGGACGTAAATGATTTTGGGTAGTAGAACCCCAAGCACAAATACCATAGTTGAGATAAGGATAGATGAGAGAGTAATAGAGCGTCACCAGGGCAGGGCGAGGAATATAATATCTGATCTTAGAAAGAATGCCAACAGTTTTAGAAACTTTTTTTGTTATATTTAGAATGTGTCCCTAGAAATTCAGCTTGTTATCGATGAGGACACCAAGGAGTTTACCATCAACTTTACTACTGATTTGTATATTGTTAATTTTTAGATTAATTTCATTTCAGGATTTATTACCAAACACAATATAGAAAGTTTTGTCAATGTTAAGAGTGAGTTTGTTAGCAGTTAGCCAAAGATGGACTTTATTTAGTTCAGTATTCACAGTGACATTTAGAGCAAGCGAGTCAGGACTGGAGAAAATGAAAGTTGTTTCATCAGCAAATAAGATTGGTTTGAGGTGTTGAGAGGCATTTGGGAGGTCATTAATGTAGATGAGAAAGAGGAGAGGGCCCAGTATGCATCCCTCTGGAACACCAATGTTTATGGGTAGTGTAGGAGAAATGGAATTATTCACAAAAACATACTGGAGCCTGTCAGTAAAGTAAGACTGCAGGTATTGCAGGGAGTGACCTCTGACTCCATAATGATGTAATTTAAGAAGAAGGTTTTGGTGGCTGATGGTGCAGGGTGTGGTAATGGTGGTGGGGGCTGATGGTACACCTGCAGCAGTAGGGGAAACAGACAGTAGCACCAGCAGTGACAGGACGACAGGTGAGGCGACCTCAGAGGTAGCGCTGTTGGTTCTCTCCGCTTCTCTCACACCTTCCGATAATCAGGTTAATACTTTATCTTAACTTGTTTAACTTGTGTTGTATAGCATGTAGCAATATTGTTTTGCGTCAGCAAACTGCACCTGATGCCAGTGTAATTGTGCTTGAGAACCCAGAGATGAAAGAAGCAATCAGATGTGAGGGCTGCATACTGGTGTACCATAGCGTCTCAATATCTCACGCCCCCTGTGTGATGCCTATGGTAAAGAGGAAATCGAAGGCAAAGGCGTCTTTCACCTCTATTGCATCCCACGCAATGACAAGCTCAGTTAACTTACGAGTACCAGGGGGAATAATAAGGTAACAATAGATGGGTGCATAGTGGTAAAAATATCTGACAGATAAAATAATTGACAAAAAAATAAAGGCATTCCAAGAGGATCTCAAGGTAATAAATGAGCTACAGGAGGCGCAGAAGGCATTGATGAAAGAATGGTCCTTAAACAGTCAATAAATAATACTCGCCTAGGCAGGCTTCCCGTGGTCTGCGTTTGAATATAAGTTCTGTTTATTATTTTATTTTACTATATTATATTATATTTTATTTTTTTATTTTATTTTATTTCATTTTATTTTATTGTTTATTTTGTTTTATTTATGCATATTCTGCTTTTTAATGCAGAACTTCCACCATAGAAGTGCCCCCTTGTTAAATTGTGTAAAGCCTAACCTGTACTGTGAAGACTTACATGTCACTATTGACCTGAAACGTATTTTCCTTTAATATTTTCTCTGTATTCATGTGCCGCCACTGCTGTTTACAGATAGAGTTGAATGCATTTTGATATGCTCTAAGATACCAATCACGCACCACTATCCGTCAGCCACTGTAGTCGACTCTCGCAGCTCTCGTGAGCCTGGAGTCGTGAATTTACAATGGTTGTTGTTCATCGTCAGTTTACAATTCACATTAATTTTTGCTGGCTGCCAAATCATCCAAAAAATGATTTGGCAGAAATGACGTTGCTTTATTGACAAGCAACTATCTCTGGCTTGTGATTCAGTTCATGTTATAGAGACACCGTTCTCTGTGAACCGTACTCTCTGTGAACCGTTTTCTGTGATGACTAGGAACACCTACCTGGCAAGTGACGCAGTGGTAGTGAACCAGAGAGTACAAATGAATGAGAGAGAGAGAGAGAGAGCGAGAGAGCGAGGGAGAGAGAGAGAGAGAGAGAGAGAGAGAGAGAGAGAGAGAGAGAGAGAGAGAGAGAGAGAGAGAGAGAGAGAGAGAGAGAGAGAGAGAGAGAGAGAGAGAGAGAGAGAGAGAGAGAGAGAGAGAGAGAGAGAGAGAGAGAGAGAGAGAGAGAGAGAGAGAGAGAGAGAGAGAGAGAGAGAGAGAGAGAGAGAGAGAGAGAGAGAGAGAGAGAGAGAGAGAGAGAGAGAGAGAGAGAGAGAGAGAGAGAGAGAGAGAGAGAGAGAGAGAGAGAGAGAGAGAGAGAGAGAGAGAGAGAGAGAGCGAGAGAGCGAGAGAGAGAGAGAGAGAGAGAGAGAGAGAGAGAGAGAGAGAGAGAGAGAGAGAGAGAGAGAGAGAGAGCGAGAGAGCGAGAGAGCGAGAGAGAGAGAGAGAGAGAGAGAGAGAGAGAGAGAGAGAGAGAGAGAGAGAGAGAGAGAGAGGGGGACGGACGGACGGACGGACGGACGACAGACAGACAGACAGACAGACAGACAGACAGACAGACAGACAGACAGACAGACAGACAGACACAGACGTGACTTATTGTAGCAGGTGTTCTGTGGTTAATGTTCACCCCATCACACACACGCTAAACACACACACACACACACACACACACACACACACACAAATTGTTGCATAGCCACATTAGGAGAAAAACAACAGTAAAGGAACAGGTTATGAGATTAAGGATATGGGCGGAAGGATTCACTACAAATGACAAGGAAGTGTGTGAGGAATTGAATAAGAAATTCCAGGAGGTCTTCACCTTAGAACAAGGAGAATTCCAGAGGTAAGTGAGGGAATAGCTAACCAGGAACCACTGGAAGAGTTTGAGATTACCAGTGGGGAAGTAAGGAAGTGTTTACTAGAGTTGGACGTGACGAAGGCTATAGGCCCAGATGGAATCTCCCCTTGGGTTCTAAAGGAAGGAGCAAGAGAACTGAGCCTACCACTCTCCATAGTGTATAACAAATCACTGGCAACAGGGGAACTGCCAGATACTTGGAAAGCAGCTAACGTAGTCCCGATATACAAGAAAGGGGATAGACAGGAGGCACTGAACTACAGGCCAGTGTCCCTAACCTGCATACCATGCAAGCTGATGGAGAAGATTGTGCGAAAAAAACTAGTGGAGCATCTGGAGCGAAGGAACTTTGTAACACAGCATCAACATGGGTTCAGGGATGGCAGGTCCTGCCTCACAGGGTTACTTGAATTCTACGACCAGGCAACAAAAATAAGGCAAGAAAGAGAAGGGTGGGCAGACTGCATATTTTTGGATTGTCAGAAAGCCTTTGATACAGTGCCACACAAGAGGCTAGTGCGAAAGTTGGAGATGCAGGCTGGAGTGAGAGGGAAGGTACTCCGGTGGATAGAGGAATACCTAAGCAACAGGAGACAACGAGTCTGTGTGAGGGGTGAAGTCTCAGATTGGCGAGACGTCACAAGTGGAGTCCCGCAGGGGTCAGTCCTCGGACCTATACTGTTTCTGGTATATGTAAATGATCTCCCAGAGGGTATAGATTCGTTCCTCTCAATGTTTGCCGACGATGCAAAATTATGAGGAGGATTGAAACAGAGGATGATAGTAGGAGGCTACAAGATGACCTGGATAGACTGAGTGAATGGTCCAACAAATGGCTGTTGAAGTTCAACCCGAGTAAATGCAAAGTAATGAAACTAGGCAGTGGAAACAGGAGGCCAGGCACAGGATACAGAATAGGAGATGAAGTACTTAATGAAACAGACAGAGAGAAAGATCTAGGAGTTGATATCACACCAAACCTGTCTCCTGAAGCCCACATAAAGAGAATAACGTCTGCGGCATATGCGAGGCTGGCTAACATCAGAACGGCGTTCAGGAACCTGTGTAAGGAATCATTCAGAATCTTGTACACCACATATGTAAGACCAATCCTGGAGTATGCGGCCCCAGCATGGAGCCCGTACCTTGTCAAGCACAAGACGAAGCTGGAAAAAGTCCAAAGGTATGCTACTAGACTAGTCCCAGAACTAAGAGGCATGAGTTATGAGGAAAGGCTGCGGGAAATGCACCTCACGACACTGGAAGACAGAAGAGTAAGGGGGGACATGATCACAACCTACAAAATCCTCAGGGGAATCGACCGGGTAAACAAGGACGAACTTTTCAACACTGGTGGGACGCGAACAAGGGGACACAGGTGGAAGCTGAGTACCCAAATGAGCCACAGAGACGTTAGAAAGAACTTTTTCAGTGTCAGAGTAGTTAGCAAATGGAATGCATTAGGAAGTGATGTGGTGGAGGCTGACTCCATTCACAGTTTCAAATGTAGATATGATAGAGCCCAATAGGCTCAGGAATCTGTACACCAGTTGATTGACGGTTGAGAGGCGGGACCAAAGAGCCAGAGCTCAACCCCCGCAAGCACAATTAGGTGAGTACAATTAGGTGAGTACACACACACACACACACACACACACACACGTGGCACGAGGTTGTGTCTCACTGTGCTTCTGTGTACTCACCCACCAGTACCAACCCAGCTGTACTCACCAGTACCCACCCAGCTGTACCCACCCACCAGTACTCACCCACCAGTACTCACCCAGCTGTAGCCACCCACCAGTACCCACCCACCAGTACTCACCCAGCTGTACCCACCAGTACCCACCCACCAGTACCCACCCACCAGTACCCACCCACCAGTACCCACCCACCAGTACCCACCCAGCTGTACCCACCCACCAGTACCCACCCACCAGTACTCACCCAACTGTACCCACCCACCAGTACCCACCCAGCTGTACCCACCTAGCTGTACCCACCCACCAGTACTCACCCACCAGTACCCACCCACCAGTACCCACCCACCAGTACCCACCCACCAGTACTCACCCACCAGTACCCACCAGTACCCACCCACCAGTACCCACCCACCAGTACCCACCCACCAGTACTCACCCACCAGTACCCACCCACCAGTACTCACCCAGCTGTACCCACCCACCAGTACCCACCCACCAGTACTCACCCAGCTGTACCCACCCACCAGTACCCACCCACCAGTACCCACCCAGCTGTACCCACCCAGCTGTACCCACTTACCAGTACCCACCAACCAGTACCCACCCAACTGTACCCACCCACCAGTACTCACCCACCAGTACCCACCCACCAGTACTCACCCAGCTGTACTTACCCAGCTGTACTCATCCACCAGTACCCACCCAGTTGTACCCACCCAGCTGTACCCACCCACCAGTACCCACCCACCAGTACCCACCCAGCTGTACCCACCCAGCTGTACCCACCCACCAGTACCCACCCAGCTGTACCCACCCACCAGTACCCACCCACCAGTACCCACCCACCAGTACCCACCCTGGTCATAAACCTTATCTTACTTTATCTAAACCTTATGAATCTTATCATAAACAACAATCTAAAAAAAAAACCCACTTCATTCTGAGAGGACACTTCTATATTGACCAGGGTCAACAAAATTGCTCTCAAGTTGACTATTTCCTTAACAGCATGAACTCCTGTATGCTAATCCCCACAATCACCAAGCCCACCCGAGTCACTCAAACATCTGCCACTACCTTGGATCACTTATGGACTAACATAACAGCTCCCCTTGTATCTGGTATAATCTATGACAGAACAACTGACCACTATCCTACCTTTCTCATAGCAAAAATGGACTTAACACCACCAGAAAGCAAGAAACTTACATTCAAGATACACAGTGAATCAGCAATAGGCAACCTTACAAATGCACTTCACAATATTAACTGGGAATCTGAATTCAATAATACTCAGGATATAAATTCATTTGCTAACCTCTTCCTCTCCAAAACTCTAAGCCTCTACAACACTTATTGTCCCCTCCGTACCAAGCAAGTAACTGACAAAAGAATAAAAATCCGTGGCTCACAAGTGGCATATTCATATCAATCAACAAAAAACATGAATATGAAAAGACACTTAGGATTGGTCTAGTTACGAAGGAAGTAGTTAAAAGGTACTCATCAATGCTTACCAGTATCACAAGAAAGGCAAAACATTCATATTATGAGAATAGATTCAATGAAGCTAAAGGCAACATGAAAAGCACATGGAAAACCATCTCTAGTTTCCTAGGCACTAAACAACATTCACATAACCAGATAAATAAAGATGGCTATACACCGTCAACTGATTTAGAAATGGCAAATGAATTTAATAGCTTCTTTTCATCAGTTGGTGCTAACCTTGCCAGAAAAATCCAACAGACTCAGACACATATTAACACATATCTCTCAGGCAGCTATCCAAACTCTCTTCTCCTTTCACTAGTCAGCCCTACAGATGTGTCCATCATACACTCACTAAAAACCAAGGCAGGGAATATCAGTGAAATTCCATCCATTGTATACAAGAGCGCCTCCCATGCCCTTGCGCCACCTTGCTCTGTTGTTCAACAAATCTATAGAGTGTCATACCTTCCCTGATATCCTTAAAAAAGCAAGAGTAACGCCTGTTCATAAAGGAGGTAATCCGGCAGACATAAACAATTATAGACCAATATCAAACCTACCCATTCTATCAAAAATATTTGAAATTATTATCTACAAACAGCTCTATTCCTACCTCGTAAAATTCAACATACTCAGCTCCTGTCAGTTTGGCTTCCGGTCCCAAAGATGCAATTATTAGTCTCCTTGATGTAATTTACTCAGCCCTTGACAAAAATGAGTTTACGATTGGACTCTTCATTGACCTGAGAAAAGCCTGTAATACTGTTAATCACAACTACCTGTTACTTAAACTCCATCATTATGGAATCTGAGGCCTTGCCCTGGACTATATCCGATCCTATCTTAGTGACAGACACCAATGTGTAGCCATCAATGATATAACCTCTCCCACTCTACCAATAACCGTTGGAGTGCCACAGGGCAGCATCTTGGGACCTCTCACATTTCTTATATATATCAATGATCTGCCTAATGTCTCTAATATTCTTAAACCTATACTGTTTGCTGATGATACTACTCCTCATCTATTCAGACCCCAACCCACATACACTAAATAATGTTGTGAATAATGAATTAAAAATAGTCCACTTATGGATGTCAACTAACAAACTAACACTAAACATGGAAAAGACGTACTACATCTTATTTGGAAGCAAATCATCGAATGCAATTCAGCTACAGATAGACAACATTAACATCAGTAATAAAAATGATGGAAAGTTTCTTGGCCTATTCCTAGACAAGAGACTCAATTTCAGCACCCACATTCAACACATAACTAAGAAAGTCTCTAAAACAGTGGCTATACTCTCCAAAATCAGATATTATGTTCCTAACTCTGCTCTCCTCTCACTATATTATGCACTAAACTATCCCTATTTTAATTATGGTATCTGTGCATGGGGGTCAACCACTGCAAACCACCTCAAGCCCATCATCACCCAGCAAAAATCTGCTATCAGAATAATAACAAACTCTGCTTTCAGACAACACTCAGCCCCCTTGTTTAAATCCCTTAATATGCTAAACTTTAACTCACTCCACACATTCTCTTGTGTCAACTACATTTACAAAACCCTGTTTTTAAACGCAAACCATTCTCTGAAACTCTCCCTGGACAGATGTAATAGGACCCATTATCACCACACCAGAAATAAATATCTCTTTGATATCCCCAGGGTCAAACTTAATCTGTGTAAACACTCTATGCAAATAATGGGACCTAGTCTATAGAACTCACTCCCTAATGAATTGAAAAGCTGTCAAAATTTTGCCTCATTCAAAAACAAAAACAAAAAGTACCTAATTTCATCTTCATAGTTTCCTACACTGAGCTTTAAATTTGCTCTGTATCTAGTGTTACCCAATCTCCCAATCTTTATGTACTTAATCCAAGCAACTTTATCATTGTGTTCATTGCTGTCTTCTTTTATATGCTAGCCATATGCTGTATTGTGCCTATTAATTTTTGGTTCTAGTAATTTTCTCGTTATAGTTATATGAATCCAGTTGTAATAGCCTTCCTTACAGCTTCTGCACGATGTGCGTTCAGTCTGTACGCAGCAGCAGCCGCCGTCTTGGTGTTATGTACCTTGGTATTGTGTAACAAAATTTAAAATTAAATAGAGTAAATTAGGTAAATAGCAAGTGTGATGTGTCAGCCATCGCTACACCGGGGCTCCGGTATCACGTCTTCTGTGCAACAAAGTCAATGACTGATTGAAGCAAAAGCAACGTCTCACTACACCCTCAAGGGGAAGGACGGTTCAATAATGTACATATATATTAAAAGCAAACTGGGTTTCCTCAATGCACTGTCCCATCACACCTGTTATCCACATACCGAATACATACACTGTAATTTCCTCAGTACTTATTGTGCATACGAAGGTTTTCTCTAGAATGAAAGAACTGTTTTAGTGGGCATCCTTGATCCCAGGACCATACACATTCAGGTTACTTATTGGCAAAAGAAATGAAAGCAACATGTGAAAAATTAGATACAAAGAACAAAAGTTTCGTAGCTGACAATTTTACTAACTAAAGCAGTTCAGCTTTCAGTGGCAGCAGCGGCAGCAGGATCAGTATTGTAAGACACAGCAGAAGCAGCAGAAGCAGCAGTAGCAGCAGCAGCAGCAGCAGCAGCAGCAGCAGCAGCAGCGGCCATGTCAGCAGCGAGGGCAGGGCGCCTGTGGGTGGCGGCGGTCTTCCTCACGCACCAAGTGTTCGCGCACCAGGTGACGGCTGACGCAGGTGAGTCAAGCTCTCCTTGTAACAATTCATTATCATGCTCTGAGGTTGGCTTTATTGTGCTCTCTAAATATTAAATCTTCTGACATTGTTATTTCTCGGCAAAAATCGGTGACTTCAATGAAGTCAGGGTTCTTGCGTGCTGCTGAAGTAATTGCAATCTCCCGTCTATGAACATCATGTTGTTTTCATACAACATGATGCAGTCAGCATAATGCTGACTGTAGACCTCCGCAGCATTATCCTAGCAGTGTCTGTAGTGGTTATTAAGCAGGATGAATAAAATCAACAACCACTTGTAGTCATTCACTGTAAGGCAGCAGGGCCGGGTGAGGTCTGTTACCTATCGTGCATTACGGCTCGTGATCCTACAGCAGCCAAACTTTAATAAGTCTAGGGATACGACACAACTGTTGTTCTCAATAGCGAATCACCAGTATAACCCCTTAATAGGTAATGAGCACAAAAATAGAATCTTCATAGGACTGAAGCATAAAGACAATAAGTATATATATAAAATTATATTAAATAAATCTCAAAAGCAAACAGATGATTATATGGTCACAATATATCACATTAAAAATATCACTGTAACTTCCAGACATTAAATCAATATTAATATATATATGGCTATGACAGAACAATTGAATGACTTAACTCCAAGATGTTATCTCCCTGGTTCCCGTCCAGCTACTGAACAACAAAATGCGAGTCAAAAAACACATTGCCTTGCCCCGCGAATAAATTGCCAAAGTTACAATATTTATTATTTCAACAATGGAGCACTACATTGTGACAAGAGTAATCTTAAACTAACCTAATGAATAATTAGTACATATTGATATACAAAACTAAAGTACGTGTTTCTTTACATAGTAATTAAAATATGCATACAGAAGGAAATAATGGCATGCACACCCCAGCAACGGACGATCCCACGACAATTTGCCAGATACAGTTCACTCAATTATTATTTCACTCTGTTACCCACTTATGATCACATATAAATCATTAGTTCCCGTGGGAAAACTGATCACACAAAGAAATAACAATCATTCCCACGATACGTTGGGCCTAACGCCAACACTGTAACATGAATGTGCATTTGCATAGAACATATAAGTATAACAATATACATGCTTGTAATTTACATATAATTATAAATGTACATATTAATATATTTACTTACGTATCTTATAAGGGTACGTAACACTTCCACCTCCAAGAAAAAAAATGCAATGGATTGAAGATCAATGGCATTTTTTCAGAAGTAAAAATGTTAAGTAAAAAGAAACATTTCATTTATGGTACATCAAAACTTCTTGACAAAGCATCAGCAATAACATTTTGTCTGCCTGGAATATGTTTGATTTCTACATTAAATTCCTGCAAAAACAATGACCAGCGCAGAATTCGTTGGTTCTTGACTTTCATCATATTTATAAAGATAAGGGGGTTGTGGTCTGTAAATACTAACACTTTATTTCCTGATAAGTAAATCTCAAACTTCTTAATTGACAATATAAGACCCAACGCCTCCTTTTCTACCACGGAATAATTTCTCTGAGCTGCATTAAATTTTCTAGAATAGTAATACACAGGATGCTCAATCTGGTCTAAACCAACTTGAATAAGCACAGCACCTATTCCAACCTCTGACGCATCAATGTGTAATATAAATGGTTTATCAAATTGGGGACTAGCAAGAATAGGTGAGGTGGACAATATGCCCTTTAGGTTCTGAAAAGCATTCTGACAATCTTGTGTCCACTGAAATTTTACTTGCTTGCGTAACAAGTTTGTCAAAGGAGCAGCTACTGTTGAAAAATTTCTACAATAACGCCTATAGTATGCACACATACCAATAAACCGTTGGACTCCTTTCTTATTGGTCAACACTGGGTAGTCCACAATGGCTTGAATCTTATCTTGTAAGGGGATAATCTTACCTTGTCCTACCTCGTGTCCAAGATAAGTTATCGTACCTTTTGCCCAACTACACTTATTCATATTTATGGTTAACTTTGCGTTTTCCAACACTGTAAACAAGTTCTTAAGGCCTAAGAGATGATCTGCCCAATTCTTACTGTACAAAACAATGTCATCAAGGTAGGCCCTACAATCTGGCACATCCTTGAGTAAGAAATTCATGAATCTTTGAAAAGTAGCAGGTGCATTTCTCAAACCGAATGGCATGACATTAAATTCATACGCACCATCAGGTGTAACAAAAGCAGTAACCTCTCTAGCATACTCTGTTAATGGAATTTGATAATACCCTTTTGACAAATCAAGCTTACTTACATATTCGGCATGACCTATGGACTCTATACATTCTTCCAACAAGGGTAAAGGAAAAACGTCCACTGTAGTGTTCTTGTTCAGTTTCCTATAATCCACGCACAATCTCCAGGTTCCATCTGGTTTTGGCACTAACAAACACGGAGAGCTCCAAGTACTTTGACTTGGCCGAATGAAATCATGCTGGAGCAGATATTCCACTTCTGCTTGTATAATTTTCCTCTTTTCGGGATTCACTCGGTACGGATGTTGTCGAATGGGGGTGCTGTCCAGGAGCTGAATGTCGTGTGTGATGAGGTGGGTCTGGGTAGGAACCTCCCCAAACAGAGATGTATGGTTGTCCAGCAGAACCTGGAACTCATCACGTTGTTCCTCCTGTAAATGACATAGCATCTCCCTGCCATTGGAACTGGAACTGAGAAGTTGGATATTAACATCATGTCTCTCACTACAATTATCCTCAGGTGGTAACTCTTCCCGACTAAAACAAGCTACTACACCAGGTCCAACATAAGCTTTTAATCTGTTAATGTGTACAGTCATTTGGGGTTCTGAAAGATTAGGGTTAATTAGTTTATAAGTTAGGTCTCCCACCTTGTCTACCACTTGGTAGGGTCCTGCGAACTTATGGGACATGGAAGTCCCCATACGAGGTTTCAACACCAACACCAAATCTCCGACATCAAACGACCTTAGCTTAGCTTTGAACTTCTTGTCATATCGTACTTTCATGGCTTGTTGAGTCCTTCCCAGATGTTCTTTCGCCAACTCACGAGCCCGACACAACTTAGCCTTGACCTCACTCAAGTACAATCCACTCTGATGAACAGAGACATCTCCCAACAACTTTTCTTGTAGCATTTTAAGAGGACCTCTTACTTGGTGACCAAACACTAGTTCAAAGGGTGAACAGCCCAATGACTCTTGTAGCCCTTCTCTAGCAGCAAACAACACAAAGGGGAGATTCTCATCCCAATTACGTGGATGAGTTTCTCCGGTTGTCTTCAGCATTTGTTTCAAAGTCTGGTGGAAACGTTCAAGTCCACCTTGGCTTTGGGGATGATATGGACTGGATAATTTGTGCCGAATCCCTCGGGATTCGCAAAAAGTTCTGAAAACTTTAGAAACAAAATTTCCCCCATTATCACTCTGAATAACTCTAGGCATTCCAAACAACGAAAAGAATCTTTCAAGACACTTGATGAGATTATGAGCCTTGGTATTCCGTAGAGCATAAGCTTCAGGAAATCTAGTAGTCATACACATGAGAGTGAACAAAAACATGTTACCCGATTTAGTCTTAGGTAAAGGACCCACACAATCAATTACAACATGAGTAAATGGTTCATCAGGAACTACAATAGGTTGCAATGGTGCTCTAGGTACAGATTGATTTGGTTTACCAACAATTTGACAGGGTATACAGTTATGACAATATCTGACCACGTCTTTCTTTAACTTTGGCCAGAAAAAATATTTACTTATCTTATGGTACATATTCGTGATACCTTGATGACCTCCCATGGGGTCATCATGTGCAGCCTGCAGGACCTGCCTACGATAATCATTGGGGACAACGAGTTGGGTTCTAATCTCACAATCCTCTGAAGAGGGAGTTCCCTTGGGTCTCCACCTTCTCATCAGAAGTCGATCCTTGAAGAAGAAACCCGTCCCTTCCTCCAATGCATCAATATTATCAGGAGCCTCAGAAATACACTTACTTAAACTAGGATCAGTAGTCTGTACAACACTTAAGGGCAATGACTCAGACTCAGCAGCGAGCGGGCAAGAACCTAGTAGCTTGATCTCTTTTCCCGATTGATCAGAATAAAATGGAGTCATAGCTACTTCGGCCTCACTCTCGACAACTGGCGCACTGGAGACAAGCGGGCAAGGTACAGATAGTTCAGCCTCCTCACCTTCACTTTCCTTGTGATTTAGGTTCGGCGGGGCTTCTACTACGGCCTCACTCTCATCATCCAGTCGAGTCATAAAAGAATCCTCAAGATCCACCTCCCACTCCTTTACTGAAGGGGTCCTGGTCTTGGGATCAGCAACCTCAGTGAAGACAGGATTACTCTCACCTGCTTTTCCCATTGATCTAGTAACAACACAAGCAGGGTAAATAATATCATCATCTGCTACTGGTTGAGCTAATACATTATGGGGTTTAGTTAACATGATGGGACACTTGGGCCCTACAACCATTTGGTTGCCAAAATCATTACCTAGAATAATGTCTACCCCAGGAATGGGCAGTTGTTTACTTACACCAACATTACACCATCCTGAAGTATATTTAGAATCAAGGTTAACTTGCAATAAGGATACTGGTTGCACACTACCGGCAATACCTTGGAGAAGCACAACTTCACCCAGATCTCGGGTGTCAACATCATCAAGTACCTTCTGGGTAATAAGAGACTGTGAAGCTCCAGTATCACGGAGTAATTGAACAGTCTTATGTCTACCATTAGTACATAATAAGGTACCTGTGGAAATATAGGGTTTGAATTCAGCCATCCAATTGGGACTGACTGTAATACATGAAGAATTAATAGGTTGCACTCCTTTACTCATAATAAGACCAGTTGGTCGGAGTTCAGGATGCAAACTAAAACATGAAGAAATCACATGCCCCCTTCTCTTACAATGGGTACAATGTTTGACAGTGGACACACTGGTAGAACCAACTGCCGGTT